CTTCTGCTTCTCCATTTCTTAATATACACATATTATAATTTTTACTTAAATTGCAGTGTTTAATGATGAGTGACAGTGTATCCTGACATCTTGTTGACATCCTCATGCTAATATCCCCTCTGTTATTGTCCTTGTTGATGCATAGTTTAAACATCTCTCTCTCTCTCTTTCATTTAATGGCATTTTGAGAGGGAGATGAGATAAAAGCATATGGCCATCACACATTTAACAGGAAACTAAAACTATTTTGAAAACTTAAAAAAGATTACATAAAAAGTCTTAACATTTTACTGTTAGAAGGTAGATTCCCTATTTCACCCTTAGCTCTTATATTTAGCATAAATGAAAGCTAGGCACTTTTAAAATTTAAGAAACAAATGATGATAGCTAAACTTATTGTGGTGATCATTTTGCTATACACACACACATACACATATCAAATCATTATGTTGTACGTCTGAAAGTAATATGCTACATGTCAATTATATCTCAATAAAAAATAAATAAATGAAAGGCAAGTTACCAGATATACTTCAATTCTTCTCCTTCTGTACATGTGGGACAAGGTTATCTTTCCTACTTAAGGATAAATCTTTTCCTCTCGCTTCTGACCTTGTTGAATTTTTTAAACCAGGGCTATCAGGTAGCCTTGCATCAAGAAATTACATGTTCTTGTTCCATGAAAAAAAAAATTGGTTTTGTAATAAATTTCTCTTGTACAAAAGAAAGGAACAAGCATAAAACCCAATTTTTAATTTTTCATAAAAAATAATTTTTGTACCATCATTAATAATCCAGAAATCAGGACCACCCAGATAAAAAGCAGAGGATTAAAAAAGATACCCTATTAACATGACAGATGACGAAGATATTAGGTGAGAAGAAACATGTATATAACAAAGCCCACAATGTAAAAATTGTGGGAATCAAAGTCAAGCGATTAATTACTAACAATGGCAGTAACAGAGCTTCTTTTCTTTCACAGTGAACAGACAATTAGCACTTAATACTAAGATTGAGGAAAAAACCATCTATAATCTACTGAAAAAGACCATCTGCTTCTATAAATTTTGTTCTTATACACTTGCCAAAAGAAGAGAACATTTTAACAAAATAATGGGCCCTGCACTGTTAATTGCTAGGTTGTTTGCATTTGTGCTGTTGCTATTAGAATTTAATAAGCCATTCCTTCTGCTAAATTAATAAGCAGCCAAGATTATGTAATAGGTGCTTTCAGCTGCTAATTATTTTTCCCATAATTCCTTTCCCCCCTACCTCCAACCCCCACCTTTCCTTGGCTAGGAGCACCAGAGACTGCCAATATGTCATAAGCAAGTCTCCCCTCCTCGTTTTCAGAACAACAGGCCAACATTAGGAGCATAACCAATGAGTTTAAACTTGGAGGTGGTTATCTGAGGAAACTTGAGGATATATGTGTTTTGTACTGAAAAAGAAAAAAAACAGTTTGGATTCAGAGGGCGAGTTTTCATGGCATCTGTTTGTGTAGTAAGGGATAAATGGGTCATTAACATGTGTCTTTGGGGCGTGATTAGTCAGGGAACAGAGAGAAATTTGCACAGGAGACCTAAAGACCTACAGAAAGCCAGCTCTGTGCTTTGGTGGACCATGTCTTTAATATTCCAGTGTAAATTAATCATTCATGTTAATAGAAAAATTTCCAAGCAACGTGTTTAAAAGAGGAGGAATTGTACACTTATATTTTGCCAAACAAGAGCATTTCAAAATACCCCCCAAATCCCTATTATATATAGTACCTTAAATACATAGAAATACAATCCTTAATAAAGAATTTCTTTAAATTGATTAAATTTATCTTCATGAAAAAATTAGCGTTTCTTTTCACTTTGGGCCATTAAAAAATTCTGGTGACTATGTTTGGGAACCTCCGCAAAAAGGGCATAGCTCAACAAAAGCAATTTTCCAGCTTCCTTTGTAAGAACCCAGGTGACGGGTAATGAATAGCATTCGACATGAGAATTTTGACATGAGAAATCCGTGTCTGCTCAAACAAGGTCACTTAATCCCCTGGGGCTCCTCTTCCCTCATCTGTAAAAGATGAGTCGGACTAGATGATTCATCCATTCTTTCACTCAAAAAAAAAAAAAAAAAATTATGGACATCCATTACGTGCAGGCACGATGCTCAGCACCACGGCTCTTAACAAATCTATCATTTTATAGTCTTTATTAGTCAGCTCACATTTATTAGTTGTGTTATATACCAGGCAGTGAACTAGGTTGGGATGAAAAATAGATTAAATTCAACCTGAGCTAAACAGAGGCTTAATGGGCATGTAATGTGGGTGAAGGAGGGATTCGTTGTTATACGGTTTGAGGGTGAGGCTTCCTAGGAGATGTGACATTTGAGAGGAAGGGCATGGCTGGCAGAGCATGTCGCCGGCAAAGCTAAACTGGAACCCAGGAGGCTGGGGGGAGAGGGGCGTCTCCGCATGAAGAAGGGGGATTTCAAAGATAAGGTGCTGTCTGGGCTGTTCAGCAGAGGACGGATAGTAAGTCATCAGGTCCACAGCACTGAGGATCAGCGAGGCAAGCCCAGAGCAGACACTTGTACAGCTTGGGGTGAAAGGCGTCTAGGGCTGTAGCAGTGCGATGGGAAGGAAGGGCCAGATTCCGCAGATTAGAGCCAGAAGAACTGCAAAAGGCCTTCTGAACGCGTGTATGAGCTCCGCCACAGTGCTGACTTGTTTTCCCGAGTTGCAGCATTGCCTCTCTCCCCACGTCATCATCACCGGCTGTCACGCCTCCCTGTCCCACCCTCTTGGGGCACGGGGAGTTATCCGGAGCTCCAACTATGCTCTTCGCGGTCCAGATCTTCCCTACCCCACACAGTGGGGTCCACAAAACACACCACGGAACCCTGTCTTCCCACCACCGAATAGCCGGGGCAGCCACCCGCGCGCGCGTCCCTAAGGCACACGCAGGAATGCGCAAGCGCAACAGTTTCAGCTGTGGCCGCTTCCGGGTCACGTGGCCTGGTTTCCGGTCCAGACCACCCCTCTCGGTAGAGACCTGGCCAATCGGCTTCCTGGGACTGTGCGGTCCGCTGGGCTGTCTCCGGTACTGTTGGCATCTGCCAAGCCGCTTCCGCGCGTGTCCCAGCCCGCCCCTCCGCTCGCCGCAGCCCCGGCTCCTCCCCCGTCCGGCCCCCGGGGCGGGGTCTGTCGGCTCGCCCTCCCCTAGCCGCCTAAGCCTTCCCTCCACTAACCGGGTCCCCTCCCCACAAGCAACACGGCTTCTCCTCAGCTCAGCGACAGGGGCTTCCCCTCGACCTCAGCCGCAGCCGGCCGAGCACCGCCGCGCCCGCGGCCCGCGGCCGCCGTAAGTCCCGGGGGACGAGCTGGGGCGCCGGGGACGAGGAGTGGGGTGGGAGGGTTGGGCGCGCCCCCAGCCGCCCCGCACGCGTCCCGACGACCCCACCCGGCGCCCGCCGGGTCTGCCACTGGGGCGCGACGCCCGGCAACTCACTTCTCTGCGTCCACGTCCCGGATTCTGGGGTCACAGCCCCGGAAACCACGGTGCCCCCGCGGCACCTGTGGTTCGGGAATCCCCTCAAGTTTTGTGGGGCATTCTCGGGAGGGGCCCGGGCCGGGGGCAGCGGCGGCCGAGGACCCTTGGCGCCTCCTGCGCCGTGGCGGATGCCATTGTCTGCCCCGCTCCTTGCCTGTCACCTCGCGGGGCTGGATCAGTGATGGAGTGCGGCTCCGTGGGGAGGCATCGGACACGGCTGGACGGAGGACCGCTGGCCCCGAGCCTGCTCCGCACTCGAGCCCGTTGTTTTTAATACCAGACTCGAGGAATTGAGGTGCCCCGTGATTGGCGGCAAAATCAAAGCATTGTTTTTTAACAAGAGGGAGAGAACACTCGTGCCTTGCTCTTCGTCCCGTATTAGCACATCATTTATTTTAAAGAGTGAATTATTTTTTCGTCCTAGAAAGTGGTAGGGAGAGAGATAGAGAACCCTGCTACAGACAGCCGTGTAGCCCACACTCCTTTAGAAAGCAAACCCCCACCCCACCTGGTCCCCAAGCTCCTGGGATACGGGTTTATTCTTTTCCAAGTTCTGGTGATGGGCTTGCATTAAACGTTGTCCAGTTGATGCTTTACTTGCTGTCCTCTTCGAATGCCGCTCTCTTAACAGGACTTGTGTGGGAGGCACTTCGATACCACAGATACTGTTCGTTAATTTTGTGCCAGTGAAGTGCTTTAAGTAAGGTGTAATAAGCCACTTCTAACTTTCATAAAGTTAAATTGCCGCATCGTAAATTTCTAAGTATCTTGCTGATGCCTGCGATTAGTAAAAAAAAAGCGACAATAATGTCTTAGCAAAATTTAGGGCCCATTTTATTCTAAATTGTTGTGCAAATTCTATACCCCATGTTCAAATTCAAGATGGTGTGCAGAATATTAAGAATCGGGCTGGGATCTTACTTGCAGTAACACTATTAAAGGAACTTTCAATAGTTAAAAGAAAAAATAATACCTGTCTGAATTCTACCTTTAAATTACCTCCGTAGAAACAATGCTCATTATCTCTTTGCACATATGGTCACTTGAATTACAAGAAGCTTTTCTTGAAAATTAAAATGTAGACTAATCAACAGATTTACAAATTCCAAATAAATAAATACAAAATAGTATAAGTGTAAAATACACTGGAATTCAGCCTCGACTCCTGCTGTAAGTGCTATTTTTTAAAGTTTTAAATGAAGTATTTTGTGTAATGTGTCTGAATGTGTGTAGCTCTTATTTTGGCTTTTTAAAGGTTTATTTTGTCTTTCATAATACATTACCACTTAATATTGTACATATTTATTTTGGAATTTTTAAAGAAAACTGTGCATTTATGGGATATTTTTGTTACTATTTTAGATCTTTTGCTTTATGTATATAAGCATAAAATAATGTTGAATATAAACTGTAATTGAAAAAATGTAAAATAAAATAAAATATGTAAGTATAAACTGAAGAAAGCATTCTAAGTGATTGCAGTCTGCCTACAAGTAATTCATCCCGGAACAAGAACAGCCTCAGGGTGAAAAATGGTAGGTCTCTGTTTCTTTCAAATGTACCTAAACCAGTTGATGTTAACAATTCTCTTTTGATGCATGTAGAGAGTGTGGAATGTATAGCACAGATAGACAATAGTTTCTTAAATTGCAAGAGTTGTCTTCTACGTCAAAATTTTCACTTCAACTTAATGCCAGATTTTCTTTTTGTTCTGCAGACTCCCAACTTATGTGGAACAGGATAGGGTGGGGAAATTTGCATCTGGTGGGAAGATCTTTCTACAAAAATGTCCTGCTATTTTAACTGGCATAGAAATATTGAAATGTTGATGGCTACTAATCATTTGTCAGTTAAATGCCCTTCCCCACAAAGCTTCTCTGTGAAACAAGTCAGCTTAATCTTAACTTTATTGAATCAGTATTGCATGTAATTTTGATTCTGTTTATCTTAACAGATGCAGTTTATGTTGCTTTTTAGTCGTCAGGGAAAGCTTCGACTGCAGAAATGGTATGTCCCACTATCAGACAAAGAGAAGAAAAAGATCACAAGAGAACTTGTTCAAACCGTTTTAGCACGGAAACCTAAAATGTGCAGCTTTCTTGAGTGGCGAGATCTGAAGATTGTTTACAAGAGGTATAATTTTTATTTTTTCAGAAAGGTGAACGAGAATAAAATGTTTGGTCATTTGTAATGTGGAAATTGCAGAGTTTTGAGAGATAGCATTTATGATTAACAAAGATTTAGATGAAAAAGATTTTAAGTTACAGCTTTGTATTTTTAAAATAACTGGTTTTGATTACCCAGGCTAACATGATAAAATCAGGGAAGTTGTTTTAAAACTGATTATGTTATTAAAGTCTTAATCATCTTTTTTAGAAAAATTTAATGAATTCATCTCTTTACAGGGGGAAATAAGATCAGTATTTTAAATTGTGTGAGTAATTCTATGAATTTATTTTTTATTTTATTTTTAAAATCTTCACCCAAGGATATTCTTCCATTGATTTTTTTAGATAGAGTGGGAAGGAGGGAGGAAGGGAGGGAGAGAGAGAGAGCTAGCAGCATCAGAAACATCAATGCACATCGATTGGTTGCCTCCCTAAGGACCTGACCTGGGCCAGGGATGGAACCTGCAACCCAGGTTTATGCCCTTGCCCAGGAATCTAACCCTAACCCTTTGGTCCTCGGGCTCATACTCTAACTACTGGGCCACACCAGCCAGGACTAATTTTCTGAATTTAGATAAGCATTTCCCCCTTCCCTCTTCTCCCTGAAAATCTATAAAGTAATGGCTGATAATTGACATGCCTTTCATCTGACTTTTAGAATCTTACTCACTTATAAACACCTTGAATACATAGACCACTCGAGTCAAATAAATGTTTAAAATTTTTGTGTAAATAAAGAATCTGTTAGCAGTGTTTATTAATTTGACATGCACTTGTTGCTGTGGTGGGGGTGTGATTAGATCTGATAGATAATTTTGCCAAGAATAGATTTTAAAAATTTTAACACTAAACTTTTAGAAAATGCATATATCTTTATATTAGTATCTGAAACTCTTTAATGCCTTAAAACTCTCAAGATTGTTTTAATCATGTTAAATATAATTACTTTGTTTTTTGCCCATTTCTCTACCCATAGGAATAATTTACTGTTTTTAAGATACGAGAGTTTCTACATGTGAAAAAAATTCTTCTGTGGGGGTTGTGTAGGGAACTAACTTATAGGCTACAAGGAGGGTTGAAGAGAAATCTGGGTTTTATCTCAGTTTTCCTGAAATAAATGGCAGAGGAAATAATGGAGATTATAGGACATAGAGAATTTTAAAAATACGGTAAACTCCTCTTTCCAATAAAATGAATTTAGTCATCTTTGTGTGATTTTGTATCCAGTATTTGGTTTAGCGCTTGTTGAGAAAAAGTATAGCATTTTAGAGCAGGGAGATACCTTAGAATATCTAGTTAAGTGACATTTTAAAATTGAGGTAAATTGGTATGTAACATTATATTAGTTTTTAAGTGGTTAAAAAAAAAGCCTTTGACCCCAAGGATAGAACCTTAAATGAAACAAGTGGAAGTGGAAGTGCTCTTGTGAAATAAAGACTAGGATCCTGTACCCCTGCTCCCTTGGCCTCTACCCTCTGCATAGGAGATGGGTCCTGAATTTGGAAACCACTGCTGTTGATCAAACTTCAATTTTATTTGTTTTTTAAATGAGAATTTGGGAGAAGTAACTGGTCCAAGGTCATATGCTAGTTAGTAGCTGACTTAGGGGCTACAGCTCAGATCTTAAGCATGCATGAAGGCAAAGAATTTGAACAGGGATGAAAAAAAGAGCAGATTTGCCTTTCTTAACAGATCCTTGTAATTCGAGAATGGGTGAGGAAAGAACTGAGACTGGAACCAGAGGGGGTTGGATCTGTTAGGAGACTGAATTATATTGAGTCTCTGAAGGAAGACCTCTTGCTGTGTACTCAGCAGGTGGAAAGCCCTAACCCTAACCCAGGTACATTTTTAAGACTTGGTTACTGCTAGAAGCGGGAGGGCAGCGAAAGAAGGGGGGGAATGGTGGGATTTCACATTTTTAGTTCTGGTGACTGACTGAATGGTGATGTGGTAGACAAGTTGACTTTGAGATGCCTGTGTGACTTCCATTTGGAGATGTGTCGTTTTCTTGCGGTGGGCATAGACATGGAAGTCTAGGGGGTAATTAGGCATAATGTGTTAGATCACCAACATATAAGCAGGAGGAAAGTGTATAGGGTCAGTAATGTGGGGAAGAGGAGAGAGTCACAAGTGCCAAATGTTGCATAAAGTTCAGTTAAAGTGAAGACTATTACAGTGAGCATTTGATAAAATAGCTTTTGTGGGAACATTTTCAGTGGATAGTAGAGACAGAGCTCTTGAAGAAATGGGGTGAAGAGCTGGAGACATTTAAACAGCAAATGTAGATTATTTGGGGAGCTTTGCTCTGAAGGACAGAAGAGTGGTAATCACCCATAGACATCGGAGTATAGCAGTGGGGGACAGGGTTAAAAATGGTGTGAGAAACTTAAGCTTATTTCTAGATAGGGGAAGGAGTCCCCCGTGTGGAGGAGGAAAATACCAGCAAGGCAATGAATCCCAGGAATGGAAATTCCTGCAGCGGAAGGAAATGGCCTGTTCAACGGAAGGATTGAAAGCGCTAGTTGGTGTTCCTAATACAGCATTCAGCCCACCCATGATGGGCCTCTGCTTTTTCTTTTAAAGACTATAAAGGGAAATGTAACCTGACTCTGATACTTGCATCAAGCTCCTATAAATAAAAGGTGCCCTTAAAAAAATGGCTTTATTGAGATAAAATGCACATACAAAAGTGATCTTTCTGTGCCTTCCTCAAGTTGTCTCATCCACTTACTCCCTCCTGAGCATTTTGCATAACAATTCCCCCTTCCCCTAGGGAGCCTTGGGAAGGGAATGAAAATAAAACTAGTATAGCTGAAAAATAGACTGAAAGTCTGGGGACTTGAGTTCTATTCCATTAGCTGGTTTTGTGACTTTGAACAAGTCATTTGGCCTTTGTTTTCTCATCTCTAAAATAAATGCTTTTGAGATCCTTTGAAGATAGAACACTGTATGCTTTTAATATTTTAATTCTATTTGGTGCAGCATGTTATGAAAGAGGCACTGGATTAAAGTCTTAAAATTAAAAAATACATGTATCTCCAAATACTAACTTGAGAATTTGTCCAAGAGTACTCTATTGATTTTCTTTACTAACAAAAGAATTTTTAATGACACCGTGGGTATTGAGACCAGTTTAGTTACATTCACCCACTGACAGCTGATATTTAGCTGACTGCGGAGAAGTCATGTGTTTTGAATATAAGAATAGGCACTTTCAGATGTTCTCTGAGTGCCAGGAATTAGAGTGAGCCTTAATCCACTCGCTAAAAATAACCAAACATACCTTTCTTCTTACTAGTCTATTATTAATTTTACTTCAGATTTAGACTTACAAATATGCACTAAGAGAACAAAATGAGCTCGTTATTCAATTTTTAAAAACCATTTATAAAAATAGGGTGTGCACTTCAGGTTCTCTTGGTAATCTTTTACCAAATCAGTATAACAATTTTTATCTCTCTTCAAAGCTGTTAAAATATTGCTTTGAATATGTTTTAATTTTTGTCAGGTGCAGGATTACTTTACTTAATACAGTTCCTGGCTGTAGTTTTTAATTATAAAACTTGGGCTCTGAAGTCAAATCACTGTTCCTGGAGAAGTTGCTCAATTAATCCTAGGTCTCCAAAATGCAAGTAGTAATGATATCTCTCCGGAAGGATTGTTGTGAGGATTAAAATGGTAAAATATTAGGACTCAATGAATGTTACGTGTTGTTATTATTATGCTTCTATTTCTCCCCTAAGCTTTCTGGAAAGAGGTACCTTCTTATAATCCTGATAACTAGATATTCACCTACAATGAGGAATTCATTTAATTTGGTGGCTCTTTTTACATTCTGAGTGAGAGCAAACATTTACATATGTTTAAATATTACTGGTTGGTGCTTAGACACAACAGTCTGGTGATATTTAAATTAATATTTTTGAATTACTCATAAAATTAAGGACCTTTGGCTAGTGTTAAAGTGCTGTTTATTTATAAATAAATAGAGGCAGTGCCATGGATAAGGAGCAAGGGCGGTACAAGCATTAGATTACTTAACAGTAACATTGAAAATATCTTTTCATTGAGTCCAATTGATGCAATGGATATATTGAAGCAAACAAGACAAAAGGAAGAAACAAAAATAACAAATGTGTATTCTTGAGACTTTCAACACCTTTTCAAACTACAGAATGTTTCAAAGATTGTACCTGTAAGTGGCTATATGATGACTTCATGGAAGACAGTCACATAGGGAGCTGGAGCTGTTTATTTTATTTGGAAATCATGACATGAAAAAGAACTAAGTTTGAAAAGCTCACATCCTTTCAACAGAAGGTAACTTCTTGTTTTGCGTGGACGAGGCAGATTATTTATTCTTAAATTGATACCATTAGTGCATTGTATACAACAGTGTCTGCTATTTTATTTACAACTGAATAAACTGAAAACTTCAGTTAATTATGGATTTGATCTGGATTTGTTTTGTTTTAAATTCCTCTCTGTTGTCAACATATTGGTGACTCTAGGGTATTACCAGATGAAATTTAATTTTAACAGTCCTTTTGGCCAAATACTTACATTTAATTTTTTTTTTTTATCCTCACTTGAGGACATTTTTTGTTGTTGTTGTTGTTCAGATAGAGAGGGAGGGAGAGAGAGAGAGAAACATCGAAGTGAAAGGGTCACATCGAAGTGGTCGCCACCCACATGACCCAACCAGGGCCAGGGACAAACTGCAACCGTGGCACGTGCCCTTAGTGGAACCGAACCCTGGTCTCCTCAGACCGCAGCCGACGCTCTAACCACTGAGCCAAACCGGCCAGGGCCAAATACTTACATTTTAAATTTAAATTTAATTATCCCACTTTCACTGTTGATTTTGCATCATCCTGATGGGGAGCAAAGAATGTATATATTTTTAAGCTTAGAAAGTAAATTAAACTGAATTAAGTGAAAAGAAAAAAGAAAAATCTTAAAATTAAAAAGTATTTTACTCGACTATTAGTAAATTCTTTCTAATGGAATCATTTTGCATTCTGTTCATGTTAGCTAGTTATGTTTTTTTATTTTAATTTTTTTCTTTATTGATTTTAGAGAGGAAGGGAGAGGGAGAGAGATTAAAAAAACATCAGTGAGAGAGAACATCAGTTGGCTGCCTCCTGCATGCCCCCCACTGGGGATCTGGCCCACAACCTGGGCATGTGCCCTGACCCAGGAATTGAACAGGCAACTTCCTGGTGCATGGGTCAATGTTCAACCACTGAGCCACACCAGCAGAGCTCATGTCTGGTTTTTAATCTGCCATTTTTAGTGTCAGTCCCTTTAATCTTTAGTTTTTCTAATTCAGGGCCTCTTAATGTGTCATTGTATCAATTTCCTTAAATTCAAAACTATTTGGTGAGCATGGATTTGGGAGGATGGAAAGTTGTAATATCCCATTGCCTTTTATTGTTTTTAATTTTTTTAAAATATGTTTTTATAGATTTTTATTTTTTTAGAGAGAGATAGAAACATCGATGTGAGATACATCGATTGACTGCCTCTTGCACACCCTCTACTGGGTATTAAGCCGGCAACCTGGGCATGTGCCCTGACTAGGAATCAAACCAGGACCTCTCAGTCCACTGGACAATGCTCAGTCCACTGAGCCACACTGGTGGGGCCCCATTGCCTTTTAAACAGATGAATAAAAACAGGTTAGTACTGGGAAAAAGAGGAAACTTCATTAAAGTTGGCCCTGTTACGTCCTTCATGATAATGCCTCCTCTCTAAGACTGCAGGAGACCCATCATTTTAAATAACTTACTAAATGTAGGTCAGGTAGAGTAAACATGGCAAAAAGTCATATTGTGTATGACAAGGGATGTTGGCGTGGTAGATGGAAGAGGGCCTGGGGTTAAGGTCTGGAGATCAGATTTCTTGTCCCAGTACAACAACAACTTAGTAGGCCCTGTACTCTTGAGGCTCTTTTTTTTTTTCCTTCTGTAATCAAGGATGGTGGTGCTTCTGTTGGAAAGATCAAATAAGATCATTTTTTTTATAATATTGAAATTAGTAGATTGTTATGTAAGTAGTAGCTATTCTCATACTGAAGAGCAGGAATTCATTGAATTGAGATTGTGCTCATTTATATATTATTTTACATTATGCTATGAGCAGTAATTGCCCATTGTTTTCTAAAAATCACTTAAATGCTCCTCAGTGAAAATTACAATCTCAACTGAAATTTGTTTAGACTGTCCTAGGTTTTTATGTATTTTATCAAAATCCTTAAATACACTTAAACCATTTGAAAATGCTCTTTTAATCCTCCTCAAAGGACTTTGTTATCATTTGCTATGCCTTGAAGGGTTGTATGTTAATGTTGGCTTTCTTGGGTTAAGTATAACCATGTGCTAAAATGCTAATTTGGAGTAGAGTATGAGTTTTCCAACCTTATCCCTTCTTTAAGGGTAAACAACCTAAACTTCGGTTCAACAGGGTAGAACTTGGAAAATTTGAGGAGAGGTCTCAGAGGTCTCAGTTTCCTCTGTTCTGTTTATCTAACTTCTGTAATAACTTGGAACTGTTATTCTTTTCTTGGTGTTTATTATGTAATCCTAGAAACTTCCTTTAAAAAATTTTATGCTGTTAGAAGTCAAGATAGTAATTACCCAGATGGGAAGTTGTGACCTAGAGAGGCTAGGAGAGGGGTTTCAGAGGTTCAGTAATCTGTTTCTTGATCGGGTTGCTGGTACACAGGCAGGTTTACTTTGGAAACTCATTGAGCTATACATTTATGACTTGTGTTCTTCTCTGTGTGTGTATTATACTTTAATAAAACACTGCAGAACATTGACTTCACGTTGACAATACCCTTCAATATCAATAAGTCCCTCAGTTGGAGAGTTTATTTACTTGTAGTTTGAATTAGTCATGCAGTGCATTTTGTGTTAATTAAGTAAACTTCAGAACAACCTGGGTCAGTTATGTTTTAGAATCTCTATAAAAAATAGCCTGAAAGGAAGAAGAGCAAAATTGTTACTCTTTGTAGATTGGGTGATTGAATGATTATTATTATTTTTTTTATTTGCTTGCTTATACTTTTCAAAATTTCTCTTAGATGTTTATTGCATTTGTAATCTAGGAGAAAAATAATCTGTACTGTTGTAAAAGAGGAAATAAGCTGTATAAACATAGGATCTTTCACAATAGGATATGAAAATACATTTAGGAACCATGATTATAGGGTAAAATTTTTTTCACATTTGTTTTTTGTTACAGATATGCTAGTCTGTATTTTTGCTGTGCTATTGAGGATCAGGACAATGAACTAATTACCCTGGAAATAATTCATCGTTACGTGGAATTACTTGACAAGTATTTTGGCAGTGTGAGTAGTATTTTGTTTTAGGAAATTGAATGGCGTAGTTTTGTAGTTTTGTTTTTTAAGACTTCTATAACAAATGTATTATTTGATTATCTTGGGGATTCTGACTATTTTGAAGTAACTGTGGGAGAGGGAAAGAATGACCATTTTTTGTCAGTGTGCCTAGTCAATCGGTTAACTGCCAAAATTGCTTGACTCCACAGACCTACTCATTTAATTATGGTGGTGACAATGAGGTTTAAAATAGTGAAATAGAAAGGAGTCCAACTGTATAGAATAATATATAGAAGTGCTTAGTGAAGAATTTAGATTTTGTTGGCAATTAGAATCACATTACCCAGGAAATTGGTACTTTAAATAAAAGATCAGTTTTAATGAGTAGAAAAGTTGCCCCTGTTGGGAGCTTGCAAAGTTGGATCTAACTTACTAAATCAGTGATGCTTAATTAGCAAGAGTGCCAGTCTTAGAAAGAATTTAGATGAATTCACCCTGGTCAGATTCTATTCACTACCTGATAGTGGATAAGTTTCTTGTGCTTTTTATTATTATTATTATTATTGCTTGTTTGTTTTTCAGGTGTGTGAACTTGATATCATCTTTAATTTTGAGAAGGCTTATTTTATTTTGGATGAGTTTCTTTTGGGAGGGGAAGTTCAGGAAACATCCAAGAAAAATGTCCTTAAAGCAATTGAGCAGGCTGATCTGCTGCAGGAGGTAAGCTTGCAGTTCTCTAGACACTAGCATGTTTTGCTCTTGTTAAGAAGTATCCGTTATCTTCCCTCATTCTTAGTTTCAGAAATTACTCTGAAGCATGCTTGGCATGTAGTGTCCATGTGCAGTTTGTTGACTGGAATATGTGTCAGTCACGTCAACTCCGTTATCTATGGGTCACTTACTTTGAAGATCATCTGTCCTATTGATGGCCCAGTTTGGACCCAAAAACAGTAATTTGAGAACCCTCCATCCATTGCTCTGAATTATTTTAGATAGCCCCTTTTCTCATTAATGTAGATAATTAGGAGTTGACTGAGATTATGGCATTTTCATTCCAAATTTCATATTTTCACCTCATGTCCATTAAGTACAAATGTATCCAAGCAGATGATGGTGTTAAAATTACACTTTTTGTAGAACTCTCTAGTTTTGTGTTAGGAAAACTAACTATAAAAAGTATTTGTACTTTTCTTTGCTCTTAGATAAGAAACCATGTTCTGTCAGGTGACTACATTCTTATCTTGCCTTGATAGCACCGGAGCCATTAATAAACCCCCTTCCCTTTCTAATTTCTACATTTATTCTGGGTTAATTGTATAGTTGATGCTTCTGTACTTTTGATTTCTGAAGTTTAAAATTTCATAGATAAGGCTACCTTTTTAAAAAGCTTATTGATACCTTAATTCAGGTGCTAAGTTGAATTATTCGTTAGTGATCATTGTGGTTTTAATCAAACAAAGTTTATAGCACAAGAAGAAAGGACTACTCAATATAACAAATGTAGTATATGTTTTCATTAAGGTAATTGCTTTTTCTTAATTAAAGGAAGCTTTAAATCCTTTTTAAAAATTTATTTTATTAAAAACTTTTTTTATTTTATTTCACCCATCCTTGCACTCTCCTCCCCTTTTGGCAACCATCAACTTGTTCTACATATGTGTGGGTCTTTTTGTTTTGTTTATTCGTATGTTTTGTTTAAATCCAATTTTTTAGTACTTCTGTTATAACAGAGATGTGATATACATTTAGTGATCTTGAGTTACCAAGACAATGGTTAAGGTATCTGCAAAAGTGAAGCATTTTGTTGGGTGCCCTGATGCCATTCGATACTCAGTAGTGAAATAAGCATAGCCCCTCTTTCACGTGTGTACAGTTTTTACTGCGGTGGCTTATTAATTGATTGCAAACATGTTATTGGGGAGAATTTTTTTAGCATCAGGTGTGCTGACTACAAGCTCATAGTCTGCTCTTGTAAAGTTGGTTTGAAAATTAGCTGCTCCTTATTTTGCTGTTCACTAATCAGACTTTTCTAAAAATTAGGTCGAAACTAGAATCAGAAATTGGGGGTTTTCCATATTTGTCCCTTCCCTTGATCACTTTTATATTTCATTATTATGGAACTAGAGCCTGTTCTTTCAGATCTTGGTATTTGCTCCAAGTTCATTTCCTAATTAATTTTATTTGCCTTAAACATTTCTGAAGTTATTGAAGTTCAACTTTTAATTTTAATGTTTTTTCTGGAGAGTTATGTTTAGGCTAGTGATACCTCCTTGTGTCTGGATTGTTTTTTTAAGCTCTACTGGGAAGGAAATTGCTAGACTTTACAGTATGAAAAATATGCTAAGTTTACTTTATAGCACATATTGTGAGTATTTAATGTACTAACAGATTAAAAAGTTATTACAGGTCCATATTTATTTGTGAGAGAGAGTGTGTGAGTGTGTGTCTCTCCCCTATTGAAGTATTATAATAGTAAGTAATGTCTCTCATTTTCTGCAGTAGTATTTTTATATCTTTAATTGGGGAAAGTAGGAATGGAGAGACATCATAGGATGTCTATGGTCCCATGTAAAATTCATCTTATTAATCTCACCCTACTTTAAAGAAATTAACTATTAATTATGATTCCTTGTCTTTAGAAGAGAGTTTTGGCCCTATTTCTCATCTGTGACTACCTTTACATTGTTTTATATATAAATAAAAGTGATAGTACATTAAGACATTTTCTATTCAGTGGTCTGAGTGAACCATTTTTCTTAATTTAGCCATTCAGTTCTTGGGAAGGCTGGTTCATTATGAATTTAGAGTGAGTTATAATACATTGCAGGTTAAGGCCATTATGAAACCAAGTTACAGTCTGTATGGGCAATAAGGTTTCAGGTTAACAGGTTAACCTGTTATTCAGGTTATTCATCAACATGCTATCACATGAAACCTGAGGTGACAAGACACTTGTTTCCTAAAATGGATTCATTATATGTTGATACATAATATATGTTTACATCTCTGGAAGAATATTTGAAAATATTTGATGGTGGAATAAGATGAGAAAAAGCATTCCACAAACTACTAAAAAAGTTTTATAAGAACACCATAACAACAAAAGAGAAGTATGATGATCTCTAATGCTTATTGAGCACTTAGATATCAGGCATCCTATGCAATTTCTCAGGGTGCCCTGAGTAAGTGTCATGAGAGCCTTTGTGACAAATGAACAGTGTCTGCTCCTAGGTAGCAGTTGGCAAAATGAGGATTCCAAACTCAGGTCTACTAGACTCCAGAGCTGTGTGAAATCTTAACCATTGTGTTCTTGTCATCCCACCCCCCATTTGTGTATTGTCATGGTATGTATATTTTAAACACTCTGTTTTAGATACCAATGTCTGGGTTTCTCTGTATTGAACAGTGTAGATTTCTGATGTCTTTTAATTTTTGGAATGGAAATTTTCATTTTCTAAATTTTTAGTAGTAGTTGGAAATTTTTCATTGGATATGTAGACATAAATAATATTTCAGATAATTTCTTGTTGCATTTCTCAAAACACTTAGATCTATGGTAGCTTTTTTGGTTTTATAATTTGGGGTATAGTATTCACTTAGTCTATAGCTATAAAGACACTTAACTAAATGCAGCCTTAAATTTGTAAAAGTCTTAGTTAATTGATTTTTTTTTCTTAACTGTGCAGGGTGACCTATATGCAGGTTTTTTGTTTTTTCTTCAGTAAATTTCTGTATTTTCAACTCTCCATTGGGAGTCCACGGATGTGGGGGGCTGACTCTATGTATTGATTTCTATCATTTTATATAGGGGACTTGACCATCCTCAGATTTTGGTATCCACAAGGGATCTTGGATACTGAGGGATAACTTAAGTTTTGGGGGAGTCAAAAGTTATACTTGGATTTTTGACTGCATGGTTTTAGTGACCCTAATACCACTCCCCCTATACACACACACATTGTGTTGTTCAGGGATCAACTGGATTGTGATTTTTCTATTTGGTGTCAAGTTTTTTACTTGAATTAATTATTTCTAAACACCAAAGATGGAATTTATAATGAAAATAAATGAAGATATATGCAAATCAGGAAAGGATTTTTATTTTAGTCCTTTTTAATTTGTGAAATATACATTTCTATCCTTAGAAATGTTTCTTTTCATTTTTTTTGGTATGTGCCCCTAGTGGGAACCGAACCCAGGACTCTCTGGTCCGCAGGCTGACGCTCCAACCGCTGAGCCAAACCGGACAGGGCAAAAATTGTTTATTTTCTTTCTTTCTTTCTTTTTTTTATCCTCATCCGAGGACATTTTTCCACTTTTTGTTCAGATAGAGTGGGAGGGGGAGAGAGAAAGAGAGAACCATCAAGGTGAAAGGAACACATGAAGTGGCTGCCACCTGCACGACCAACCAGGACCCAACCAGGACCGGGGACAAACTGCAACTGAGGTACATGCCTTAGCAGGAACCAATCCCAGGTTTCTCTGGACCGCAGGCCAACGCTCTAACCCCTGAGCCAAACTGGCCAGGGCAAAAAATGTTTATTTTCTTTTTTTTTTTTTTTTTTTTCTTTTTTTTATCCTCACCTGAGGACATTTTTCTATTTTTTGTTCAGGTAGAGTGGGAGGGGGAGAGAGGAAGAGAGAGAGAAACATCGATGTGAAAGGGACACATCGAGTGGCTGCCACCCGCACGACCAACCAGGGCCGGGGACAAACTGCAACCGAGGTACATGCCCTTAGCGGGAACCGAACCCGGGTCTCTCGGGACCGCAGGCCGACGCTCTAACTGCTGAGCCAAACCGGCCAGGGCTGTTTATTTTCTTTAGAACAATTTCTTTAGAGTTTTCCTTTTACCCAATTTGTATAAATGTCATGTAGTTTATTTAGGTAGTCCTTTGTTTTCTTAGGTAGTCCTTCATTTTATAGGCAAACAGGGCAGACAGTAGTGGATAAGGTAATTTTCTATTAACATGTTATAGTTAGTAATGGGAACTTAACATAAATGTGTACTCAATAATTGCTAAAATATGAGACGTGATTAAGTAATAAAGATACCTTTTTTATTTTACTTAATCACTAAGTAAACAAGGGTTTTAGTTTTAACATGTCTGGATTGAACTGTTTAATCCTTTTGGTATTCAGTTGAATGAATGCATAGATTTGAGAGTAGGGTAAAGCCCGAAAATTTTGTTCATTATCCCGTTTTTAATGTTTGACTGTTGGAATTTAAAACATGTTTTCTTAACATGCCAGTGATACTTAATTTGATTTTTAAAAAATTAAAGTGCAACATGCTGAGATTACTAAATTGACATTCTTTGCTGTACTTGAAACATTTCCCCCCTCACACACACCAATTAAATATCTATTTTAAGCTAGACTTTTTTTTTGGGGGGGTGAGGGGGGTGGTAGTATTGGATTTATTTGATAAATATACATATAACAAAGGAAATATAGAGTGCATTTCTTTGTAAAGTAAGGCACTTAACAGTTTTTCTTTACTCCTTAATTTTATAGAGCCAGAATGAAGAATGGGGAGGTTTGTCTGAGGATATCTTATGATAAAGAGCAGTCTAAGACTTTAGTCCTTTTGACCCCCAACTTATTTATTGGTAACTACTAAATTTACCATTTTTTGTGGCATGGATAAAATGGAGTGTTATGCAAAGACTGTTGCACGTGAGATGATATAAAATCCTTGCTTGATCGGTGAAGATCAAATAGTTAACTCCTGGGCATTGGGCTTTAACCCCCAGCCTTACATGCATGATGGTGTTGATCAGTGCTTTTTGAGATGTGTCAACCTTTCTTTTTTATACTAACAGCATCATTTTGAAATTTGTGGGGGTTTTCCTTTTGAGCTTTGTTTGCTGTTGGTATTGTTTCTCACTGAAGCAGTCTGAGAAATGAAAATGTGAGGTACCAAAAGCAAGCATTACACTCATGAATTTGCTTCTACTTTGAGATGAACCATTTTATGAATAGATATACTGGATTTGCAGTTGTTAATCTGCCTTGCCTAGAAAATAGTGTTCTATGGAAAATTAGTGCTGCTAAAATTGATTTCTTTTAGTGCTGGGGCCGCATGATATATCTTAGCACTATGCAATAACTTTGTGGAAGTAGTAATCAGTTGGACTGCATAAAAAAATGGAAAGGTAAGAGTCTTAGGAGAAAGAAATGATTTCTTTTTAAAAAAATCTTTTGTAATTTAAAATTATTTAAATAAGCACTTCATGAAGAACTTAATAACATTGTCTTTTAATACAAAGTTTTGAGATTTTTTAATTAAAATCTTATTAATTAAGAATATTTGGGCATGCTAGTAAAACTCAAGAATCTTACATTGTTTTAAAACAGATGCTTTCAAATATATACAATATTTAATAGGAAAAGCATTTTGATGTAAATTCTCTTAGACAAACTCCTATAATTCCTTTGTAGTTACCACTGTTTATGTTAAAATTTTTAAGCCTAAACCTTTTTCTCTTAAATTGGGTTAAAGGTTAGCCACACTGTAGTCTTATATGCCAGCATATTTTAATTTTCTTTTTTTTTTTTTATCCTCACCTGAGGACATTTTGTTTTGATATTTTGTTCAGATAGAGTGGGAGAGAGAGAGAGAGAGAGAGAGAGAGAGAGACATCGACGTGAAAGGGACACACTGAGCTGTTGCCACCCACATGACCTAACCAGGGCTAGGGACAAACTGCAACCGAGGCACGCGCCCCCAGAGGAAACCGAACCTGGGTCTCTCTGGACCTCTGGCCGACACTCCAACTGCTGAGCCAAACCAGCCAGGGCTAATTTTCTTTTTTAATCTTCACCCAAGGATATGTCTTTTATTGATTTCAGAGAGAAAGGGAGAGAAGGAGAGATAGAGAGAGAGAGGGAAACATTGATTAGTTGCTTCCTGCATGCACCTCGACCAGGAATTGAACCTGCAACCTTTTTTTATTTTTATATCCTCACCCTAGGACTTCTTTGTTTTTATCTTCAGATAGAGCAGGAGGGGGAGAGGAAGGAAGAAAGAGAGAAACATCTGTGTGAGAGAGACACATCGAGTGGTCGTCCCCCACACAACCCCAACGGGGGCCGGGGACAAACTGCAACCAAGGCACATGCCCTTAGCGGGAACCGAACCCGGGACTCTCCAGTCTGTGGGCCGACGCTCTAACCACAAAGCCAAACTGGCCAGGGTGAACCTGCAACCTTTTTGATGTATGGGATAACACTTCAGCAACCACACATATTTTAATTTTTTTATAGGTGAAATTCACTGGTTTTCAGGTTGTAACTATTTTGCTGTATGTTTATGTGTTTTTAAGTTCCTTTATTTTTCTGCTTTTCAGAATTTTGAGGCCCCCCTCTCCCTCACTGTTTGATTTTAACTTATTTCGAGCCAACTCTTGCTACTTTGGGCTATTTGTAATAATGAAAAGTTGTAATAATTTAAAATAGTAACTGTAAATCTGATTTTCAAAAAACTCACAGTAATAAGTACATTTTATATCACAATACATACAAATAAACCAAAAAAAGTATGTTAAATAATATAGTCTTATTTCTTGTTTTGCAATCTCACATTTTCTATTCTGTTATATTCTTCCTTTTTCCAGTGCTGATCCTGATTTGCTAAATTGATTGCATGAGCCCTAGGATTGGGGCCTGCAAAAGAACATATTACTGGCTGTTGATGATAACATTTTTCTTTAAAAAGTACTTTCTTAAATACTATAGGATTTGAGTTATTTTTTACTCCTACTAACACATTCTTTTTTATTTTCTTATATTGTTTCCTCTGTTGCTGTTTTTAAAAAATCCTTTTATAGGAAAATTAACAAATATAGGCAAGTGCAATAGAGCATAATCTTACCCACCAACCAGAGACAATGAAATTAAGTCGGGTGGCAGGGGCAATTGTGCCTACTTAGAGAACATTGGGCAACATCTGGACACATTTTTGATTATCACAACTGGCGGTGGGGTGCTACTGGCATCTAGTAGGTTAAGACCAAAGATGCTGCTAAGCATCCAACAGTGACAAGGACTGCACTTCTAGAACAAGGAATTATCCGGCCTTAAGTGTCAATAGTGCTGAGGTTGAGAAATCCTGGTTAATTTAACGCCATGGAATCTATAAAGATCCATTTATAGATTGCATTTACATTAAAGACTGCTACATCTTTTCAGTTGTACATATGGAAAATAATACAATGATTAATAATAACAATACAGGAATAAACTCTATTTTGTGTGCTCACAACTGTAAACCTACTTTTGCCCCACCCTGTATATAGTCCAGAGTATAAATGACTAGATGGAAATGAATCAAAGGATAGGAGGGGAAGAAAAGGAAAAAAAACCTTATATATTATGAAAGGAGGACAGATATCCTTAACACGAAAATTCCTGGAAAAATCACCTCTGTGATGCACCAACATTACTTTAACTCGATAAACAGTGCCTAGGGAGATAATCTATGGTTGACTCCAGCACATAACCCACAGGAAAGCTTGTGGGATATCACTGTATAATTTAATTTCCTCACCCACCACCAAATCTGTTAACATCTATTAAGGTAATTGAGTTTTTACCTAGAAACAGAATTGAATATACCCTCCAGGCAGTTAGAACACTTTTGAATTTTCTGCTCTATTTGTTAATTTCTTAAAGGAGGAATAGTTTAAATGATCAGAATTTGCGTATATGGACTTTTATTGTGTATAGACTTTGTTGGTTTTTTTTGGGGGGGGGCACCCAGTTAACCTTAAAGAATTTACTCTGTAAAGATATTTAGAGTTTGCATATTTGAAATTCAGTGATTTCAGGGAATCTTTTGTTTGGAAAATCCTGGTTAAATTTAGGGCATTTCAAGTTATGATCCAAATGAAAGATCAAGGCAAATATATAATTACCCTAAAATATGCATAAAACTTTGTAGTCTGTTATATTTGCTAAGTTAGTTATTTCTAAGTTAGTTATTTTATATTTTAAAAGTACAATTAACTGCCAGAGAAAGTAATTTATTACTAACAGGTTTTAGAACAGGGTTTATAGAGATGTAGTTAAGTTATCCCCATCATTTTTATGACAAAAATGAAGACAAATGTAATAGAAATAGATCAGAACAATGGAAAAAGACAGCAGTAGATATATGAATAAGTCATTCACAGATGAAAGAAGAAACAAATGGTCCTTTTACTAAGAGTATATAAATTAAAATATCAGTTAGACCTACACCAACATTACTTTATTTTTGTTCTGTTTCTTTTTGGATTGGCAGAGATGAAAGAGACCCTCTTGTTTGTTGCTTGTGAGCACTTAGACTTGTATTCCATTTTGTGGGCGTTACTTTAGTGATATCTGTAAATGGTTAAATGTGTACACTTTTTGACCCTTCAGTTACAGTTCAAGGAATTTTACCCAACAGATATATACAAATTCGCCAATCTATAAATGTACAAATGCATCAAGACACATGGTCAATATAATATTAAGCCATTGGAGTGTACACAAACACCCATCAATGGGGAATAGGTTAAGAAAGTTACAGTGTGGCCATACATTTGCCTTTCTGTAAAAGAAATGAGATCAGTTTCTATGTAATGTTATGAAAAAGATAATCAAGGTATATCAAGTTGGAAAAGATTTAGGAGCAGGACATTAACTTAATGGTATTAACTCTGAAAATGTTTGAGTCTCCCTTCTTTCCTAGAAGTATAAAATAGGCATGTATTATAAGTACTTTTAAATGACAAAATGCTGTGTGAATGGAAGAGTATACACAGTGTTGATCTATTAGGTCAAACGTAGAATAGACTTTGCTAAAAAAGAAGTTTCAGCATGTAAAGCGAAGCATTTGTGTATTCTTTTTACCATTTTAGACACCGTCTGGAACAATTATTGCTCTTGCCACTCATTACTAAATGTAAAAAAAAAAAAAAATCGCTTGACTTTCCTAATGCCTTACAGTTGGTTGTGAAATAACACTGATACCATGAGCCCTATAAGTCCTGTCTTCTAAAAGGTACTTAAAATGTGCTTTCAAGTCTTTTTTTTTATTCATTGCTGAACATAGATCTTAGTGAGTTTGGATATTCTCCGTCCCTTTGGCCCTTTGATCTTCAGCACAGGGAATAGGGTTCCAGAGTTGAGAGTAAGGACTTTGCCACATAATTTAATGAGAGGTAATCAAAAGGACCATTGTATTCTGAACATGAAGGACAAAGGATACTACTTTATAATGCAAGGAATAAATGAAGCCCCTTTGCACGAAAAAGTAGAGTAGAGCTGTAACTTCAAATTGCACTTACTTGTTTTACATTAAATGTAAATCATTTTCTCTGACTACATTGTGTACTAGAAAGAGAAAATCGGAGACTAGGTTTTCAATTTTGGATGTAATACCACTAGTTTACTTAAGCAGTTCTAATTTCAACAAGATTTAAGCTGTCAGATAATTGCTAGTTTACCGTTTTCATTGTAGTTTTCCCAGATTACTTTGCATCATCAGCCTTGTGAATGCCTGGGGAATCTTAAGGTAATGGCTTTGTCTTTTTTAAGGAACATGGGTGGTTTTGAGAACAGGTGTAACTTAATTCCTCTCAATGTTTGTGATCCTACACTTCCCATTCCACCTGGTCCTTTTTGTAGGGGGGTGAGAAAAAGATCATTCTGAGTATGGAGGAAAGTTGAACATATGTATATTAAGGAGAAGGATCGAATGTAAAGAGTGATGAAAAACAGTTATAGAATAAAGGGGAAAGTATATTGGAAGGGTGAATGGGAATGGAATCAGGCATTGGTCTTGGGAAAGTAGAGTTTTTCCTTCTTTCTTGAGGAAGGAGATAATGTGGGAAAGTTGGAGATTGTTTTTTTTTCTCATGAGTTGAGCGAGTGAAATTAAGAGTGTTGTCATTTTCTTGGCTTTGGGAAGAAACGTCAGCTAATGGAGAGCTGCTGGGGACTGAGAAGAAAGCAAAGGTAGAAAGCTTCAGGAAAATGTTGAGGGTTTGGAATAGACTTAATGGAGAGCAAATCAGTGATGAGCACAGGATTGAAGGCCCATTTCAGATTGAAAACGATGAATGCCTAGTCTTTATTCAAAAAATAGGTCCTCAGTAGTCTGTACTAAGGGCAACTTTGATTTGTATTTGTATAACAACAACTGGATTAAGTGTTTTCCTATAGAATTATTTCTATTTTCATTCTGGCCTATGTTCCTACCCAGTCTACATCACTGACATTTTAGTGTATTAAGAAACTCCATTTGCTGGGTAGTAGAGAAGACAGTTCTGCACAGGGCCCCTTATATGTTATGACAGTTTACTCTCACCCTCCAAGTATTCCATGACTCCTAAGAGGTACTGGTGGTACAAGGGCCCAGAATATTGGAGTTATGTTCAATCCTTGGTTAATTATGGGCGTATCTATCATTAAGTTAAAAATCAACCTTAAATGTTAAGTGGTTATTAATGCATTTGTTTATAGCGCAACATTTTCAGACCCTAGCCGTCTGAAATGGGAGGTTATTTAAAATATGTTCCAGCAACTTAAAAGTAAAGTCAAATAATACATTTCTTTTTAGGGTTTTTTCCTCCAAGGATGTTTTTCCAATAAACAGGGTTTTCTCTATGAAGACTATTCTTCACAGTTGATGAATGCTAATTTCTTATTCAAGTACAACATTCTGGATCATTGGCTGTAAAAAAACATTTTGGTTTATCACCAACCCTTTCCTAAAGGTAGTGAAAGATCTGTCACCTTTGAGAAATGTTCCTATAGAATTATTTGTTCTCTTTTATAGTAAGTCTCCTCTGGGGAGGAATGGTTGTGTGCTCAGCCCTATTTGGGAAACTTTTAATGGGCATAAGCTGTCCATGGTATAAAATTAAGAGAGACAACAAAAAGATTAAAAGCTATAATATATATGCTCAAAGAATTGGTATTATTTAGGTGAAAGGTTATTTGACAGACTTAAACTTTTCTTATTCTCTCTCCAGAAAACAGCATGAATGTGTATCACAGCGAGAGTTGCATGGGGTGTAAGAAAGCATACTAGAATACGTGCTGGAGTACTGACATGCATCAAAATGTAGTAGGATATATAATTCAGTTTGTAATAATAAGTTTTTAAAATTTGTTATTTATATTTTAGCATTATCTGAAAAGTCTAATTACATCAAACCCCAAGGGATAGTCCCAATTATTTTATTTAACTGATATTAGGGAATTTTGCTCTCGTAATTATCCATCATTTATTTATTTATTTATTTATGTTACACAGAGAATACTGAAAGAGGTTCATTGACAAAAAGTATTATTAAATACTATGACTCACCAATGCCATTGATACAAATATAGAATTACCCTTGCAAAATGAAACCTTCTAGAAGAAAATGAAGCAATTGGAGGTTTAATTTATTATTAATATTTTAACTTGCCACTTCATTCCACTATAATCTATTCTGAGTGGGGGGAAAGGGCAATTATCTCTTTAAACTGTTTAGGAATTATCTGAGGATTAAAATTTAACTGGCTTTTCTCTTCAGATACTTTTGTATTTAATGGTTATTTTATAAGGGATCTATTACATATTTTATTGGAGCACTTTACATGACTTTGTAACCTAACATTTCAAAGTGCCAAGTTGAATAAATATAAAAATGAGGATATTTTTTAAAGCACTCAAATAAGCAGTTTTAAACTTTTTTTTGAGTCACAAGTCTTTTGGTGTGGGTATAATCCCAAGGAGTCTGAAGGGCCATGGGTCCTCGTCTCAGGAAAATCTGCACATAATTTTGCCTCTAGTTCCAGGAGGTTCTTGGAGTCCCTAGAAATTCATCTCCGGACGCTCTAAGGTCAGTTTAAAACCACATCTCAGGTTACCTGTGAGAAACATCTTTTTACATACATTTGTAGGCATAGATATTTAAACAAATCTGTTTAAAGAGTTCATTAAAGAATTATTTCAAAAGTAATGTATTCTTAGCCTCAAAGGCCTAGTCTTTGGGTGTTTTTGTGTGTGTGTGTGTGTTTTAAGCTAAGTGAACCTCTATCGCTACTTAAAATACCAGATTGGGTGACGACTTTTCCACTTTTTCTTGGGAAAATTTTTCTTTAGGATCTGTAAAAGAGTTTATGGTCACCTTAGGATGTAATGATTTTCATTAAAGGATTAAATTCTTTGACTTAGTGTAATAAAATCCTGATGAATTTGAATGTACTGGTGGGAAAGAGTATTCTACTTGCATTTTCACTTAACTCAGCATTGACCAGGTGATTACACTGAAAATATTTTAGGATTCTTTAGGATGTAGGTCATTTTGATTATCATTATAGATATAGTAAAGTTAATAAAAGATGAATGTGAACTCTTGGACATTGTTTAGAAGTTAAATATTCAGTCATAAATCAAAGAACAAAATCAAAAATTTAAGTTTCAATTAAGTTTTCTTTACTGTGCACTAAACCTTCTAGAAATCTAATTGTGTCTGTCAGTTTATATACTGTGTGTAAGAACATATGCATTTCTTTTGTAGCCACGTCATGAATATTTTAATGTCCCAGTGTACTAATTGACTACTACGACGTATGCAGACTCTCACAGAGGAAATAGAGAGCTGATATACTTATGAAAGAAAATATCCTCAGCTTGGTCACCATCATATAATAATAGAACGTTTCAGAATCAATACCTTTACAATTGTAATTTTGTTCCTGTTCTTATTCCTTTTTTCTGTTTTATTTTCATTCTATATGTGATCTTAATATAGCTTATTCCTGCTTGCTGCTGGTTTAATTTCTTCTTGGAAAAATATGACCTATGAATGTTTTAGTGATATCTCAAACACATACATGTCATTTGTGAACCATTTGTGATTAATCTTGTAAGGGGAAAACCTAGCAATCATTACAATGTTTACCAAAGAAAATGCAACTGAAATGCTAGGTCTAAATAAGCAGTGCCATAATATAGAGTGTGGTTTGGTCTTCAAATGCTGGGGGAAAATATTGCAGCCTATATGAGCTAATGTGTTTTACTGTATCACATAAAAGTGTTTTTGGAAATACAAGAAAATAAAATCTGTACTATGCCATCATTTAAGGTAAAACACAGTTTTTAATAAATTTGTAATGCCACATTTACTGTCACATTTATGCAATATAATAATATCAAAGAGTCCCTTTAAGAACTACCAGCAAACTATGTCAGAAAATCTCATCTGCAATATGTATTTAATAGTAACCCTTTCAAGGTATTAATACTGAGTTTATATAGTCATATTTTACTGGTTATGGTTTTATATAGTCTCTATTTAAAATACTTAATAACTTTTAACTGATATTTCTGAATGTTAAAATCTTAAATATTGATCATTATTGTGTATACTTTTAATAAAACATGCAACATAGTTTTTTGTGAAAGGAAAGTACCAAATAATTCATTGTTTATACCTAGAGAGTTTAAAGCTTGAGTTAAGTAAGCTATCATTAAACAATAAATTCAAAAGATGCTCAAACTGGTCTACCACTGAAAGACCTTTGAAAATGTATCAGACAGGCAGTATCAGGCAGGCAAGCAGATCAGTTCTTACCATTCTTACTATGGCACCTGGATGGGCTATGAAATGAGAAATTAGCATCGTACATTGAAAGCATTAGGAAACATTGGTCTTTCATTTCCATTTCCCCCTCCATCCCCTCCCTCTGCCCTGCAATATATTATTTATCTGGTTTTAATGCTGCATAAATATGCATTGCCTCATGCCTGTTTGCTCTGGATGCTGTGTGCTGAGCTGTAACAAGATGCTGCTTCTTTTGTTATTTGTATACAGCTGCTTGCTTTAAATTAGTATATTCTGAAATAGCTTTCCTTGCATGTCTAAAATAAAAATATTGCATGTACTCTGTCTCATGTGAATGACTTTTTTCTTCTCCAGCTATTTATTTTTAATCGTGGTAAAAGAACACATAACAGAATTTACCATCTTAACCATAGTTAAGTGTACAAACATTCAGTAGTGTTAAGCATGTTCACATTGTTGTGAGAGCTCTCCAGAACTTTTTCATATTTCAGCACTGAAACTCTGTACCCATTAGACAACATCTCCCCATTTCCCTCTTCCTTCAGCCCTTGGTAACCACCATTCTATTTTTTATGTCTTTATGAATTTGACTCTTTGATAATAGTTTTCCTAGGTAATTTTGAGCCACAATTTCAGTGTGAACATGTGAAAATTACATTTTATATTCTAGACAATTTGAAAAAACTCTAATGTACTATCTGTACAAATATGAAAGGAATAAAATGTGTAAATAATTCTTTGAAACCAGGCCTTTTAAAAAGGACAGATATTTTAATAATGAATATTTGATAAGCAACATGGTGCTCATCGAGAAATGCTATATAAGATTGCAGGCAATGAGCACATAGGGGAAATCTGACCAGCTCCAGGGAGTAGGATGCGGGACAATTTTACATGGATAACTATAGAATTCAATGTAGGCACCCTTTTAATGAATACTTTAAAGGTTGAATGACATTTAAAAATATTTAATGTTAAATGAAAATGATTATTTTTAAATTGTTTTATTTTACTATTGTTCAGTGTATTCAATGTTTAAGGTTAGACATTAAAAATGAAAGAGATTGACTTGCATTGCTCTTGGGAGTGTTACATCATTTTCATTGGACTTTCTTTAAAAGTATATCAGGAAAACTGAGACATGCAAAGAGAATGGTACTAGGAACCCTCGTGTACACATTGCTCAGCTTCAGTAACCATCAGCTCAATACTCTAATTACTATACTTAATTTCATCAGCCACCACCACCCCATTTTGCCTTAGTATTTTAGAGCAAGCCCTAGACATCCTATCATTTCATCTTTGAAACTAAAATATGTATCCCTAAAAGATAAGTACCACACCTCATAAGATTAACAGTAATTCCTAATATCTTACTTATTCCTGGTTCAATTTTTCCTAATTGTCTGAAAAACAAACTGACTCCTTAACACAGCAGGTACTGTATCAGTCTCATTATCTGAAAAATTAATTTTTATAATTGGTTTGTTAGAACCAGATTCCAAACAAGGCTCGAATTGTTATCTAGCTGATGTCTCTTAAGTCTCTCTTAATTTTTAATAACTCCGCTTTCTTCCTCCTTGCCTTTTTCTTTCTTTTTTTTTGTTAACTGAGTCACCTGTGCTGTAAAGTTCCCTCCATTCTGTATTTGGCCAATTGTAATCTTGTGGTGATGTTTGACTTGTTTTCATCCATATCTAGCTCTGTAGTCTGGTTAGGTTGAGGTTCACTTTTGGGACCCAAGAATACTTCATAAAAAATCACCTTTTTCAGCAAAGCTGATTTTTACCCATTTTTTCATTAATATACAAACATACTAAAAGGTCATCATATGAACTTTAAATAGAGTTGGTATATAGTACTTCATTTGCTACTAAATGCTAAGTACCTTTATTTAGATTTCAACTGTGTAATGCTATCAGCTAACAGATTTTGAGCACTTTCTGTATGTCAGGCACTAAGCCATATCTCCCTTAATCTCTACACATGAAGGTAAGTTTTGTGATCCTTGTTTTCCCAATGAGGAAACACCATGGAGTTTTAAGTGTAATTTATTTAAATTATTCCATGTAATTATATGGAATATATATGCTTTACATGCAATCTAAAAATGGATTTATGGTTTAATATATATTTTTTTCTTTGTTTTTGTGCTGTACCACAATTAGGATGCAAAAGTAAGTTAATTTATTGGGTACTAAATATTACATTGTTTTCCTTCATTAAAATATACTATGCTTTTTAATTACAAAATTGTTGCTAATAATACCTGAAATTTGATCTACCTGGTCCCTTTTTATTTTGTGAAGTGCAAAATCAGCCACTTTGGGAAATTTGAAAATATTTTTTTCTAGATATGCCTGCTTTGTCTTCCTTTGATGTTTAAAAATGAGTATTATTTGTTACATAGGACAAAAATGTCTTTTATCCCAGAGCATTCTTTCTGTATGTTGCCTCCACCAAAGCCATTGATTGCCCTGGGGAGGTGAGTTTCTGAAGCTTTGTGGCTGGGGACAGTTAAGTAAAAAACTGGGTAAAAACTCAGAGAGGAAGACATTTCTATAAATACTTGTGACCCCCTTCCCCCACATACACACACTCAAAAGCATGGAAACCAAAATTATGTGAGGAATTGGCAGAACTTTTTCCCTGCTTTTTTTTTAGGGGAGGTTTTGAATTTTAACACTAGGATAACTTGCCTTTCCTGTAGATAGATACAGTAATTCAGTAGCAATGATTTCTTGAATTGCCAGTGGGTTTGACTGCTTTTTATGTTATAGCAAGTGTTTGGCACATTTGTCGGTAATCAAGATATTTAATGCATGCAGAAAATATCCTGTGGCTTCCAATGTATGGAGTACAGAACCACTGGCTCTCCGTAGTATGCCCATACTACTGAACTGCTTGCATTCTTCTCTGAAACTTGCAAGTCCTTCTGTGTCAGTTTCACATTCTCAAGCCACCCTGATCTGCTTACCAGAGTCTCACATTTTCCCTCCACAGGAAGCTGAAACCCCACGTAGTGTTCTTGAAGAGATTGGACTGACATAACTCTCCTCCCTTGTTGATGACTTCTTGTGGCATTTCACACACTGTAGATGGTCACTGCCTTCATGTCCATGTTAGCTAATGGTGTAAGATGATGTCTTGTCAGTATTACTGTTTTGCTAAGCTGCTTCATTCAGGCCTACACAATTTTTTTTAAAGGGAACTTTGGTTAATCAATTGATAACTTAAGGGACTTAAATATGAATTGGAGTGATAGAGAAAAAGAAAGTACCTAGGTATTTAAAGGTTTATAGGTCTGTTTCTCTTAATCTGATTATAGCTATGAAAATGACAATCAGGCATTATACACTTATTAATTACTGTCTTTGGCAAAGGAAACTTATGAAACCAAAGACCAGTGTACTTCAGTATACATGAGAATAAAGGGAATTGACCTGTCACGTATCAGGTGAATGAAAATTTAACTCTATGTTGAATCTTTATAAAAAAAAAACCAACCAAATTTATACCAAAGGCCCTTATTGGAAGCTACATACCTGAAAAAAAGGGAATATACATATGACTAAATTGGAATTATGCTGTTTTACAATAAAAAGTATTTCTTTGGCATTCCAAACCTGGGATGAAGAACAGAGATTGACTGTTTCATAATAGCAAGCATGTTATTTTTAAGGCCAAGGAATATTGGACTTCCGAAATAAATTTTTTGTGTGGTCATAATCATTTAGTCACTTAGTTGGATTGTTTTTGAAACCCCAAAATAAAGTGGAAATGTTGACTTACCAGGAATTCTTCATGACAGATTCTTACAGAAAATATGTTACTCTCTTCACAAAGTGTTGACTAAATCATTTAAAGCACTAATGTTCCTTCTGGGGTGCTTGTTGCAGCCAAATTCATTTTGCTCACCTCTATTGCTTCCCTCCACGTAGAAGTGCTGCAAATTTCAGGGCAGCTTTCTGCCCTTCCATGGCATTGTCTAGTTATGAGAAATCTTATAAAAATAAAAACACCACCTTTAATATAAAAATGAGAGCTGAATGAGGTAAAATGGCATTAGTGGGTCCTATATTTTTAAAAGCTGTTTCAATGTCACTTTTGTACATACGCCATATGTAAACATGTCTTAACAGTTTACACTTTCATGTGTATTTGCTGGGCTGGATTAAGCTTTATTGTGATTATGACCAGTATTCAGGCCACATGTGTATATTGTCACATCACACCGCCAATTAGTTGTAATAAATGTTCAATGTACACTCCTGTAGTGTGTTTTTATCTCTTTCCAAAACCTTGTCAAACTAGAGAGAGCTGCTGAAGAAAAAATTTTAAGGTTTTTTTTTTTTCAGTAACATGTTGAAAATTCACCTCCATTTGAATGTGGTGGTTGTTAAAAGCACACACAAGATAAATGGCAGATATAAGGAGTTTTCATATACCTAAGTTCATTAAAAAATAAAGTGGATTCCATGCTACTGAGAGCTAATCTGCACATTTATTTTCAATCAATAAATGCCGCTTTTAAAACCTGATGTACTTGACTTTTCTAGTCTTTCTGAATGAGCAACTCCGATTACTCCAGGTAATCAAAGGTATTCCAAAGCAACAAGACCCCCTCACCCCATGAACTGGAGATGATAGCACATTCACAGAACGGACTGATTTTGTCAACTACTGTCTCATAAACAGCAGATCAAAGCTTAGTTAAGGGACCTCCTATTAACTACAGACGAGAAGTGTTATGTATGAGAAAACTACCATCAAATCAACTTGTTAGTCTGCTAAAAAAAAAAGTTGTAGACTTAAAGAGCCTCCAGTACACTATTCACTGAAAATAGGCCTATGGGCTGCAGGCAATGTTGAACTTTTTGAATCATAGTAGTAATCAAGTTGTAAGTTTAAAAAACATTGATAAATTTAAGTTCAAGATGGACACTTATCAGGATAATGAACTAGTCTGTGGTTTAAAAACTGCTTCCTTCCTCTCCATGCCACACTGCCCATGAACACCTGGACGTCACCAATATCTCATAACCTTGATTGAGCACAAGCTGGTGTTTATCCTCCACAACATTTTCCCCTCCATGACCTGCTAAAGACTTCAGTTTGAATACCACCTTTAATTGTATGTGACTTGGCTGTATTTAGGAAAGTATTGAAAAATTGAATTCAGTGATAATTATTTGGTGTTAGTGAATCCTGTAAATAATTACAGAAAATTTACAATCATTTTTACAGTAAAGTGGGCATTTAAATCCTGGAACAAATCAATTTTTAAAGTAAAATGTATTCTGGACCATATACTTCCTTTTATAGACTACAGATTCAAGGACTCATTTTCAACAAATACCACTCAGAAATCCCATTCTTGAAATTTCTATTCCTCATTCTGCTAACTTCACTATTTTGTGTATCCTTAAGTCCTTATTTCCAAATTTCAAGGTGCCAAATGGCATATACTCTGAAATTCAAGATCCCCAGTGTGTCAGTGGAAAAGAGGTTACTAAGAAATTAAAAATTTATGAGGGAGTGTGAGCAATTTTTTTATGATCTGAAATCCAGAGAGCAGTATTTTACCTTAAGCTTTTAAAATAGAATGTTCTCTAATTACTCCCCGTTTTTTGAACCAGAATTGTGTGACACTAGGCATATTTAGTAGCAATGACCCCGATTTTCTTGAAAATGACTAAAAGTATCTGTATATAGAGAACTCTCCAATACACTATAAAAAAGAACACCCAGCCCAGCCGGTGTGGCTCAGTGGTTGAGCATCGACCCATGCCCGGGTTGTGGGCCCAATCCCCAGTGGGGGGCATGCAGGGGGCGGCCAACTGATGTTCTTTCTCATCGGTGTTTCTATCTCTCTTTCCCTCTCTAAATCAATAAAGAAAAAAAAAATTTTAAAGAACACCCTAAAGGGAAACCTGTAGCTGAGGAGGGACTGCAAATATGGGATATGTAAAAAATCCAACAGATTTTTAATAAAGGGCAAACAATCAAATTTAATGGCCCCTAAATACAGAAAAAAAAGTTTTTTACTTAGCCAATGCGTACAGAAACAAACAGTTAAACACATAAAGTTTACCAAATTGGCGAAAAGTAACATGGGGTGTGGGAAGAACAAAATTTATTACTGATAATTTGTGTAGTTTTTCTGGAGGGCAATTTGGAAATACTTCAGTATTCAAATCTCTTGATATAATTTATCCTAAGGAAATGATCAAAAATATATGAAAGTAAGGAAATCCACCACAGGATTATTTGTTTATAGCTGTTGATTCTTTAATAGTGTAAAAGTTAAAATAATTTAAAATTTAACAAGGGGGATATGGTTGAATAAATTGAGAGATCCACACTATGCAGTGAGTAGAAATACCATTAAGAATGGGGCTTGAGAAAATACGACAATATTTTGTGTGAGAAAAAGCACATTCAACTGCAGCCATCTATGATCTTTGAGTAAAAAAATGTGCACGTACCCATAAGCAGAGAAAGAAGACTGAAGTAATGCTCCAGTGTTAACTGGTTATCTTTAAGGGGTAGGATTACAACTAAAATTCATGTTATTAATACATTTAGGTTCTCTAAAGGAAGCACATAAATTATCAGAGAAAAAAGATGTATTTTTAAATAGAGTTCCATATGACATAGGGTTCTGCCAGACTTGCTAACGCATTTAAGCTCAGAGCCCTCTATTCAGGTATGGAGCAGCCATAATAAATAACATATGCAATCATTTAAAAACAAAATCGGTTTATTTGGATTTGGGACTATGAATAGTTCTGTCTCTACTATCTGACCTCCTCCCACCACGACTCCTGGACCTGGAGGGGCTGGGGCTCCTGGGGCTCCGACTCCGGCTTCGGCTCCGGCTTCGGCTCCAGCTCCGGCTTCGGCGGCTTCTGCTACGGCTGCCCCGGCCCCGGCTACGGTCCCTTTTTCTTTCTCTACTTCGTGAACGGTGCCTTTCACGACTTCTTGCCGAATGTCTGTGAGATTTCTTACTCTTGTAGCTACTTCTCCTTTTCCTCTCAGCTTCTCCATTCCTTTTGTAGGAACGGGTCAGACTGGGGCTTCTTCTCCTCCTGGGCCTGCCATAGTACTCATCATGGTGGCCCATCCTCTCTCTCCTCTCTGAGTTCTTACCAAAGGAAGAGCCAGACCGATCTGGAGACAGGTAGATGTCCCTATTAGCTTCCCAAAATTCATTGTTGGGATTTCTGAACACGTGAAGAAAGTTGCAGTGTTTTCCTCTTGGGCATTGCTGTATTTCATATAAACCTGCAATGGCACATTGAGGAAACAACATTTATTGCTGGTACTTTATCCTTCTTAGAAACTACATTTCTCATGTTGGATGTGACAGAATTGTTTTCTTCTTTGTATTATTTAAAAGGGGCTTACATAAATTGATGTTACGGTTTTGGTTCCCAGGACTTCAATATATTCAAGTGCTCTAACAAATGGCACTGTGAAAAGTAACAAATCAGAAGTCTTAATTAGCCAGGATACCCTGTCTTTCTACTGGATTATATGTGGAGTGCAACTGACAATGCAGATCCCTAATTAACACTTTAAGAAGATGGTAAATATTGGCCTAATGCTTTCAAATTTACCAAGTGCCTTTAATATGGAAGATTATTGTCAAAGGTGAAATCTATCTGAACAACTCAGAGATCTTTTTGGGGTTTTCAAAATTTTTTGAAAGCCGTAAATTTCCCAAATATATAAAACAGTTAAAAGTATAATACCTCCATACCACATACTATATACAAAAAGAAAGTCAAAATGGATCACGGTCCTGAATGAAAGACACAAAACTATGAAACTCTAAAGCAAACATACAAGTAAAATCTTCATGACATGGGGCAAAGCAACGGATTATTAGATATGACAGCAAAAGTAAAGCAAAAAAGAAAAAAAAAACAATAGATAAATGGGATTTCATCAAAATTAAAAACTTTTTTGCTTCAAAAAACACCATCAAAGTGAAAAGACAACCCACATAATGGGAAAAAATATTTGCAAATCATATGTGTGATATGGGACTTGTCTATAGAATAAATCATGACCTCTTACAACTCAGTAATAAAAAGACATATAACCTAATTAAAAATGGGCAAGGATCTGAACAGACATCTCTCCAAAGAAGATACACAAATGGCTAATAACAAGGACATAAAAAAAAATGCTCAAAAATAACCAAGCAGTTATTTTTTAAAAAAAGTGAAATTGTGTCCTGCTTTGGGGGAGTCAAAGTCACATTCAGAAGCAACTCACTGAAATCATACTGGATTGCCAGGAACTGACAAAAGTAACTGCCTTTACGGAGAACACAGTTCCATTTTTTTCAGCCTCCAATCCTTTAAACTTAAGGTATAATGGTTCTTCTGTTTTTCCAAAGCAAGGGAATTCCAAAATATTTTTTCTCTTCAATAAATGGTTTTTAAGTGACAGCATCCATTAAGATAAGGTTGCCAAAGATTCAAACTTCATAAATTATAGATTTTTAAATAAGAGGTGTTAAGCAGGCGAGTGTAAAGCAAAGAAAAGGGTCAGGGATGTGCTCTCCTAAGGCATGAATAGCTTCATCTCTTTGCTTCTGGGTACCTTAGCTATACAGTTTCACTAAGCCTATCCAAAAGAAATAAAAAAAGAACGAGGCCATCAAAACTGCTGGGTACTCATAGGACTGAATCATATCCTGATTCAGGGCCACTATCGATGAGTCAGTCTGACTGAATGTGCCCTCAACACATCCTACAGCTAGAATCAGTCTATTGCACAAAAGCATGTATTTCAAGTAAGGCAAGGGATGTTATAGGTAATGTTTTAGGTGGCAAAGATGACCAAGGATTCATTAGGGATAAAGATGGGGAAAACAACATAGCTCAAGTGAGGGGAGCCAATGAATAGCAAACACCTCTGAAACCGTGATAAGGAAGGGTGGCTTCCCATGGACACAACTTCTCAGGCTTTCTAAAGTGTCAGACACAGAGCTCCAGGACTGAGGACAAGAAGACCCAATTCTAGCCCAACTCTGTCACCAATACATTGTGACCTCAATCATGTCATGCACAGAGACCCAACAAGGTGTGTTACATATAGATCTAAAATGTGATGTCCTTTATCTAATCATCTCGGCTCATGTACTGCATGAGGTAAAAGCTATTTTTTATCCCTTTAAAAGATTATTATTATTAATAATATTAATATTATTATTAATTAGTAAGGATATCCCTTTATATAACAGTGGAACAACTGGGGAAAAATCATCACGTTATATTTTACCACAAATTGCCATTTTCCACCGGGTCACTGGGCAGAATTCACACTGAAGCTGTCGTCCTGCATACCATCGTCCATTAAACAGAGAAAGGGCCGCTTGGCATTCTTCTTCCCTTTAAACCACAAATTAAAAGACACTTTATAGTAATAATCTAATATATAGATTAACTCTGTTGTTAATTAACCCTTTTATTAGTTGACTGTAGGACCACTCAGCTTACTGCTTTTGAACTACTGAGAGAGTACACATTAGAACATTCCAGCTCCTGAAGCTCACAATTTATTCAGGAACTAATCCTCTGAGAGGTTCTGATGCATGGAAATTGGCTTGAGTCAAAGCTTCTTAAACCAAAAGATGGGACCATTAAAAATGCAGAAGTGTTTTCCTTTGTCAGAGATCATTGTTTCTTAGCTAAGATTGCTGTTCTTATTACAATGGTTAATGTAACCCATTAGCCACGGCGCGGCCCAGGCAAACAGCAAAATGAGCAGAAATGATACACTAACTGCACAATGAGATTACTTGGGGCTTCATTTCCTGGCTCTTTTGATTTATACTTTTCTATTCCCTATTCTAGTTATCCCTTTAGGTTTGTATTTTAATTATTAAAATTATGTAAGTAAAAATAATTATATTACAGAACATTCAAAACTATGTACTTATACAAAGAATGAAATTCAAATGTATTATTTTCAAATCCCTTCTATATTTCTATATCAGCTCTTACTATTTACATATTTTAAAATACCATGCATATAAAAGCTGTATTATTCAGTGGAAAGAATCCCAGACATCAACATAATCACAACACTGTACTGTGACAAAATGTGAAGACATTTTATGTTCAGAATACTTACGATTGGTACTGAACATACACATTTCCCCTCAGATGAGGTTCCAAGTTGCAGCTAACCTAAGGAGCAATGAAGAATTCTATCATTAAAATTTTTTTAAAAAACTAAGGAAAAGAATCCCTTTAGTCATCAACTGCACTTTGTTCAGGTCAATACTGCCAAAAGTAGTTATCAATTGAAGATTCCAAAATCAAGGTACTACCCCACTCTCAAGTCTATTTAAGGTATACTTCTACACATAGAAGGCTTGCAGGCCCCAATTATCTGACCCTGTTCATCCAGATCCTTTTTTTCCATAGATATGAAATGTTTCACATATGCACAGAAATACAGAGAACAGAAATCAGCCCATTGATACACCACCCAGATTTAACACTAACATTTTCTTTTTTGACTGAGAATTTTAAATATGTAAAACATTAAAGGCCCAGTTGAAGCTCTTCCATCCTATTCTCCCTCCTCCATCACATACATGAACACTATCCTTCACATTCCAAACATAAACACACACACACACACAGATATCATAGCCACACATACACAGGCACATACACATCAAATATATACATACATTATGTATAGACATCCACAGAAATGTATGTCTATTATGTATATATGGGTATACACATTTATGTATATGTATGCAAAGAAACATGTATATGTATTGACAATTTATAGCACTGCTTTGTACATATTAAAATTTTACATAAATAGTATTTATTCTACATTTTTTCAAGATGTAATCCCATAACCTTAATGACTAATTTTAACTACTGTATACTGGGTATATCAAATTATCAAATTAATTTGTCCACTTCTCTAACGACAGATATCTGAGGTGCTTATAATTTTTCAACAAACAGTGCAACAGTCAGAATCTGGAACGTGTGTCTGAGTGTAGGGATTTCTGCAGTGTGCATGACCACAAGTAGTGTGCAGATTTGTAGGTTTACAACTTCACTAGGTACTGAAAAACTACTCCCCTCTGAAGTGGTTTTACTAATTCACACATCCTTGCCCACTCTTGGTATTGAGATAATTTGTATTTTTTTACCTGATAGGTGTGAATAATCTCTCATTTTAATATGCACTGTTCCTATAATTAGTTAGGTTGAACATTTGATCATTTGCCTTTGAAAATGACATATCTCATTTGGTTATACTATTTTTTTATTTGGTTTTATATAATGGTATAAAAAGATCCTAAAATATTCATAGCCATATTTAGCTTTTATTTTTAAAATAAATGTTTAATTTTATAAATTTGTTCCAGAGTATTTTTATTAGTGCATAAAAAAAAAGGGCAGGATTCTTTTGGTAGGCCACGTCAGCTACTCCAGGGACCTTAGAGATCACTTAAGCCAGTGGTTCCCAAAGACCCATCATTAATTTTCCATTATAAATTTGATGTTTTGGAAATTTTCCTACTAAAATTTTACTAAACACACACATTTCCATTTATAACTTCCAATGTGATTAGCATGAGCTTGGCTGATAGAATTCTAAAGAAAAGAAAAAAAATACACCTGGTTAGTAGGTGGCCCATTGCAGGTAACGGTGTAATTTCCAATAACTGGTTCTGAAGTTCTGAAAGCAGCTCAACCACTAATTTAATGGAGCAGTACAATGTAGGGACCTCAGGAGGAAAACTGCTAATACTGTCCAAACCCCTCACTCTCGGGATGAGGAAAAGGCACGGAGAGGTAAGGTGACATGTTCCAGACTGCAGGACTAGTCCAACGGCACCATGTTGTGTGTGGCCATGCACTTCTACTTTAGTGTTTACTGGTAATGCTGAGAAGTAGTACGAAGATGGAAAGGCATACACGACAGAAATAAAAGACAAAGGGGAAATAATTTTTTTTTATTTTTAAAAATCTTGAAATTGGTAGGAAGAAGTACAGCTTCAAATTTCATGAGTGCTCCTGGTTAATAGTTGCTCTATTCTTGGCTGTTCTAACTGTCATTTCCAATAAACAGAAAAAAAAACACCAGCTTTACTCCTATCTTTATCTAAATTATGGGACATTTTCCTTACCTTAACAACAGAATCATTCAGAATTGCATCTAATTCATCACAAAGTTGGAGGCTTCACCATGGTAGGATTCAACTACTGGGTCCCGCAAGTGGTGGCTATTACATCTGACTTTACTCTTGCCTTAAGGAACGTGTTAGAATAATTCTGTGCAATCTGAATGCCTCTTTTTCATACCATATGCTGTACCACAAACCATGACTTTGGGAATGTTATGTTCAGTATTGAAATTATCCAATTGATAAAAACAATGTAAAAAAAGGAATCAAGATCTATATTCTAGGGTAGTTCCAGAAGAAAGAACATGTACCTGGGGTGGGACTGTCAATACAATGCAACAATGTGACAACAAACTCAATAAGTGGAGTGGTGTTACTTTGTGTATACTGAGGCTCTAGGCAAGACCCACTACCCATGGAGGGAGGGAGGGAGAGAAGATGATCTCCGTCATAGGTGGCCTCTAACTGAATGCTGGGATGGCTGTCTGTAAGGGCCTTCTGCCCAGGGTTCACTAGCTAGAAAAGTTAGATCACAGAGGTACTGAAGAGATGAAAGAGCCTTCCCCGGCTCCCAGGAACATTCATGCTAGTACATGAGTTCATGTAGTATCTCTACCGAGAGAAGGAAGTAACATTCACTGAGTGCCTGGGCGGTCGACACTGGGCCAGGCATTATGCCATCGCACATGCCCCTACCCTAGCTCTCTCGTCTCATCAGGTACTTCAGTGGGAAGTGAACCAATCCCCTCCTTCATGTGCACTGTACATGCTCACCTTAAACTGGATCACCTTCCCCACATTCTTGAACTCAGGGAGCACGTCCTCGTAGAAGTCCAGGAACTGCTGGTAGGTCTCCTCTTCGCTGTACTCCAGGCTGGCGTCGGGGTCATAGTCATCCCTTCTGCACTGCTCCATTCCAAACGTTGTAAACATGCTTCTAATAAGAAGGGTGGGACTCGATGTCGGGAAATTGTGTTTACGTGAACACCTGCATATGAAAGAAAAGTTTAAATTCAGTAATTCAATAGTTAGAAATTATACATAAAGAACTTGCTTTAAATTTGGAGATCAAGACTCAAGTAACTCGGCTATTTTGACTTAATTGTAAAATAATAAAACCCATTCAGACATCAAGTGTCAACACTTAAGAAAACTGTTCTAAGACTGACCAATATATTGACTCTCATCAAAATGTAAAGTTGGAAACTATTTCCAAGTTCATTTCCCATTCAGATGCCTTATGTGGGACTTAGGAGGAACATGAGAACAATACAATCCTGGTTCTATACAATCTTCATTAACCTGATGCTTAGAGAATAGGGTAATCTAAGAATTTCCAGCTAATGGAGTACTGCAATCTTATACATCTATTACATTTCAGTTTTCATGGCATTTTTACATTTTTCCCTCTGATCCTTGCAACCTATTAGCACAGCTGGGGCTATTATTTCTCCCTACTTTGTAAAGAAGGAAATTGAGGCCTAGAGAAGCAAAGTTACCCAAGTCAAATGACTAGTAGGTAAGAGAAGATCCAAGAGAGCTGAGTTAACCTACAGTCTACTATGGTGTGTTCATTATATAGCATGGTAAATGTAATTAAATTTTATTTAATTGAAGGAAGCACAATGTTCTTTTCATAGTATAAACTGAACCAGGCCACATCTGAGTAATTTTTAAAAAATCTTTTATATGAGTTTATTTTCTTTCTTACTTCCTTCTCCTAAAATAAAAGGGGGAGGGATGTGGTTCAGGATTCCAAATCATCAAAATTTTCCTGGTTAGATTTCTAGTTAAAAAGTTGATTAGGAAAAAAAATCCCCGCCCTGGCCAGTTTGGCTCAGCGGTTAGAGTGTCGGCCTGCGGTCCGGAGAGACCCGGGTTCGGTTCCCGCTAAGGGCACGTACTTCGGTTGCAGTTTGTCCCCGGCCCTGGTTGGTCGTGTGGGTGGCAGCCACTCGATGTGTCCCTTCACGTCGATGTTTCTTTCTCTCTCTCCCTTCCTCTCTCTCCCTCCCACTCTATCTGTACAAAAAATGGAAAAATATCCTCGGGTGAGGATAAAAAAAATAAATAAATAAATAAATCCCCAGAACTTAGGAAGAAAAAAAGTTAAAGAACTAGGCATGTGTTGGAAAAAATAATGTCCTAGAAATGACTAAATGTTTAATTCATACTCACTTTCCATGTCTGTAATATGTATCTGTACACCTAGTGAGATACTGCACACAGAATGCCCCACACACACTTTGCCCAGCTCGGAAATGTGCAATCAGTGGTCATCAATGTGAAATTGTCTATTTTCCAAAAGACCTTCCTAGATTATTCAGTTAGGGACCTTGTGATGTGATTCATCTTCTCAAGTACAGCTATGGACAGAATAAAGAGCAAGGAGGATTCAACCTGGCTGGTAGTGTTAACAGTGAATCAGAATTTTACAAGTATGAAACACATGCAGAATTAAATAAGAAACCAATTTAACAAGGTTAACATTCTGCTTGAGGACTTATTACATCTGAATAAACTTGGCTCTAGTTCCCAGGGTGTCAAATGAGCGTTTGTGAGTTCTGGAACAGAGCCAAAGTCCCCATCTAGGGAAAATGCCCCCTTGGCCTGTACAGCTCCTACTGAAAAGTCAGCTAAGACAAGAGAGATTTGGGGAGGCAGTCTAGTGCTATGGTGCCAAGCCTGTGTGATTCTAAGAATCACATGGGGAAAACAGATCCCTTAGGTCTAGCCAGACCATCTGTTCAGACCTCAAAGAGTGGGGGACTCATATTTTCAAATTAACTCCCCACCTGGTCCTGAAGGTCAGCCATGTTTGAGAACCCCTTGTTTAGAATGTTATTTACCCATTACTCAGATACTTGAATCAAGTAAGACTGGCATAAAATCACATACTTAAACATTACCTTACACCAAGGACAGCCAATAAATGGTGTGGGTCTCCAAATGACCCCTCTGGTAAAGCTAACTGACTGTGCCTCTTTTTCTTTTTTTAAGGGAACACTCCAGGTACCCACCACCATTGTCCATATATATATTGTAGTTAGGCTGCAATCATTTATCGAAGGTCTCTGTAAGAAACATTCTCATGAAAATTATGTATGTAACTGTTAACAAAACATCTATCAAAGTTATTGTTCACCTTCCTACTCAATGCCTTTATATAGCATTTCATGGGAGAAACATTTAGAATCTGATACCAGGAAAATTTCTGTCTTTCCAGAAATACCGCTCATTCTTCCTTTTTGGTAACAACTAGATAGCTTGTCTCTGCATGGGATGTATTCAAATCCAGGGCCAAATGCACAGCACTTTCACAACCCACTTTCTCCTCCTTTCTTTGATTTTGATTTATTTTATTTTATTAAACTTAGTGCAGGATACTGTGAACTTTCTTTAAATTGTTTCTGGAAAAGGGTGAGGTATAAATAACTATTCCGGTTAAGTTTTACTTTTCGTCAATAATTATGTTCTTTTAGGAGGAAAAAAATAAACCCCCTCAAAGCTCTGACTCCAAAAAATACCAAGTCTAGAAAGGTTCTAGAATTGAATTGTACTAATTATAAAAACAAAATCAAAGAAATGCTTAGGCTATGGAAGTGTTGTCTGATGCCATGACAAACCTCAACAGAAAAGAACAGTGTGTGATCCAGAGCAAGTCCCTATGACTTCCCGTAAAAGGGGCACAGTGTTTTTGTCTGAAGGGATGGTGCTAGATATTGTAACTGCTAATTTCTTAGAATCTGACTTCACAACTCATCACTTAAACAATATATCAAATCACTCTGCTACTTTTTAAAAATAGTTGTTATGGTGAAATTTCATATGCCTATCAAAATATTAAGAAATGTTCACAAAGTAATCTGACACTGTCAGTACTTCCTTGAAACGACTCTAGGGGGGTGAGTTTTGAGAGCCTCACAGGCCATTCCCCTTTCTGCAAGTAAGCACTGTCAACTGATTTCCTGAAACTGTTTAGGACATCTTCCCTTCTGTCTTAAGTCCAACAGAAGGAGAATCCAGAATCAGATGACCACAAGTATTAAAATTCAACGAGGAATCCTGAAGCTGGAAGGCCTTAAACGCAATCTGGTTCAACTACCCACACAGATGTGAACTCCTATTGAGTCTCAATTGTCTTTCAAAGGTAATACATTTTTTCCTTTGGTGGGGGGTGTTTTACATCAATCATTACTATTTCTTGATGAAACTGAGTATACATTTGAAAAACACTTGTAAAAGTATAAAGGGAAATAAAATTTCATTAGTTCCCAATTTCTCAAGAGGAAACTTTCATTATTGACCAGATCCTGTGAATCCTTTCACAGATCTTCTGGGTGTATATAACCCTACTATAAAATACAAAATGAGTTACACACCCTACATTAGGGACTCTCAAACCTGGGGCACATTATAATTGTAAATTTCAATCCAAAGGCTGCCCAATTCTCAGAGACTGTGATTTACTCAATCTAAATTAGGACATAATTTTTTACAGCTTTCTAGATGATTCTAATGTGCATCCAGGGTTGAGGACCACTGTTCTTTAAAAAATGTAAAATGCACCCTGGCCAGTGTGGCTCAGTTGGTTGGGCATCATCCTGGGCACTGAGGGGTTACTAGTTTGATTCCTGGTCAGGGCACATGCAGGAGGCAGCCAATGATGTTTTGCTCTCACACTGATGTTTCTCCCTCTCTCTCTCCTTCTTCCTTCCTCTCTAAAAATATCAATAAAAATCTCTTTTAAAAATGTAAAATTGTATTAAGGCTTAAATTTTAAAAGAAATACAACAGAAAGATAGAGAAAGTTCATATTTTCAAAGAAGGAAATGAACTTATGGCATGGATAATTTTATAAATAAGAAATATGAGAGACAACATACAGTTTTTCATTGAATACATATGAAATTGCCTATTCATATCCCTTTTTTGGAATTAATAGGACACTAAGATATGATTAGACCTTTTCATCTGCAGAATGCATAGTAATAATTAGATTTGGTCTCAGATGGATTCATTCACCATTATGAATGATTTACTTAATTTGAGTTATTAATTCATAAACAGGCCAAATTATAAAAATCACCATTGCCTGGCATATAGTAGGTATAAATGAATATTTGCTAAATGAATGAAGACATCAACACTTAATTTTCCACATGACTATCTTGTTTCAAAAACACTGATGCAAGAGGCAAGGAACAAGAGTATCTCACAGAATAAGGGCAACACTATTCTACCTGCTTTCCCTGTATTCACTCATTTCAGCCTCATTACCCCTTTATAAGCAGAGGACAGACAGCTGGGGAGCTGGAAAAGGAGCAAGTACACAGCAGATGCTTGACTGTGAACACCTCAAACTCAAGCCCGAGTCACCCCCTAAAACAGAACTCAAAAACCTCAAAATCTTGAGGCACTTAATTCTGACATGATAAAGCAAAATTAGTTACCTATCTCCAAATCTGCAAGCTCCTGTTTTACTGTAGAATGGACAATTAGCTCGATCTTTCTCCATTATTCTTAAGTCCATGGGTGGTTCTGGGTTTTGCCACGTGGTACTATTTTCCAACTGTTGAAAATAACCATGACTTTACTGGTGGTATAAAAATCTATTAAGAATTAAATGTTTAAAATGTATTCAAATATTTTGGTCAAAATAAAGATGAATTCTTTTAATAATATACACACTTAAGTTGTAACATGCAATTGAGACTTTACAAACAATTATGCTGAGGCACAAGCTGTACCCATTAGCAGGCATCACTATGGCAACCAGGAGCAGTCACCAAGGTTTCCTTTGCCCATCCATTCTGAAAATGGTCGAAGGACTTCTTAGGGAGCCACCACTGATAGAAATCAAGGTTCCTCTAAAGCCGGTTAAACGGTCCATTAGAGGGTAAGAGGGTGTGCTTGCTGTTTCTTATCTGTACATTAAGGACCATAAACAAGTACAGCCCACAGGGGTGATTTGATATCATTTGCTTTTTGTTCAGTGATAACTTTTGTGGTTCTTACTGCATAAATCAGAGCCACAAAAGTAATCCCAGATATTTCAGACGTGATCTAAAGAGCCAACTGAAAATTAACATTGCTGGAAGTATTATTTTTAAAGAAACACTCAATCAGTCTCAAATTCTTAATGAAAGGTTTTGAAAATACCTCATTTTCAGCTCGCTCCAGCATCTTCTGCACAGCCTCCTACAAATGGTGCAAACATAGGACTAATGAAAACCTGGAAGTCAGGTAAGTCACATCTGGTTTCTCTGGTTAAGAATCTCATGTGTAAAAATTTTTAACAACCTATACATACAAAAAACTTCAGTTTCTAGTTTACTTTCTACAGCACAGATCTTCTGAAAAGGTGTCAAAGGATATATACTTGAGTTTTTATTCAAACAGGACATTTAATGGCTCAGATTGCAAGTATATTTAAGCATATATATCATATTCTAGTTATTAACATGAGGTATTATGAATATTATAAAATACAACATTAGCAGAAACACCATAAATATTTAACAAATGCTAAAATATGACATGAACAGTAGTAATTAGGATTGATGGAAAATCTCAAACTTTCAGATAAGGCAAAGGAAGTCCTGCTATATGCCAGTAGATTTTACCTCATTGGCATCTTAACAAGTTTTGAAGTTATGGTCAACAGACTTCTCTTCCCTAGCCCCTTAAAGCATTACATAAAATACTTGTCTGTCTACCTGCTCACTTGATAACTCTACCTGGTTAGGTAAGGGTCCTCAGTAATTTAAATGCACAAACAAAAACTCTACTTTTTCTTTATCCCTCCCTTACCGCTCTAAATGCCCCATTTCTGTTCACACAAAAAACCTACAAGTGCATGACTTGAACTCCCCTCTATTTCTTTCCCCTCCTTGTACATTCGGTGTACCAGCTAGAGTCCTGTTAACTCTGCCTCAGCACACCCCAAATTTGTGTACTTATCTGTATTAAGCACTACCCTCATCCAAACCACCACCCATGTCCTATCTGAAACAGCTGCCTTCTAACTGGTCACCATATTTCCAATCTTGCCTCCTTGCTCACCATTCCCCACCCCCAACCCAACCCCCCTTCTTTATACAAAAGTTAGAATGATCTGTTAAAGGTAAAGATGTAAATTATATGAAGTCACTCCCTGCTTTAAAACCCTTCAGTGGCTTCCCATTACATTTAACATAAAATCCAAATTCCTCCTTCGAATCGAGGAGGCCTTAGGTAATCTGACCCTTTCTACCCTCCTGACGACCTCCCCTGCTGCTCTCTCCTTTGGTTTCTAGGATTAAGGCACCCTGACACTCTTTTGGCTCTATGCTCAGGCCTCTTCCCTTTGCCTGGACCCCTTTTCTCCCTGAGATTTCTGCACTCCGGTGTCAGCTCACACGTCAGCTCCTTGGAGAAGTCTTCCTTGACCAGGCAATCTAAAGTACTTCCCTACCACAGTCACTCTATCACTTGATTCTCTGCTTTATTTCTTTACAGCACTTAACATGATCTTATACCACTTAAAATGAGCTCTTTTGCTCATTTATCATCTGAACTCTCCACTCTAGAAAACTAATTCAATGAGAGCAGGGACTCTCTTTTTGGATGCTTTAGCTCTGTCTACTAGAGAAGTATCTAGCACAGAGCAAAAACACAAATTGCACATCCCTCTACATATGCTTAGAATATATTTCATTTTACTAGCTTCTCCTTAATGTTTCATCAGACTTCCTTTGAAACAAAAGCCTTAACTTTTGGAAAAGAAGCCTTAGCTTTAATCCAATGTCAGAAAGACCTCAATTGAAGAACATTCTATTAAAATGGGAATTGATTACTCTCTATTAAAAAATGACAAGCTGCAAACAATTGTCCTGTCCCTAAAAACCTAACATGGTCTTGCCTTATCTGAAAAGCAGTGCTCAAATAAAGGTGTTTAAAAAGTTGCACTGGACTTAACTAATAGCTTGAGACACAAAAAACAAAGGTCACAGAGGCTGCTTTTATCCCATCATGACTAGATGTAAATAAATGCATTTTTCCCCAGGATAAAGTGATTAACTACCCAAATCTATGCGATTCAAACCCAGCCATATTATAGAAAAGATACATCCTGATGAATGACTCAAGGAAAGATGAGCTGTGATATCTTTGAAATAAATACACTGTTAAGGAACAGCAACAAAATATACCAAATCAACTTTTAAAAAGAGTCCTGAAGATAGAGGAGATATAAACATATAACCTTAGAATTTTTTAAATGAGCAACTATGTGTTAGCTGCAATTGTATTATACCACTTAAAATTAGCTCTTTTGCTTATTTATCATCTGAACTCTCCACTCTAGAAAACTAATTCAAGTTGGAAAGAAAGTCAAGATTTAATAACAAAAAACTTTCCAAATTCCTCAATATTTGAGTTCCTGATTTCCTTCAATCAACTAATTCTTGCTGACATGTCATAAGCAGTTAACTCTCTTGTAAATTAATGTGGAAACTATACAAAATATTATTCTCTAAGTTAACCCATATACCACAGTACCTCAGAAAAACATTGCTCTAGAGTGGCACATAGTATAAATATTGTAAACAAAATAATAAAGTTTTATTGGAATGGAGCCACAACCATTCATTCATAGATTATCTATAGCTGCTTTCATGGTACACTGGCAAAGCTGGGTGTTTGCAACAGAGACCATATGGACCATAAAGCCTAAAATGTTTATGCCCCGGCCCTTTACAGAAACAGTTTGCCAATCCCTGGTATAAAGGGTAATATAGGTAAAGCTGAAGAAAAACCTTAAAGTATCCTCCACTGCACAGATGAAAATAAGAGCACCAGAAGGATACTTAGTGTATACTTTACTAAAAACTTAGTGTATACTTTACTAAAAACATGACTCTTTCTAAACAGAAAACTGGAGTCCAAGCCCTGCTATGCCTATACCTTATTCTTCAACCCCATCACTTGCCACATCTGCTCACTAAGAGGATACGCAGTGCGTTTATCCTCCTGTGACAGGAATCACCTCTCTTTCTCTCTTCTCCTGTAGCTTCTGTTCCTCCTCTTCTTTCTCTCTTCTCTGCTGTTCTTCCCATTCTTCCTTTAACTTTCTCTTTACAGGGGGAGAAAAAAAAAAGGAAAAGTAATACTTTTTCAGACTCACTTTTTAAAACATTTAACAAACAGGGCAAATAAATGAAAAACTTTTTTACAACTCTGGTAAAATGGATGATATCTATTTTTTTAAGTTCAAGATATATAACTCTTAATGAGTTTTGGTTAACTAATTAGTTAACTGGTTATCTGATTAATACTGTACCTCCTGTTCTTCCTGTCGTTTTCTAGCTGCTTCTTCTTTTTCCTTTTTTATTCTGAATTCTTCTTGTGCCTTCTGTTCCCGCAGCAACCACTCCTCATGTAATTTTTGCCTATCAATGTGATAATGTAATCAAATAAAAGAAATGGGCAATAATCTATAAATACACACACATACACAACCAAAGAGTAAAAATGACATGTTTGTAAATGATTAAACTATCATGGAAAACATTTTCTAGACAGCAGTTAAGTGGGAGTAAGAGGGTTAGAAGACATGAGTAAACAATCTTAGAAAAACACTATATTTAGAAAAGCACTACATTTCAGCAACTATCTTCCTAGAGAGTAATAGCTTAAAATCACTACTTCTACATTTCATATCTGTGACATCTTTTACATAAAATGATGACACAACTTTCCCTGTAGGTTGACCATTGTGATGTTTAAGTGCCAATAAAGTAAGTAACAAGTTTCAAAGCCACATTTAGATTTTCACATCCAGAAAGTGTTATCCTTCCTATTCTGTGCATTTTAAAAGTGGCAATTGCAAGACTGCAGTACTAGGAAAAACTGGCATCTTCTGCCATAAACCTTTGGACTGCTACTCTATACACTTAAGAGACTCCCGTGGTTTGCCTCAAGCACTGAAACTGCTGAAAGAAGAAAAATAAAACTACATCATGATCATGTCTTTAAAATGAAGAAAGCTACAGGCTTTAAGAAAAGATGACAAGGAGTTATAAAAATAAATTAGCAGGCATCTAGTTTAATTTTTAAAATGACCAATTACAAAGAGTAATGCTATCTTAAAATGGTACCTCGGACATCTAATACACAAGTTTCTAATTTAGAGACGGGTTATATTTCTAAAGTTTATTAGCCATCTGGGTGTTTAGAATCTAGATTGCATGTCCCCACTGAATCTGGAAATGGGAAATGAAATATGAGAAATTGTGCTATATGTCTTCAGTAACATTAGGAGTTAAATAAGGTTTTATGTTTAGCCTGGGGACCTAACCACAATTTCAAATACTCTATTGGGAAAATATATTCTGTTTCCAACTGCAGATTCTAGGAACACGTATTTTAGCCATGGTAGAGACTGGCATATTGCAAATGTCAAAAGTTATACATGGATTTTTGACTGTGCAGGAAGTCGGTGCTCCCAACCCTCACATTGTTCAAGGATCAACTATGTAACATCATAACAGAAATCTATAATAATAAGAACCAGAGTTATTTCACAACCTCCTATCTGCTAACACGATATTAAGCACTATGCACTTACCACCTCATCTAACTGCCCCAATTCTATGAGGTAGGTACTATGATTGACTTTATCTCCATATTTAAGGCAGGAAATTGAAGCTTAGAGAGATTAAGCAACTTGAACATAGCTAGTAAGTAGCAGGGCCAGGACTGGAATGCAGATCTGGCTGAATCCACTCCATGTTCCCAATAACTATTACATTTTTTTTCTTTTTGGCATTTTGATAATTTCACCTATTAATATATTTAGGTAGATAACAGGAATTAATTGTAAGAAAAGAAGCAACATTTCCAATGAACACACTAAATAACTAGAGAGTGTCTATCAAGTTTTTTTTCCTTTAAAAAATGTTTTTATTGTGGCAAAATATACCATAAAATCTACCATTTTAACCATTTGAAAGCATACAAGTGAGTAGCATTAAGTACATTCACATTGTTGTGTTTAACTTTAAAAAAAGCTACCCCTTGAAATGAAAAATACTGACAGAAAAAAAAATATTTTTGCCATCTTGGGATGAGGGAGGCCTTATTCAGTCAGACACCAAGGCCAGATACCATGATGAAAGTTGATAACATGAAAATCAAATTATGGTAATTAATGCTGTAAGCTAAGTAAGGACTGATGACGAATGAGAAAAAATATGTATCACACATATGCCAGATAAAGAATCAATATCCTTAATCAAGTAATAACACTGCTTACACAACAAGCTTAAAAAAAAAATACCAAAAGAGAAAGATGCAAGACTTAAGTAAGCAATCTACAAATAGGTAATAAAAGATATAAAAAGATACTCAACACTACTAATTAAGAAACGTACATTTGAAACAATGAAATACAATTTTTAACTATAGGAGTTTATAAAGTTGGTAATACCTAGTGTGAATGAAGGTATGGGGAGATGGGCACCTTGATTCACTGTTGGAGGGCCTGCAGACTGCCAACTGGGATGCCCTTCCTCCTACCTGCCCATCTACATTGTATGTGTATTATCCTTTGACCCCAACTATTTCATTTCCAGGCATTTTCCTATGGAAATAATAGGACAATTATCAAAGATATATATAGTCACTGCAACTTCTTTTTCAATCCTCACCAGAGGACATGTTTTTCATTGAGAGAGAGAGAGAAACACCAATATGTGAGAAACACTGATCGGTTGCCTCTATATGCACTCCAGCTGGGATCAAACCCACAACCTGGGTATGTGTCCTGACTGAGAATCAAACCTGCAACCTGTACATGGGATGATGCTCCAACCCACTGAACCAAGCCTTTTTAAAAATTTTTATTTAACAACTTTTTATTCCTTACCCAAGGACACTTTTCTATTTATCATCAGATAGAGTGGGAGGGAGGGAGAGAGAGAAAGACAGAGAGAAACATTGACATGATAGAGCCACTTCGACTGGTTGCCTCCTGCGCGATCCATCCAGGGCCAGGGACGAACCACAACCGAGGTCTGTGCTCTTGACCAGAATCAAACCCATGACTCATTGGTCTGCGGGCTGATGCTCTACTGAGCCAAACCAGCCAGGGCAGCAAGGCTTGTTTTTTTTTGTTTTTTGTTTTTTTTTTATCCTCACCTGAGGACATTTTTCCATTTTTTGTTCAGATAGAGTAGGAGGGAGAGAGAGAAAAAAAAACATCGACGTGAAAGGGACACATCGAGTGGCTGCCACCCGCACAACCAACCAGGGCCGGGGACAAACTGCAACCGAGGTATGTGCCCTTAGCGGGAACCGAACCCAGGTCTTTCTGGACTGCAGGCCAATGCACTATCCGCTGAGCCAAACCGGCCAGGGAGTGTTTTTAATGCAACTTTTTATAATGGTAAAAAAACATAAATGTAAATTAATGGTAAATTAATAGTACAAAGTAAGTAAATGTTATTTAATAGTAAATAACCGAACTGTCCATTAGTAAACTATAAATTATGAATGAATAATAAATTATGCTATATCTATACAATGAATACCATGTTATCATTGAATTGGTTGAGTTAGATCTCTGCATCAACACTAAATAAATGGCCTATATATTTAAAGAAAAAAGCAATTTATAGAAAAACTTGTTTAAATATCACCCAACTATAGAAATATACATGTACAACATCTATACTTTCTTTCTTACTTTTTTTTTTATTTGAAGAAGTCATAAACAGCATTTATTACCTTGGTGTATCACACTGGTCTTGCTGCTGTTCCTTCACATTTAATTAGTTTTCCGTCTTCCCTCCCTTTCCCACAGTCTGGCTACACAGTGCATCCTTGAACAGTTAGCTCACAGCAGCAAATAGGTTTATTCCACATCTCTGACACCATTCATTCACATGGTTCAAGTTCTGGTCCACATACCCTTTCCTGCAGGAAGGCTAATGCTTGTGGAAAGAATTTATAATAAACCAGGCCTCCCAGGATGGCTATCTCCAGTAAGATGACAATGGAAAGTAGCAGCTTATTGGTTGTCACTTTTCTGGACATTGACCAGAGAACTGGCTTTTGCTCATGTTTTCACTTGTATTTACTAGTCTATTCTTGTTATGTTCTAACTGGTTGTGTTGCTCTCCCAGCTCTTCTATTTCTAAGTCAATCTGGTCTGTGGCAATCGGATGAGAATGCTCAATACTCTGGGTGGCCTGGTTCAGGCTGTCAGGGCCTTGCAAAACCAATGCCCTCTGAGACTGTAGCCGATTCATATGCTCATTCTCTACAGTGTATGTGCCATATATCATGTCTCCTCGGCCCTTAGATAAGGCTGTCAAAGGTGTGCCTCTTACTTTCGGGTGAAGTTTGGCAAGATCCTTCTGGTAGGTTGGAAGCTCAGACATCATAGGGTTGGGTAAAGATAGGGGTGCATACTTACCTCCTCTTCCATCTCCGCCAGAGTTCCATTTGCTTACTGTTGCTTTTCATTAAAATCTCTGATCACTTTCTTCTTCTGTCCCTCCAGTCCCCAGGAGCCCCAAGCCTGCTCCTACCCCAGTGGTCAGCTGCCCAGCCCCGCAGGCATCACGGTGACCACCAGGACCCATGTCAGCCACCGCCTTGGACGAAGCACTCCCAGGGAAACTGGGTCCTCCCCAGCCTGAGCTAGCACTCTATTCTATCCAGGAGGAAATGCCCACACGAAAGCCTGAGAAATCAGGTGGCAGCGCTGCTGGTAAGAGCAGTGGGGCACTGTGCTAGCAGCAGTATGGGAGCTTTGGAAATATCCAGTGCTGGTTTGGGGAGAGTGCCACAGCAAAAGGGACTGTGGGGACCCGCTGGATGGCCACCACATTCTTTTTTTAATCTTTACCTAAGGATATGTGTTATTGTTTTTTTTTCAGTTGATTTTTAGAGAGAGAGGAGGGGGAGAGGGGAGAGAGAAACATCAGTGTGGTTGCCTCCTGTATGTGCCTGGACCAGGGATCAAACCCAAACCTGGGTATGTGCCCTGACCAGGAATTGAACCCATGACCTTTCTGTGCAGGGGAGGATGCTCCAACCAACTGAGCTACACCAGCCAGGGCTCTTTCTTACATTCTTAACAGTCACCATCTTTGGGTGTACTGAGTTCATTAAAGCCCTTTCACTTTTTATACTTCTTAATTATTTGGATTTTTTTTTCAAAATATTTATGAATTAGCAAAAACAGTAAAAAATACTTCCATTAAAAAATGATATCTAGTATTGTCCTGTCAACTAGGAATTTAAATAAATTATCCAAGGTATTTTATAAGACTTATTTTGGATAAAGGTTTCATAAAGACCCACATTCGTTAGTAAAGATATAATATTCAAATGAAATAAATGACTTCACAAGAGGTGCTTCAATCAGTGCTGACCTCTCTATCTCCAACAGCTTCTCTTCTTGTTGTTGTTCAATAAAAACTTCCTCCTCTTCCTCATCCTTCTTCTGTGAGAATCCTGAGGGAATTTAAATGTTTTATTAAACTATCTGAGTATTAGAAAACCTTAGTCAATAATTCAGAAAAAAACTTTCGAATAATAAGTCTCCAACTGCCCAAATTTGGTACAATCTGAGCATCAAAAAGAACAATATTGGTAGTTGATAACACATTAAATTTAGAAAGTTAATCAGTGGTTCCACAGTGATACTCAAAAAGGTGGTGGGGATGTGGGAGGAAACATCCATCTTTGCAGAAGAGTCGTGACTAAGAAATATAGAAAGACTTAATTAGAAAAGCCATCACTTTTTTTTTTTTTTTAATCCTCTCCCGAGGATATTTTTCCATTATTTGTACAGATAGAGTGGGAGGGAGAGAGAGGGAGAGAGAGAGAGAGAGAGAGAGAGAGAGAAACATCAATGTGAAGGGACACATCGAGTGGCTGCCACCCGCACGACCAACCAGGGCCGGGGACAAACTGCAACCGAAGTACGTGCCCTTAGAGGGAACTGAACCCGGGTCTCTCCGGACCGCAGGCCGACGCTCTAACCACTGAGCCAAACTGGCCAGGGCAGAAAAGCCATCACTTTTGCAACCCCCAGTGTAAGAACTAATTTAGATAAAGATGTAAAAACACTGGATAAAAGCTTGCTAGGAAAAGAATATTTATTTACACCATCTCAAAATATCAGCCCACAAATGAGTACTAATTATAAGAGGGAAACCCTCTTTACAATGGAGCCATCTGATTGGCAACAATGGAAGCATCAGGAGAAGACAGACTAATCCAGAATGCAGGGTATTTCAAAATAATCACATCTTGGTTTGAGAAAGTTTAATGGCCTATACATCATATCTTTGAATTTTTGTTCCTTTACTTGAGTGCAAGTTTAGTGTTGTTGTCTTCATATTTTTGAGATGTAGGCTGAAGTATTTAGGGGTGAGAGGTCATGATATCTGCAAATGACATGCAAAGGGTTCAGAAAAAATGTGTATGTATGTATCTAATGTTAACAACAGGCAAATCTAGGTGAAGGGTTCATGGATATTTATGGTAGTATTTTTTCAACTTTCTGTACATTGGGACATTCTCAAAATAAAAGCATGGGAAAACAAATTTTAATATAATAAACACATATCCTGTCCTGGCCAGTGTGGCTCAGTGATTAGAGTGTCAGCCCATGGACCAAAGGGTGACGGGTTCAATTCCCAGTCAAGGGCACATGCTTGGGTTGCAGGTTGGGATCCCCAACTCTGGTCCGAGTGCATGTGGGAGGCAACCAATCGATGTGTCTCTCTCAAGACACATCAATGTTTCTCTTTCCCACCTACCCCCTTCCACTTTCGCTAAAAATCAATGGAAAAAAATATCCTCGAGTGAGAATAAAACAACAACAACAACAACAACAAAACACATATCCTTTCCTCTTCAGAATTAAATTTGAGGGGAAAAAATGAGAACTAAAGTGATCTTAAAGATATGTAACAGGAGAGCTCAGGCTTAAAGGAAAAATATTTTGTGTTTGTCACATATATTGAGTTTAGGTCTAACCAAGGTTCACCGCATCTTAGATAATTTACTTTTCTTAAGCAAGTAAATTTTATTTTTTCAACACCTGAAATTAAAAGAAAATTAGTAAAAGAAAAAAATTAGGTTAAGTTCTTTTTTTATTTTTATTTTTATCCTCACCTGAGGACTTTTTTTTTTTTTTTTTTTGCATTTATCTTCAGATAGAGTGGGAGGGAGAGAGGGAAGAAGAGAGAGAAACATCGATGTGAGAGAGACACATCGACTGGCTGCCACCCACATGACCACAACATGGGCTGGGGACAAACTGCAACCAAGGTACATGCCCTTAGCAGGAACTGAACCCTGGACTCTCTGGTCCACAGGCCGACGCTCTAACCACTGAGCCAAACCAGCCAGGGCTAGGTTAAGTTCTAACTCACATAGAATAATATCTAATGATTCAGCCAGGCCAGTATGGCTCAGTGGTTGAGCGTCAACCCATGCACCAAGAGGTCACCAGTTCAATTCCTGGTCAGGGCACATGCCCAGGTTGTGGGCCCGATTCCCAGAGGGGGGCATGCAGGAGGTGGCCAATCAATGTTCTCTCTCATCGATGTCTCTATCTCTCTCTCCCTCTCCCTTCCACTCTCTCTCTAAAAATCAATTTAAAAAGTTAAAGAAATATCTAATAATTCAGATAATTAAATGAGCTAATGTAAATAAAGGGCTTTCCAGATAATCTGATAGAGGCTATGATTGACTGACTTACAGAGGTATGTTTAGGCTAGACATTGCCTGGACACAGCCAATACACAAAAACATATAGCCTGATTCATTCAATCCCCCATCATGTCTCAAACAAGCTCACACACTCCACAGAGGTGATCACTAACAGTTTTGGGTGTAGCATTTTCTCTACATATATGCATCCTTGCATACATTTGATCATACATGTGCAATATATCTAATTGTATTATAAATGTAACTATATATGGAATCACGCCAGTTTTACAACTGGCTGACAAGGCAGCTCATTTCAGGTTAACTAGAACTGGGAGCTAAAGAGGCTACTTGTAACTGAGAGGTTGACATTCCAGAAATTTCTACCAATCATTTGTCAATACACTCTTATAGCAATTCTTTAGAATATCTCTATATTCTAGCCTTCTGGATAATGTTTACCCATCCAATGTGTGCTACAAGGACCAGCAGTATATGGTAGGACATAGTATTCATGAAGAAACACTAAATAAAGAATTGTGAGTTGGAGTGGACAAAAGTAGGAGCAGTAATCCAGAGACAAGTATTTAAGTCTTAGATCTGCCTTTAGCCATATAATCCTGAACAGACATGTGACCTGTATCCTTCAACTGACTAAACTGCCAAAGGATATTATGCCTGTCTCTCTACAAAGGCTCACTCTGAACACACTTTCCAACATCAAGGGCGGGGGGTTAGGGGGGGATCAATGCAATGCAAACAACAGCTATAGGGTTTAAAATGGAAAATACGAGACATTTAAAAAAAAATGTTAGAAGGAAACAGGTTAATGAACAAAGGTAAAGGTAGCTGAGAACTTTAAGGGAGTGGGGAATCCCTAAGAGCATCAATAATTCCAACCTATGCTGTTTTCCCTTTTATCCCTGATGCTTTATCCTGTCTCTGTGGACTAGTTTTGAATGAATAAAAAAAGGAGGTGCTAACAAAGGTTGCAGTTAAATACACTGCTGTTTCCATTCTAAATATTCCAAGCATTGCCACTAAAATGATTACTAGGCAACTCCAATGGTAAATAAAACTTGTATGGCTATGTTTCTCAAGGTCCAAGAATCCTGGTTACTTAAGGCCATGGTCTGTGAACTGCAAGAATTGTTAGGATAAGTTAATAAGCATATTCTGGATAATCTGGATGGCAATCATTATAGCCTAGTACTCCAGTGTGATTTCAGTGCTTCCAACTGCATTTATAACTACTATATAATTTTATAACTAAGTAGTACAGTGATACCTCGGTTCTCGAACGCCTTGACTTTCGACCAAATCAGTATTCGACCAGGAGATTCAAGAAACTTTTGTCTTGGAATCCGAACAAATATTTGGAACTCGAACTTCCGAGATGAGCCGAGTTGAGCCGAATGGCGTTCATTCGGCCCAGCGCGCCTTGCTTGCGTCATCAGTGTGAGTGCAGAGAGAGAGTCACGCTTTGTGGAGAGAGTCACGCTTTACACTGAATTTAACCCTTAGACATACTGTACACTTTTATTTCTTGTTGAGACTTATGTTTTTCTACATATTATATACAAATTAGGCCAGTAAATAGGCATTTTCTGGGGCTTGGAACGAATTAATCCAGTTTCCATTATTTCCTATTGGTTTCATTGCTTCGGTTCTCGAACAATTTGGTTCTCGACCGTCCTCCTGGAACGAATTATGTTCGAGAACCGAGGTATCACTGTACTAATTTTATTATATTAATATATTTATATACATTTAATATATAAACGTTAGATTCTGACATATGAAGGACACATGACACCATAGCCAGTACAAGTGAATGTCCTACAGTATTTTAACAGGAAAAAAAATAGTAAATAACCACAGGGCAATAGTATTAGTAGCATCATTTCAAACTCCAATCAGTGCCATATTCATGTTGTGAGTATCTGTCTCCCGTCATCCATAACATCATATTAATGTAGATGTGACTTTTTGTTGTTGTTGTTAATCCTCACCAGAGGATATTTTTCCATTGATATTTAGACAGAGTGGAAGGGAGGGAGAGGGAGATAGAGAAACATCGATGTGAGAGAGACACATCCATTGGTTGCCTCCTGCACGAACCTGACGGGGGCCAGGGATCGAACCTGCAACCCAGGTATGTGCCCTAGACCAGGAATCAAAACCCTTTGGTCCGTGGTCGATGCTCAAACCACTGAGCCAAACTAGCCAGGGCTAGATGTGATTTTTACTGGATGTGTAATGTCACTTGGTTTTGTAATGTGTATATATGTTGCTTTATAGTTAAATAAGAGTTTTGTAACTAGTTTTATGCTTATATATTTCAATAATGTATTAATAATAACTTGAGTCAACAAAGGGTCTCTTACATTACTCAAGTTTGAGAGAAACTTGCAAAATATCTAAAATCCTGAACTCCTGCTGGTTTTGCGAAGAAAAACATTCACCAAATACTTACTCTGTGCAAGGGCTGGGTGCTTCTGTAATAGGAGATAGTTCATAAATACTTACACATAATCAGTGGATGATGATTTGCCATGACTTCTTGCCCAGCTCTGAGTACCGTTACATTGTTTCTGATATGGGTCTAACATAACTTTACATGGGAGGCAGTAGCCGCCACAAGCAAGTCTTACCAGATACAGTTATTGTCATCCTTCCGATACTGTGTCAAGTTAGGGCGGAAGTGGCGAGAACAACACAGAATACAGATGAGGAGTCGGTTACCTGAGTCTCTCAACCGAGCGAGTTCCTGCCGACGTTTCTTTCGTTTCTCCTTCTTCAGGGCGGCCCGGTACTTTTTGTGGCTGGAAACAGGAGACAAGCACCCTCCAGCGTCAGTGGCGGCACCTGCCGCGCTGCCCGCCTGAGCTCCCCTCCCCTCCGCGCCCAGGGACAGGAAATCGCTCGGGTTTCCTGGACCGAAATTTTGCTTCCCGTGTTTTGATTACACAACACCCACGCGCAGACATCAGGTCTTCTTCACTCCCGCCACCTGTTTCCCTCCACGGTCCCCTGACCCCGCACACGTTCGTGACAGTTTGGATCGCGCCACGGGGAGGGCTCGAGCTGCCGCGGCGGCGCGCTTGCGGGGCCCACCTCCCCCCTTTTTGTTCCTGTTTAGACATCCTCCAAGCCCAGACTCGGCCCGCTCCATCCCCTCTCTGGTCAGCTCATCTCCATCAGTCCACCTTACCTCAGTTTGTCCGGAAGCATCACTGCTTGAGGCGCTGCCATTTTACCAGCGCCACCACGCCCACAAGAACCTGCCGGAAAAGGCGGTTTTAGGAGACTGCGCAGCCGCGCGTGGGACCACGTGGCCTACAGTCTCTCCGAAAGGGGTGGGGCGTGCCTCTGCCCGGGCGGCCCAAAGCCAGAAAACGGGAGGTGCGTCCTCGGGAACCCTGCACAAATAAATGTCTTCTCTAAAATTCCTATTCCACCCTGCAAGTATTTCTTCCGTCCTACCGTTCTCCACACCACAGTCTAATGGCTTGTGGCCAGGAGGTTAAAGTCACCCTTCTCCCTCCTTTCTCCTCATCCACTCACGAAGCCTCACTCTACCCACAGCAGTTTCGCAGTCCGACTTCCCCAGGCACCTCCCCATCCCGCGGTTCCACCTATCAGAGCCTCAGACAAAGCTCCAGACTCACCCCCTTCCATTCCCACCTGCCGGCACCAGAGGAGCATTTAGCTCCCTGGCCTCCCCCATCCCCCACGCTCTCCTCCAAATCAAAATTACTGGGCTACCCGATTTCTAAACGTCCCCGGCTCCCCCTAGTTCCTCCTTGAATCATTCAACAGAAGCCCAAACTCAAATAAAGCCTGTCCTTACTCCCTCTTAGAAAGACACCTGGAATAATACACCTCCAAATTGATCTTCTCCAGCTCAGTGCATCAGTAACCAGAGACATAGGCTATGGAGTTGGATGGACTAAGAAACTCAAGCCTTGGCTCTCTGATTTTGAGTAAATTCCTTAATGTCTAGTCCTCAGTTTTCTCATTTGTAAAAATCGAAATGGTAATAGTAGTTTCCAAAGCTTTGCTACATGTTGGCATAGTGCTTGGCAATAGTTACTGTCCCTGATAGATTTGTTGCAACCATCCGTGTGAAAACTTCCCGACTGCCTCAAAAGTGCGTTAGGTATTTGCCCTGCTTGCACTCCCAGCAGTTATTTCACCTTTCCTAACATCTATAACACTATATTGCAATTTGTTGCTTTCACAAGTCTGCTGGTTGCACTGAATCTTAAACTCCTTGAAGGTAGAGACTTGGCAGTTTTATTCCCAAATTAGAGAATGCCCTGAGTGAGGCAGAATGTAGATATGCAAATCACCATTTTGCCATTTCCTTTGACCAGGACTTATGCTATGCTAAGAATCACTGCCATTCTGAAGGTATCAGTATATGGGTTGCTGTAACATTTCTTATAAATTGCACCAGACTTTTAGGTAATAACAATAAGAAAAAATGTCTGCTAGGAAGATACTCCTAATATAAAAAGCCAATTCCTTTTTTGAATGATAGTTATCATTTAAATTGGTAAATCACAAGATAAAAATAAGGTAATTTAATGCAAAGATACATTCATTCTATGTTTATTTATTTCTTTAAAATTTTTTTTTCCTTTTATTGATTTTAGAGAGAGAGGAAGGAAGAGGGAGATAGAAACATCAATGACCGAGAGTATCGATTGGCTACCTCCTGCATGCCCCCCACTGGAGATGTGGCCCACAACCTGAGCATGTGCCCTGACCAGAATCAAACCAGCGACCTCCCGGTGCATGGGTCGATGCTCAACCAGTAAGCCACACTGGTTGGGCTGTTTATTTATTTCAATAAATAAAACAAGGTTATCTTTATTCTGCAATATAACATATATTTCCTATTTTTCTTGGTGTCTGAAATACATGTACTTATTCTCCTTATTCTCAAATATGTATATGTATATTTCGGTTTATCCCCCTTCTATGGGAAGATACCTACATTTATATTGTATATTATCAGTAGAAAATAGCTGATTATGTAAAAAAGAAAATATTTTACTTATGTAAATGATGTAGTAGATAATGCTATTACTGAATATGAGTGTTAGTTATTATAAAGTGACCAAAGGATAATCCATAAATGTATTTTTGTTGTTTTTTTCTGAAAGCATAAAAGGATAGCAAGAAAAAAATGTCTGCTCTCTGAATGCCAGGTTTGGACTCTTTCAATTAGTTTTTATTTTTCTTGCTCTAGTAGGACAATGGTATTAGGATTCACTCAATGGTCAATGCAGAAATCTTCAGGAAAGAAAATTTCATTCTTTACCAACTATTAATTTCAGTATTAGATTTATTCAAGGACATACAGTGGGGTCTCAAGTCTCTCCAACCCTCATTGCTATGCCACGGGCCTTATATACATTCCAGATTACAGTTATAATTTAAAATAGCAAGATAAAATACTTATGAATTCATATTAATATGAAAATGCTGATTTGTAAGAACTGATTAAAAACTTTTGTTGGAGGAGAGAACTATCTGTTGATTCTTTTGTCTAGTGACAAGGTCAAAGCAACACAACTGCTGGTGATTTCAGAACAAATGGTGGCAGAGCTGATCTCCCCACCTAGAACCCAAACCAAAGTACTACCATTTCTGACAATTGGTTGAATTTAAAATACAGGAATAAAAATGTACATATACTGACAAATGTCTTAGTCAGTTCTGGCTGCCATAACAATACCAGAGACTGGGTGGCTTAAAATAACCACAATTTATTTCTCACAGTTCTAGAGGCTGGAAAATCTATGATCAAGGTGCCAACACATTCGGTGTCTGCTAAGTGCTTCCTTACTGACTCATAGACAGCCATCTTCTCACTATGTTCTCACATGGTGGAAGGAGTGAGAAAACTCTCTGGGGTTTCTTTATAAAAGCACTAACCTCATCATGAGGGTCCTGCCCTCATGATCTAATCACCTCCCAAAGGCTCTACCTCTGAATACCATCACTTTGGGGGTAAGGATTTCAACATATGAATTTTGGATGGGGGCAAGGGGGACACAAACAGTCCATAAATACAACAAATTACTATTTATCTGTAAAGTAGCAGGTATTGTTTATATGTATTAATTATATGGTAAATTAGAGCTTATTCACTTAAATGAACTATATCCACTTTGGTCAATAACATTTTACATGAAAGAACTTAACAAACAGAGTTGAATTAAAAAGACATCAAAAGATTACATAGCGTAAGTATCAAGTAAATCATGTTGCTTCTTCTAGTGACAAAGAAAAATACCTAAAATGATTACGATACTGTATTTTTGCTATAGCATGCCAAATAATGTGTCTCCCAGAAAGATATCTCCTAAACTTTTTCGAGGTGGATGACTGGTTTTAGAATAACCAACATTACCCTAACCCATGTAGCCCTGGGAAAGGAGAAAGGGACTGGCAGCTGCCCTAAAACTAATGTCAGCAAAGCTGACATTATGTCCTGGTTTCACAGAAAGAGATGAGCTGAGAAGGAGCAGGTGGTTCTTTCCATTCCTGCTTGTCTAGTAAATTCCTTGAGTTTTCCAGTCACTTTCTGATCCACATGTTAAGGATGTCTCGCTAATTTTACAGACATCTTCCACACTCAAAACAACTAATAGGAAGAAAACTTCATTCAACAAATATTAATATTATTAAGATACAGTTTTATTAATCTAGCATTATTTAATGAAGATGAGCAGCAATTTAAATACAAAATTCTTTTTCAAGCCCTTTGACAGATCTCAGGCCCATTTTTCCCCTTCAGGTCTAGGAAAGTACCAGCAAAACACTTTTGGAGGCATAAAAGTCATAAAACTTTTCCTGCTGGGGTATATCAGTAGCCAGGGAATCTCTATTATTCCTTTGGGGGGCAGAATGCATGCATGAAACCACACCCCCAAGGCAGTTTCCATAACCTCTGCAGGGAAGGTGACCAAGAATTTATTATGCAAACCAGGGCATGGTTGAGCGTGAAAGAGGGTGCTGTTAATAATTACACCAGAACACGAGGTGTAAGTAAAACTGAGAAAAACCCTATAAATACAAGATGGGACAAAATTATGTTTACAGTTGTGAGTATACGAAACAGTTTATTCTTGTATTTATATTTATTAATTAATTGTATTCTTTTCTATACAAACCACTGTAAACCTACATTTGCCTCACCCTGTACATTGTTAACTCTTCAGCAATGTGGGATTGGGGCACCAACATCGTTGCACAGTCACAACTCTGTGTATAACTTTTGACTCTCCCCCCAAATTTAACTACTAATAACCTAATGTTGACTACAAGCTTAGCTGATAACATATATTGTTGATTAATACATATTTTGTATATTAGGTACTGTATTCTTACAATAAAGCTAAGAAAATGTTAAGAAATCATAAGGAAGAGAAAACACATTTATAGTACTGTACATATTTATTGAAAAAAATTCACTTACAAATGGAACCACACATTTCAAACACTGTCATTCATTCAACTGTATATCCTTTGTACCTCTAAGATGTAAGGGTAAGCGGGTGTTCTGTACATTGTTTCTTGCTCCAATTTGGAAGACTCACCACAGTCGAATTTTGCATTAAGAGTTTGCAAGAGGCCTCAGCCAGTGTGGCTCAGTGGTTGGAGTGTTGGCCCATGCACTAAAGGGTCACGGGTTCAATTCCTGGTTAAGGGCATACACCTGGGTTGCAGGTTCAATCCCTGGCCCCCAGTGGGGGTGCGTATGGGAGGCAATAAGTTGCTGTTTCTCTCTCCTCCCCTCTCTCCATTCCTCCCTTCCACTCTCTCTAAAAAAACAATAGAAAAAATATATTCAGGTAAGGATTAATAAAAAGAAAAGACTTTGCAAGAGACCTAGGAGTGAAGACTGCGTGAGAGGAATAATGCATATATTGTGTGTTTAAGCTTTTAAAGGTAACTATGGTTTGAAACAGATCAATTAAGTTAACATAACCCCTCCCCATTTATCATTTTAAGAATATCATTAATTTCCCAGGATATACTATTTCCCTTTTCCCAAAAAGGCATGTACCCTAGAAAGAAATGCCTTCACCCCCCCCACCCCCTTCCAACCTTCTTTAGAGCCGAGATATCTCCCCAAACTTACACATACAATTCCAACTCTACATTTTCTTCCCACTGAATTATTATTTATTTTTAATTGTGGTAAAATAAAATTTACCATCTTCACCTTTTTCAGTATACAGTTCAGTAGTGTTAAGTACATTTATCCAACTCTATCTTGCAGACCCTATGATTGGCCTATTAATGAAAGAAATACTACTAGTTAATGTAATATTGAGTCTGAACACAGGCTTACTGGCAATTAGAGACATTCTAAGATATTTACAAGCAAGAGCTACAATGGCATGGTTTCCGCAGAATATGCAGAATTATCTTGATTTTAGCCTGCCTGAAAAGATTCTCCCCCTATTACTATAGCAAAAATCTTCTAAGTCACTGTATAAATTGGGAGATTTATTTTGATCACTTGCCTTGCATGGAACCTCAACAAAGGAAATGAATAAAGTTCAGACAGTTTTATTTTTTGTTTTATTTTTTATTTTATTTTTAAGTTCAGACAGTTTTAAAGGGAAGCCAAGATAGTTTTGTTATTGTGGAAAATATTATCATAGTTATGAAACAGTGTACAAATAATGCAAAATAATATTATAAACTACAGATTATTATATTACTAGTCATTTGAAAAATACTTCTGTAAATATATCATGAAATAATGTTCAGTTCTAGGCAATTCAAGCATTTTCTTTAAAAATGTTCTGTCCTGCATATGCTTTCCATATGATCAAGCCTTTAAGTAAACTACCTGATCTTCAGAAATACAAAAGGATTTCCAGCTATCAATAAATCCTTGTTTTCCTAGGATTACAAAATATTTTTTTCTGTATCACAAATGGATAGTAAGTAAGCAATCATATCATGTACTAGTATGATAACTAAAGGTCAGGGCAAATATGCAAATTGAGAGGGCCTTATGAAAGAAAACTCATCTGCGTTTTGAAATAAAATGTACATAAAATCAAGGCCAGTGTCCAGCCAGAAAGTACCAGTCTGGGCCCTGTGGCTGTTTCTGAAAGGTCTGCATTCTGGATAGTCAGCTATGCCTTCCCAGTGGTTAAATATTTTGATTACCTACTTACATCTTTATATCTACTTATATAACCACTAACTGATAAACATACAAAGACAGTTAAAAAATGTCAGACATAAAAAGATATTATAATAGCTGACAGGTTGTTCTAAGAGCAACTTGTGTCTCTTGCTACTATTTCAGTGATAAACATCATTATCAATAAAAGACTGAAGGAGCACTGCCAGACCAAGAAATGTACATCTATAATCGGTATTAAATGCAGGTGTTTAGAATAGTCTTAGTTAACACTTTTTAAAAACCTATTATGTATTAAAGCAAAACACCACGTAGGTATGGGCGTCTTAGGGGCTTGCTTGGCTGGTCGACGGCTTGGATTTCGATTGTATATTAAGGACATAATCATGACGGAAGGATGAGCGGACAGTGCGATTCATGAGGGGCTGGAGGGGGCGGAAGTTGTCCACCATTCTTTTTTCTTTCTCCCCCTCAGAAGTGAAAAGCAGGGTACGAAATTGCTCAAGCTAGAAATAGAAACAGGAAGCATAAATAATTTCAGTGGAAAAACATCCTTACTGCATGAATACATTACTTTCATTTTTTTCAATTCTGAAACATTCCTCTAAAATTGGACACAGGAGAACTTATTTCCAGGTAGGAATGTCATCACCCCTGGACAGGGAGGAAGATGTCATTGTGTGGGGAGGAGAGCACTGGGAGGTGATGAAACCAGTTGGGCACTTGGGATCCAAGGACTGGGGGGGTCAAAGACCTTGTATGTCCCCCCAACATTAACCATTTGCCAAGAACAAGTTACTTTACCTTTCATTCCAGGAACCTCATCTTGAAATGGGCAAAACAGCAGCCCACAGAATGAAAAAGGAAAGGCCTGGTGCATAGAGTTACAGTGCCAAAAATGTTTTGTTTTGTTTTTCAGATTGTAACTGAATTGTTAACACAATGTATTCCTGATTGCTGACCGTACATGGACACTGTAGGCAAAGCGATGCATGTGGATATCTTAACAGGCAGTGTCCAAAGGAACTTTCTGAAATGATGGCAAGGTCCTCTGCAGTTCATTAGGGTAGCCACAAGCCATATATAGCTACTGAGTGCTTGAATGGTGGCCACTGTGACTAGTGAAGTTTTAATTTAAATTTCATTTTAATGTATTTATATTTAAATGGCCACATGGCACTAGTGGCCAATGTCTTAAACACAGCAGCTCAGTACAAAAGGAGCAACCCCAAACCAAGAATTCATTACTGTGGCAATAGCATCAATCAATAGCATCTTGGCTTTGGACACTAGACTTCAAGCCAGCCAGAAAACCTGTTCACAACCTTTCTCATTATTCAGTCAGGGGCACTAAAGTTTGGAAGACAACCTGAGGCACAGTAGGCAAGCCTGTGAAGATTTTTTTGAATCAAAGAATTCAGACCAAGTAGAGCTACAGAGGCAGGACTGGGACCAGAGGCAAGCACCAGTTACCATATTTTTAAATTACATGTATATTCTCATTGATTAGGAATGTGTCCAAGTAACTATGTTTACTTTTATTTGACAAGTTGCAAAAATTAGAAATAACCCAAACACCAATGAATTGCATTCAATCTATAAAATGGACTAGTACATAGCCATTAAAAATGATGATGATAATGTTTATTATCTATAAAATGTTTTAATACCATTAATAATCTGGTTATTATTTTTAACAGGAAAGGGGTGAAGGGGAGACTAAGTAATATAGGCATGCCATTTATACAGCTTTGTCAGAAAACTGAAGTTAACATTCTCCAAGTCTATACCCCACTAATTGATGGGGGAAGGGTTGGGACAAAGGCAGTTTAGACACATGCCTAGTCAGGTCTGAGTGACGTGGGAAGGTGCTTACCTGTCTGTCACACCTGGAAACAAGTCAGTGGCCAAAACAGGTGTAGCCACTGCAGGGGCATGAACTCTGAATATTTAAGCAACTGAACAAAAGAAGTTCACTTTCTTGGTGCTTGGCCCTTTGATGTATATTGGTATTAGTTATCCTGTCTTCATAAAACATATTTTGGAAGCTTCTGTTCTTGTGAAAATGATACTGTTGTAATCAGCTAGTTATTAATAACAGGAAAGGAGCAAAAGGAAAGCTAGACATTATAGGCATGTCATTTGGGCAACTTCACCAGAAGCTGTGACTTTACACTGCCCAGGGAACCACCAGTCCATTCCCTGAAGATTACTGGGGGAAGGGACTGGACAAAAGGAAAGATGGGCACATGCTCAGTAAAGTTGGGGTGATGTAGGGAAAGTGCCGGTCAGTGAAACCTGGGAACGAGATCATTGGCTAGAGGAGGCAGGGCCACTGCAAGTCTGAAAATGTGGGTATCCATAACCCCCTAGACAAAGGAACTTGCTCTCTTGGCTCTTGTGTGATTCTTGCATTTACCCATGTTCCCTCCATGCAGATGCTACACACAATGGACTAATGGACTGCAGCTGGAAACACAAACTAAGCTATCCTGATGCTGGACTGGAATACTGCTCCAATATGGAATGAAAACTCTGGGCCACGGCTTTAATCCTAGCTCTGTTGAAGCCACAGATATACTTCTTCTTTGATGGGATGAAGGGAAATGGGACCTTGGAAACTCAGGGGTATAATTAAGCTTTCTACAATATCTTATCCTCCTGAGTGAGTCTCAGAATATTCTTTTTCTCATGATATTGCAAGAAGCCTACTCCCACCAGCAAGTGATGGAGACAAAGAGAGCTCCCCACCAATAACAAAAATGTTTCATAATTAGTAAAAATCCCAAAGAGCAAGCATAAGGAGATATTATTGTAGTTTACGTATATTATTAATTAAACGGGTTTGTGTATTGACATAATAAGCACCATTTAAACTTTGTTTGTAAGAAAAAATTAAATTCCAAATTCAGAACAACTGACTTAAAATAGAATTTTTAGACAGACATTATTGAATTATGTCTTTCTCCTGATATTCCAAAGCAAAATTACCTTAAGAAAATTAGAAGGTTTCAAGTACATCCAATCTAGCTTTCATTCCTTCCTTTAAAAGGGTCTTGTTTAAATAGACATTCATATTTACATATAAAATATACAATGCATAAAACACACGTCATTGTCAAGAATGAAAGCATAAAGTTTATGTTCCACGTTTTAATACCTCCCTCTGGTTAGCTGAAACATTTCCTAATGTATATCCAAATCAGAAGAGAAGTTAGCACATTTTAATAAAAATGCATAAGCATTATAAGATGTTAAAAACTGATCCTAAAGTGTGATCCGAGCCTTGTTTTGAAGGGACAGACTAGAATTTCCTCGTACGGAAAGAACGTACCTGATCATGATCAACCTCTACAGGCTGCTTCTTAATGATCCAGGTGACAGACTCAGAGAGTGGTGGGGTAGTCAGGGATCCCGAGTAGGTCCAGTAATCCGGGCAGGTGGGCATCAAGCAGGCAGGGTCGAATGACCCAAATTCCACTAGGGTGTCCTGCCCAAGAGAAGGGATCACTGAGCTATCATCATTTTATGGTGACAACCACTCAGGAATCGGTTGACATGGCAATGATTCTAGGAGTGTACGGGGACCAGCAGTGGCCAAGAGGAGCTCCTAAGGCCCCCTGGGCACCTGAGGACTGAATCACGCCCATGCCTTGTTTCTGCAGTTTACTGTGTATTTCTGACACTCCTCAATGGGAACACAGCAGAACCCATTTTCTCTCTCCATTCTACTGAGTTTCCAGCGGGCGGTCTCCTCTAAACTCTTGGGAGGCATTAGGTGGTGGCTGGTGCATAAATAAGGAGGCTTCCTTTTTCAACAGACTTACTGCATCTTCCTTTCTGAACGCAATGTAGCCCTGGCTGGTGTGGCTCAGTGGTTAGAGTGTGGGCCTGTGCACCAAAGAGTTGTGACTTTGATTTCCGGTCAAAAGCATGTACCTGGGTTGCAGGTTCGATCCCTGGCCCTGGTCAGAGCCCATGTAGGAGGTCTCTTTCATGTTGATGTTTCTCTTATTCTCTCCCCTTTCCTCCCTCTCTCCCTCCCTCCCTTGCTCCCACTCTCTAAAAATCAGTGGAAAAAATATCCTCAGGAGAGGATTAAAACAAACAAACAAATAAGTAAAATGCAATGCAAATTAGGAGGAGCCAGGGTCCTGGACTCAAAGGGGAATGAGAGAGAAGAGGGGAGGAAAAAGAGGGAGATGCAGAGGGAGGGAGAGGGAATGAGATGGAGAGTATATGGACTTCCAGGGAGCGGCCCCTTTGGGATTCTGAATATTGAATGACTGATCTTGGGGCTGGACAAAGGTATCCATCCTGAAGGATATGGGTAACTGTTCTTTAAAGATGGACAAGCCAAGTTTCTGTCTAACTTTTCTGTGCTTCCTGCCAGAGGGAAGGTAGCTAGAGTCAAGAAGGCTGCTCTGAGTGTTTCCACAAGGACTGAGAAGGAGCAGGTGTCAGGAGCAGAGGAGGGGACCCCACTATATTCCTGAGTCCTCAAGTGCTCAGTGGCATGGCAGCAAAATCAGAGTGGTCAGTGCCCACCAACAGAATCCCTTTTGTCCCCTAAAATGTGTCCCAGGGCTAAGGGTGCTCTCAACACATAAGCATCATAAATGCCAAGTTGTCATCTAGGGAACTTTCAAAGAGAACCTGAATTACACTGAGATGAATGACATTTCCCAATGCAAAGGGCCTTGTTAGTGTTTCCATTCTGAGACTGAAACATAAAATATATTTCATGTGCTTTTGGAAGAAAATATTACCTTATGCTTAATTGATGGGAATGTATCCACCAATTTCTGTAGCTCTTTATGATTTCTCCCTAGCTAAAGGAGAAACAATGAGAAAATATTCAAAACAATTGACATCTCACTTTTGAAATTATAACAGAATGTGAATTAAAATTAACCACCTGGTGATTACATAAAAACAAACCAACCATACTACTTAAACTACACTTAAACTGGTAATTTAGAATGCTATAAACATCACTGAATTAAATTAGACACAGAACAAAATGAGCAGGCTTTTTGCTGACAGGGTCAGCTTGCCTACAGGGAAGCATGACCCTCCATCTAACTATAAAGTTTTTAAATTTAAATTTAAATTCATTAAAATAAAGAATTGTTCCACAAAGTGACCATATTTCAAGTCCTCAATTGCCACATGTGACTTGTGAGTACTCTATTGAACCATGCATTTTACACCATTTAAAATATATTCACAATAAGCTTGTATTTTAATCATTGTTCATTTTTATCCCAATATTTTTAGAACTTAGTATTACAATGTTCTGTCTTTTCATCCTAGAATACTGCACATTAATTAAAGTTTGTAACTTTTTTTTACCTTTAAAAATACTCCTATCACAGCTAACCCATTTTCTTCCAGTGCTGCATCCTCAAAGCTTTCAAATTTGACTGCATTCCAGTGTACCAGGTGCAGCTGAAACACCATTAAAAGAAGGTTTGACATATGACCACATAGGATCACTAAAAAATAGGCAGCTTTATTCAACATATGATATTTTAACATGTTTCCTCACCCAAAATCAAGCCACTGGGAAAAGCTTTTGACAATGTGGTGCAAAATGAGATCAAAATCAAGAAAAAGAAGAAATTAATATTACTTTGGAAAAGAGATACTTATTTGGGGAGAAAATATATATAGAGAGAGTGAGTAACATTTCAGTGAAGGAACATTTGTCCATTCCCACCCTGATTTGCATGAAACACTCATATTCCAAATGTATTTGCATATAAAGGAGAAATATTTATCTTGAGAGAAATAGATTCTCAGTATGTGAATGAATTAGATGGGAGTTGAAGACAGATTTCTTTGAGGGAGAACCAGTTAAAATGTGTTTCTTTTCAAGGTAACACTTAAAACTAAATTAGGGTAAAAGTTGTTAGAAGAAATTCTATGTGCTCCCCATATTTCATCCCTCATCCATCATTCATGAATGCTTCCCCAGCCTCCCAAGTGAGACCCTCCCCTCCCCTCCCCTCCCTTCCCCTCCCCTCCCCTCCCCTCCCTTCCCCTCCCCTCCCCTCCCCTCCCTCAAGAGGACCCTGCCTCATGTCCTGTTGCTCTTATTTCAGAAATACTTGTTAAATATCACCCTGTTTCTCTATTTCTATGGATGCAGCCTTCACTTAAGTTCCCACCATCTCTCACTTGGATTGATTGGACCTGGTGGCCCTGTACTGGTGCCTGGATTTTCACTTTAGCCTATGATTTGAACTTAGCTTAGAATTCTGAAAGAATTTCATTTTGGACTCTTAAGGTTCATTTCTGCTATATATTTTTTTGAGATGAGGGCAGTTATCATTTTACATGTAATAACTAGGAATCATCTAATATGTTCCTGAGAGAGCTATTTAGATTTGTAGGAATCACCTGATGCTTCCAGGTAATTTCTTCGAACTAGAAACTCAGAACTATTCTTACTTCTTTGCAGTTGTCACTATTCCCGAGCTTCTCAACATACCTCTGCTGGGTAACATTTGCTGTCCACAGTATGCTCGGAGCCCCAGGCATCGATAGCCCCCCAGTGAAAATGGAACTGCTTCAATCGGTAGTTATGTTCCAGGGGTCCTCCCGTGATCACTGTAATGGCACATCCAATAATTTAGGGGACAGTTTTTCACACCGTAAAAGATGGGGGGAAAGGCCAAGTCTGTGGGTGAACCTTCTATATAAACTGTCTTAAATGGAGCACACTGTATTGTATACAAGTGTTTAAAAATGTGATTTCCACAGTTAATACATGTCTAAGGGGAAAACCTGTACTCTGAATGACACTGAGACATAACTACACTCCAAGCTACATACAATTGTTAAAGGTCAATTCTTGACTTATTTCTATATTCTACCTTTACTGTGCCCAGTTTTTTGTGGGTACAGTAAAATGCATTTTTCTCTTAGCATATTTATCCAACCCAATCTCATTAAACTGAAATATGGGGCAAAAGATACTCTATTTTTTATGCACTGACACTTTGTTTTTCAATTTTCATAGACACTAGATTTTCCTTTCCTTTCATTGAAATGGAATAGGAAATGTGCAGGTTAAAAATTATCACCCATCTCCCTTAGGACAGAGTGAACAATGTGAGTCATCCACACACTTCACCACTAGTTTCATTGTGTAGGATAATACATACCTTTTGTCTAGACTAAAGTTTTCTGAAACTAGTGAAATCAACACATTACAGTATAGACAAAATATTTGGATGTGAGCTTTTCAAGTCATCCTTCCTCAGATTTTGGGCGATGCTAATTTTTTTTTTTTGCTTGAATTTGCAAAAGCATTTTAGTTCCTCATTTCTTCCATCTAATCAGACCCTGATGAATCTGTCCATGGTTAAACCAAAACAACAGAAAAACATTGGTCTCGTCTATCTTAATGATCTTTAGCGTTTATTGCATCATTCATTGAATCTTATGTACACGAATGATTGAGGACAACAATCCCAAGGACCGAATACACTGGATATGTAATACAATGGTCTGCTATGTATTGTACTGGCTTTTGAAAATATTTTACCTAACTTTCACTTTAAAAACGTGGAGTTTTGTAAGAGGTGAGCAAAGACATTAATGGGTACTTTTCTTTGGGGGCAGGGGAGGTGCAGAGAACAATATCAGATGATTCACTAAATTAATAGGACAATGGTACTAAAGTGTAGTGATATAAAAATAAAATGTCTCCTCCAAATTTTTATTTTTCTATGCCAACTCTATGTTGTGATCACGACTTTGGCAAATATTCAATCTAATGTGTTGAATTCGATTGAAGTTCTGGTCCTAAGTTAAGTGACCAGGGCAGAGGAGAGAGTCAGCTTTTCTCTTCTATCCCCAGAAACACACTGGCAATATTCCCTGGACACTTACTGTGTGTCTCCTCCAAAGATTATGAGCAAGGCAGAGAGGAGATGTTACCAATGGCTGGTTTCAAGGGAGTGGGGCAGAACTGATCTTCAGGTGTGTTTGGATTCACCCACGTAAAACTAAAGACATTTTTGCATTCATTGCCAACATTTAAATCTGGATGATTTTACATAAAAATCCACACTTCCAACTTAACTTGGAAATGAGATGCCTTGACCATGTTGGGCACACACTTCCACTGGGTGACAATAGGCTGGACAGGAGAAATGGTCGCCCCCTTTAGATGGTCCCGCCAGTTCTGTCTCCCCACCACACTGTAAGCTCCTTAAAGGCAAAACTATCCCTTCTTCTTCTTTGTATTCTGAGCACCTAGCACGGTGGAGATCTTCGATGAAATAAGGAACTAAAAAATAGACTGTAAAGTGTTTGTTGGGTTTTTTTAGTTGAAATATCACTGGTAACCTCATCAAGAGCAAGGGAAAGGGTGGGGTCAGGCAGGGCAGATTCATGGATGAGAAAGGCAAGTACAGTTAGCAAAAAAATGGGGCAGAGAAAGGAGACAGAAGATAGTGAACTAGAAAGCAGACCAGTCATAGATATACCAAATAATTATATACTTATTTATTTGAGGTTGTTGACATTTTGTTCTTTCTGAGTTCTAAGATGAGAAGAGATTAAACTTACAAAAAATTAGATAACAAATATAAAACACCCAGCATAGTGTCAGTTGAGCAGCCTATGTAATGTTCACTCCCTGTTTTGGTTTTTAAAGTGGTGATGAGGGAACTAGCAGAAAAAGGAATGGTGAAGGAAAAGGTAATACACAGCCCCATACAAATGAAAGGAAATGCAGGAATGAGAATGAAACTTTTGGGGATGATGAAAACACTCTAAAATCGGATAGTAATGATGGCTGCACCACTCTGTAAATATACTAAAAATCATTACATTGTTTTTTCAAAAAAAGTAGATGTAGGACCAAAAATAGGAAAGGAGACCTTAAAACGTTTGTGAAAGCATTCTTAGTAGGTTCATTGGTGATGCTCCTAAAAGTGTCAAGTAAGTGAAGCCAGATGGGGCAGGAAGCATCCTTAGGAGAACAGGACTCATCTATCCTCTTTAAAGCTTGATGGTACTGCTGAGGAGAGTAATTTCAGAGGAGGTGATAATTTACAGGAATCATTTGTGGGACTCAGCCCAGATATAATTCAGTGCCCTTTTCTACAATATTTTGCATCCCTCATATGTACTCATTAAATAACTGTGTCCTATTCAGGGGAGCCTAACAACACAACACTACCCAGCAGAAGACAGTGATAGGAGATGCTCCCATACCTTCTCTTATCTTTTTAATTTCTGTGAGGCTTGTTGTGATGTCCCCTCTTTCATTCCTGATTTTAATATTTTGAACCTTTTGTTATTTTTTCCTCTTGGTCTACCTAGCTAAACATTTGTCAATTTTGCTGATCTTTACAAAAAACCAACTTTTACTAATTTCGGCTCTTTATTATGACATTCTTTCTGTTTGCTTCGGGTTTAGTTTGCTCTTCTCTTTCTAGTCTCTTAAGGTAGAAGCCTAGGTTATTGATTTGAGAAATTTCTTCTTTAATACAGGCATTTTTTTCTATAAGTTTCCCTCTAAGCACTGCTTTTGCTGCATCCCATAAGGTTTGGTACGTTTTGTTTTTATCACATACTTTTCCCAGCTCATTCCCTTGCACACTTTATCCTCAGTTCTTTATAAAGCACACTGTAACAGCATTTCCTACTTTTTGAGGTGAAATTTATGAACATTGATATTTATTAGATCTTTTCTTTTCTAGAATTAGAGTTGTTTCTTGCCTCCCTTTCTAGGATGTCTTTGCTTTCTTTTATTTATCATGTTCATTCATTCTTTCTTCCTCTTTGAATGCTATTGATTATTTTGAAATGGCATGAAGAAATAGCAGTGAAGAATAAGCAGGAGATAGGAGGCAGTCACTGAAATATGAAAAAAGAAAGAGATAGAGAATTAGGTACTTATTAAAGATTAATGGTATTTTAAAGAAAATAAAGCATACTGAAAAGGAGTTACCTATTTTGGTCCTTCCTGACAAAACAAATGGAGAATAAGCAAACTCTCTACAATTTTTCTTGCATTTTATAAAAAAGTGTGGGACTGGCTTACCTAGGGAAGGTAAAATTAAGGAATGATTTAGTGTTTTTTGTTTGTTTGTTTGTTTGTTTGTTTTTTTAATGTTTGGAGGTATCTAGAGAGCAATTATAAGGAAAAGGTTGGTCACTTGTTTTTTCATATGAGATTGCCCATGCAAATTGGTGGATGAAAATTCTTGGATCTATCATTGAAATGAGAAAGGCATGACTAAAAAATAAAACAAAAAGCTATTTGCCTTGAACGATCATGCTATTAACTCACTAGATTAATAAACCTATTAAACAACTTCCTAAGGTTTTTAGCTCAATAAAGCAATAATATATTGGCAAAAATCCCTAGACTATCTAGGTTATTAGAAGGCTGATCACCATTTAGGATCGCCATGTTACTATTGTAACTAACTAGTTTATTAATATTAATAATAGGAAGAAAGCAAAGAAAAGGCCAGACATTATAAGCCTTGTCATCTAGGCAGCTTCACCAGGAAGCTGCAACTTCACACTTCCCAGGGAGCCACTGGTCCATTCCCTGCAAATCACTGGGGGAAGGGGCCCAACAAAGGGGAAGATGGATTCATGCACCTTGAAGTCAGGGTGACATAGGGAAGGTGCTTGCCTGTCAGTCTAACCTGAGAATGAATATAACTGGATCCACTGCAAGCACGTGAAATCTTGGAAGTGTAAAATCCCACAGACAAATAATTCTCTCTTGTTCCTCTTGTTGCTTGCACTCCTGTTTTTTTGTTTGCTTTGTGACCCACACTCGCCATGTGCCCCCATAGCCATGTGGACCCCACAAGCAATGAACTGCAACTGGGAACACAGCTAACATAGCCAGATGTTGGACTGGATTGTGCAAATATAGAGCAGAAACTCTGGGCAATGGCTTTGATCTTAGCCCTGCTGAAGACAAAATGGGACTTTTTCCATGGCAAGATGGAGAGAGGTGGGATCTTGGAATAGAAACCTCTTAATATTATCTCATCAATAAAGTTCCCACAATACCTCATTCTGCCCTGGGGCCTTCAGGAAATTTTTATTCCCATAGCACCCTTCCACCAGTGACATGTGGGGATACACAGAACACTCCACCAATAACACTCAGAAGAAAGAAAAGATGGTTGCCAAGGACCTAGCTGGGACTGATACTAATTAATTGAGAGAATTGCTATGCATCCAGAGTGAATGTATTAGAGCAGGTGTCCTGTAGATTGGGTCTATCCATTACTCCAGCTCTGGCAGAGGTAATGGTAGAGCTCTAAGGTAGACAAGCAGAGCTCACCACAGTGCAATATGGTCATCTGGAACACAGGACATTAGCTTGCTGTTTTGAAAATTTCTGGAATCCTTATACAAAAATGTAATAGTATAGACTTCCAGTTGAGCTGGGGGCACTCTCTGGGGTTTAGAAAAATTATGAAAGACACTGATGAATCTGGAGAGAAAAAAAGTAATTTCTAGTTTGAGAAATGTAAATATGATGCTTAGGGTTTTGGGACCACGTAATACCATGGAAGAGAAAGAATTAAATGGAGGACAACATAGACACTTACGCCCTTAAGGATAGGCTCAAATATGTCCTGAATCACAGCAGAGAAGTATGTCAGAGGGAAGAGAACCAGAGAGAGATGAACCCATTACAGGATCAGTCTGTTTGCACTTGTGTCAGAAGGCCATGTCTAGGTATCAGAGCATCACTAGGAAAATGCGAGGAAAACCAAGATATGGTTGAGAATCCTAGAGCCAGGATAAACACAGGAGTGAACACCTATATTTATGTTTTTAAGTTATACTCTTATTTCATTTATGAACACTTTCAGATTAGTTTACACCTAGCTAAGAGGGAAAAAAAAAGATTAAAAAGCAATATGTTTGAATTTTAAAATCTTTTAAAATTGTGTTTCTTTTAAACTAGATAACATTGTTTAATTAACAAAATTAACAGAAGGGGAGTTTCCATTTTTCTAATATACTACTAAGTCTTAACTAGTTGTTAAGACTAAAACCTCATGCATACATGAATATTCTTTTCACTATTTCAAAGGTATTGAAATCTGATCAGTTAAATCTGATTAAACAGTATTACTATCTAACATAAAAGTGTCTTGTAAGGTCATCAAGCAGAGAAAATTAGTACATATTCATAAACACATACAAAATAAATTTTGGACACAGCTTTAATTTCACACCCTATCTTCCATATCAATTATGAATCTACTCACAGATAAGCTTATTTAGTAATAAAAATACTACCTAAATTAGAAGAAAATATCCATAAAAACCAGAAGGGACTATTTTCATACATTAAAAAGTAAATCCAACGTGTCCCATCATTGCTAACAAAAGAGGTCCATGCTTACATGGACACAGTGTGATGTGGCCTGTGCCTTTAATTCCAAATGAGACTACCAGTCTGGCTCTCACCTGATTTATCTGTAGAATCTTCAAATTCCACAAGGAAAGAGTATCCGTTATTCCAGATGTGTAGGCAGGTGGTCGGGTCATAAGAGATGATGAGCGGTTTTAAGTCAGGATCATAGACACTGTCCCTCCACCGGATGTTGATGGGAGACTGGCGCTCACCCCCTGGGACCAGGTCCATTCTCTCCCAGAGTGGGTGCACTAGGAGAAAGTACATTAGAACTGCCATCAGGATGTCCCTTATCTGGGATCACACATCAGGCAGCTCTATTTGAGGAAAGCCTGTTGAGGCTAATGGAAACTAGAAGTCTCAGGACTTAGCTGCTTAGAGACTTCATGGACTGACTAAAGCAGAGGACACGGACATGGGCAGGTTAGAGAGCCCTTTGGAGAGCAGCAGCCTTTGATGTCTTGTCAAACTGAAGCCTCTCAGTTGACCTTCTAATTTCACCTAAAGTGCAACCCAGTCCTATGATAACAGAAAAAATGCAAGGAGATTAGGATTGATAATTTCTTGGGACCCACCTGCTAAACTAGTTCTTCTGAGAAGAAGACATGACCATTTTATTTTTATGCTTTTCTCAATTTTATTGAATTTATTGGGGTGACATTGGTTAATAAAATTATTTAGGTTTCAAGTGTACAATTCTATAATACATCACATCATCTGTATATTGTATTATATGTCCACCACCCCAAGTCTAGTCTCCTTCCATCACCATCTATACCCCCTTTATCCTTTATTACCTCCCCCACCCCTCTTTCCCTTTGATAATCACCATACCTTGTCTGCATCTATGAGGGTTTTTTTGTTTGTTTTCTTACAAAATAAAAACAGACTCACAGATACAGAGAACAAACTGCTAAACTAGTTTTAAACACAGGGATGTTTTAATGAAATTTTCAATAATGCAGGTATTTTCAACAAAGTAAATGGGGAAAGAAGAGAAAGAATTTTTGGAAAGTAAATGTTCAACCAATCATTAAAGTTTTAATTGGTTGGCTAGTAGAAATGAAGGCTTGCATCCTATAATTTTGCTTGCTGTTTTGAAGATTTCTGGGTTCCTTACACACAATGTTATATTATAGGCTTCCAGTTGAGCTTGGAGCATACCCTAGGGTTTTTAAATAATTAAGAAAGATACTGATGAATCTAGGAAGAAAAGGAGTAATTTCTTCTTCTTCTTTTTACTTTACTTGTTTATTATTTTTCCATCATCATTTATCCCCTCTATGCTGTCTTCAACCTCCATCCAACCTCTCCCCTCAATCACCACACTATTATCCATGTCCATGAGTTCTGATTCTTTTTTTTTCCTTTTTTGCTCAATACTTCCACCCTCCCCAACATTGTTACCACCTCCAGAGCTATTGGAGTAATTTCTTCTCAGTTTCAGATATAAGATGTTCAGGTTTTGGGGTCCTTGTTGATGGAAAGGAGAGTGAGTCACCCTAATATCTCTTTGGCATCAGGATTATTTTAGGCTGATTATTTTTAAGAAACAGCTGACACATGAGAAGCTCTGAAAACTGAGTAGAAGTTACCCTTTTGTAAGAAACATTTATTTGTAAGGGTGTCTCCCTCTCTGTATTAGAAAAAAGACTAAATCTGTAGAAAATCTCATCAATGGAGAAGGCACTGACCTAAATATACATAACAAGGCTACCTTTGTTTACTGTTCTTTTCCTGATAACCTCCCATACTGGACCCCTGCCCCAACATCTTCTTTTGTGTTTAGCTGAAGATTGTATTTAAGGTGGCGGCTTGGGCCATTTGGGGGAGTTATTCAATATTCTTGAGTCTCTTCCGTGAATAGAGGAGGTATCCATATTATTAAACTTCTGTTTACCTGGCCCTGGCCAATTTGGCTCAGCAGTTGAGTGTTGGCCTGTGGACCAGAGAGTCCGGGTTTGGTTCCTGCTAGGGGCACGTACCACAAAAACAAACAAATAAGTAAATAAATAAATAAAATAAACTTCTGTCTACCTGTCTTTTATTATGGGAGGGGGGTGGGTCTGAGTCCAGGACCTAAAAGTGTAGAGTAAAAATTATTTTTCCTCTCCTACCATGTCATATAAAAGAAAGAGGAAAATGGGGGACATAGAGACACTTTAACCCTTAAGGACAGACTCAAATAGTTCTTGAATCACAGTAAACAAGTATGTCAGAGCAAAAAGAACCACAGAGAGGTAAATCCCATTGGAGGAATTATATGGTCCTATTTAAGTGTGTATGCTGAGTTCACCTCTTATGTAAGCAAGCTTTGAGGATTAAGTAGCCATTCTGTAAAACCTGGGTAGAATATTACCATTGCTAAGGTTCTTAGAGTTCTGTTTGTAACACAAATAACTATGGACATTATATATTAAGGTACGTGCACAGTTTGTCCCACGTGAGCACTGATAACATCACTAATGCTGATTTTTGTACCAAAGATTCAAGCACCAGATCTTATAACTGGACAGGAACTTCATTTCTTTGATAAAACTTTTTCCTTAATTCAAGCTAGCTTTGTCCAGTCTAATAGCACCGTGACATATTGCACGTCCACTTCCTTAATCATTAAGCCCTTAGAACATCAGGTTTTGGGTAGCATCATATTCTCTTAGGAATAAAACCTCAGGTCCTTTGATCATGGGAACAGTTTTAAACTGAAGATAATATCTTGACCTCAGTTGTGTGTCAGCCTCAGGCCCTTGAAAGCATAATGTTCCTACTGACCATACCCTCACAAAACTGGACAGAATGACACCATGGCTGACATCAGGACCTGATACAATGATCACTATTCCCTATCCTGGTCCCAACTGATCAGTCGAACCCACCATCCTAAATCCTTTAGTCACCACGATTAATAATTTTTTTTTCCGTATATAATCTGTCCTCATGCAGGCCATCGGAAAGCCAGGTCTTTGAGCATTAGCTCACTTGTGTCTCCAGGCTTGGTGCCATTTCCTTAAATAAACATTTACTTTCTTTGCTGCAAACTCCTGTTTGTGTTTTGTTGGGCTTTGATGTATATAGGCAAATAAACCCCTTCAGTTTGGTAAAAGTCTTTGTGGCAAGTCCCTGATAAATCTCAGCAGACTTCCTGATAATAGACAGACTTGTTTAAACACCCATGCATGATGAATGGAACCTACGTAAATAATTTTGAGTGTTACAGTTCTCTGCCTTATAGAGGAACCATGGGTGGGTAGAACCAAGACCAACAGGAAAACTAGAAGAAATATGAATTGAGAGAAATCATTACTAATGACACTCTGCACTTCACCCCACTGCTAAGAAAGAGTCTAAGGATTTGAGAAAGTGACAAGGCAGCTGCTATCCTGTCAAATCTCCCTGTGTATGGCAGGGTCCATGACACTTCTCTTTTCATGAAAAAACCATACAACAAAAAACAGAAATTTGCCTCTGGTTTACTCTTCCAGAGGAAACATTCTTCCTTCTGAGGTAGCTGCCCAAAGGCGGAAGTACAAGATCGTAACCTTGTCTTCTTGGGTAAAAGTGACCCAGCAGTACAGACATAAAGCTCTCCTGGCAGTTGCTAGGCCAGTACTTCTCAACAGAAGGATTCTGCCCTTAGGGGACATTTGGCACTGTCTAGAGACGTTTTTTTTGGTTGTTACAACTGTAGGAGGGCGCTACTGACATCTAGTGGGTGGAGGCCAGGGATGTAGCTAAACATTTTACAATGCATAGATTATCTGGCCTCAGATGTCAACAACACCAAAGTGGAGAAATCTTGGTCTAGAGCTAGAAGTAAAGGCAAACTCAGAGTATTCTTTTTTTTTTTTCTTTCTATTTTTTTCATAAGTTCAGTACTCTCATCTCTAGAGAGGTCTGAAACCAATGTTTTGGGTCTTCTCCCTTAGTATAAAAGAACTTGTGAAGAACAAGAACTTTGTTTCAGAAATCTAAAATGGAAAATGTATATGAGTTGGTATAATACAGTCATGTTATAATTGGATTAGACTGCAAAACCTTGCAGGCAGGAGCCATATATTTCTTCTTTCTTGTTGTCTTAAAGTGCCTTACTTTAATTTATGCCCTTTAATTTGAGTATTGAATTGCTATTTGGAGGATAAAAAGCTGTATTTGATCGTGTGATGTTTTTAAACTTCTAGAAACACCACTGAGATATTCAGACTTGTGGCTGAGGACTTGAGAATTCACATTTGTTGTGTATCAGTTTGACATGATCTAAAATCTACTTGTTTATGACAAAAATTGAAGTTTTTAAGAGTGAAGTTGTTTTGATATGAGTGATGTAAACTGTGTCAGGATGTTATCTCATTTGTTCTCATTGATAACCAGTAGCCTCAGCTGCCGAGGAACACCACAGCGGCTTATCCACAGGAGCCTATGAAGAAACAGCTATGGCATGGGGATATTTAGACTACAAATACTCAGAGTTTGTGAGGGCTACCAAAGCTGTTTGGTCTTGGTAAGGTGGTGCTTTGGGCCATTTTGGGAAGTTACTCAGTTTTTCTGGGTCTCTCCTATATACATAGGAGGAATCCACTTTATTTTATTTTTTTTTAGAAAATATTTTTTAAATATTTTATCTTATCTTTGCATTTATAACATAATTCACTTCAACAATCGCGGAATCTTTTTTTTTTTTTTTTTTTTCCAATGTCACAATCTGTATGACAAATGAAACTGGTACTGCTGGTTATCAAAATATACAAGACAATTGATGTTTTATATGAAACCACTTTATATGTTAACTTATTCCCAAACTCCCCCCACCCTTTTTTTTTTTCTTTTTTGGCCTGGTATCCAAGTTATTAGAAGTCTGTTTTCTTTGATTAGTCTGTCTTTTATTATGGGGACGTAGGGCTCAGCCAAGAATTCAGAAGGGTAGATTGAAAATAATTTGTCCTCCCCTACACATATATGTGTAATTATCTGCCTATCTTGCTGCTCTGCAAACCAGAACTGAATTGGCTTTCAATCACTTGTGGATTGAATGAATAATAAAGAACATCACTGGGAAGGTTTCATGCTCCTTTTATCTTTATTTAATATTGGCCTACTGACCACATTATTTTTTCTTTAAAATCTTTCAGGGTTAGCCCTGGTCAGTTTGGCTCAGCGGTTAGAGCATCTGCCCATGGACCAAAGGATCGTGGGTTCGATTCCCAGTCAAGGGCACATACCAGGGTTGCAGGTTCAATCCCAGGCCTTGGTCAGGGTTGTGCGGGAGACAACCAATTGATGTCTCTCTATCTCTGTCTCTCCCTTCCTCCATCCCTTCCACTCTATCTAAAAACCAATAGAAAAATATCCTCAGGTGAGGATTAACAACAACAAAAAAATCTTTCATGTTTATCTGTTTCTTGCATTGCCTACAAGCAACAGTCTAGTTCAGGTCTTTACAGCCCAGATTTCATACTATACCTCCTGGCTGCTTTGAGTCCTGTCTCACTCCCCTCTATTCCATCCTCCCAAACTCCAGTCTTGACATTTTCTGCAATCACTCTGACCTTCTGCTAAACTCATACTGCATTCACTCTCACACCATTTAGCACCTAACCATGTCTCATGCAATGTGCTTTTACTTTATCTGCTCAAGGGGCCTGTGTCAATTCTAAGCCCTAGGGCCTGAGTTCTTTACTTTTTCTACAGACCTAGGGCTGAACTTGGTACCAGGCAAAAAGGAGGCACTTAATGCTTATTTTACTGATAGAGAAAACCAAACAAGTTGACACCAAGGCTCTCTAAACTTACCTCTCACCCATAGTCTCTCCAACCAGACAAGCAGGTGTACCAGGAACACTTCCTGCATTTACATGATCACACCTGCATGTTTCTTTCTCATTTCTGGAAATCCTACCAGCTCTCGAGGTCAGTTCAAGCCCCTTCCCTGACAGCCCCACATTACATTGAGTGTCCTCTCATCTCTTATCACTCCTAGACCACTGTACCTGCACTGTCTAACATAGTGACCACTCGCCCACTGCAACCAGTTTAAATTGAAATGTGCTGCAAAGTAAAACACTGAGGGACCTTGAAGACAGTATAAAACAAAGAAAGTGAAATATTTCATTCATAATTCTTTTTTTTTTATCCTCACCTGAGGACACTTTTCAATATTTTGTTCAGATAGAGTGGGAGGAAGAGAGAGAGAGAGAAACATCGACGTGAAAGGGACACATGAAGTGGCTGCCACCCGCACGACCCAACCAGGGCCGGGGACAAACTGCAACTGAGGTACATGCCCTTAGCGGGAACCAAACCCGGGTCTCTCTGGACCACAGGCTCCAACAGCTGAGCCAAACTGGCTAGGGCTCATTCATAATTCTTACATTCATCTTACTTTAAAGTGATAATATCTTGGATATATTAGATTAAATAAAAAATATATTAGTAAAATTAATTTCACCTATATACTATATTTCACCTATATTTTCTATATAAGTAGAATTGATTTCACAAATGAACAAAATATTTCCCCCCAGTTTTATTGACATGTATTTGACAATTTGTTCATTTTTAAATGTGATTATAAGAAAATATATAATTGCCTAAACAGCTTGTTTTTGTGGCTCACATTACTTAACTACTAGAAGTGTTAGGACTTACACCATTCAACATTCTCTTACAAAATGAAAACTTTATTAACTAAATAAATAACTATTTTTTCCACTCTAAGCCTCAAAGTGCCAGTGTTGAGAATAAGTCAGTCTGGGTAGGATGTGGGCCTGCTGGTAGGAAGCCACACCCAGCAACCAGAAATGCATTACAACTCTGGGCAGGTCATTCTAATGAGAACATGGTCAATGTGGGAGGAAACAAAATACACTCTCGATAAAAACATATTTACGGAGCAGTTTTAAGTCCTTGGGTTTAGCTAAATTAGCTTTCCTAATTTAGCTAAAGAAATCAAGCATTCCTTTCTTATTTTTTTTTATTATGTACAAACAGGGTCAAAAGAGACTAAACCCAAAGAGAAAAAGTAGAGAATCCTAGGCCTAGAAGCAAGCCAACATTTAAAAACTCTGAGTCAACCCCTTTAATATAATGGAAAATGTGAAAAATTCCTCTTCAACCAGTCCATTTCATTTCTCCACAAACTCAAACCCATCTCTCCACAAATACACAGGTTATCCTCTTCTATTACGGCAACGGTTCATAACCAGGGGCAGTTTTGTCCCCCAGAGCTCATTTGGTAATGTGTGCAGACATTTTTGGTTGTCACACTGGGTGAGGATATTGCAAGCATCTAGTGGATAGAGGTTGGGATGCCATCCAACAACCTACAGTGCACAGGACAGTTCCCGACAACACAGAGTGACCCACCCCCGTGTCAGTGGTGCAGCAGCAGAGACTCCCTGCCCCATAGAGACAAGGGTGGCAACTGGTCTTTCAGCCGCGGGATGAGATGTGAGAGGTTTCAGCAAAGACAATCTGCTGCCTCACTTGATCTGCGGTGTTTACAGCAGAACACACACTTGACAAGCTGGTCAGCTAGAGTAACTGCAATGTATAACTCGGGAAAGAGTATTCCAGAGTGTGACACAACTGTTCTGACTGCTGGCCAGCATTAATATGCATCTTCCAGAATGTTCAAATTCACAGAAATCATTTGCAGTCTGTGGATCAAAGTTAATAAAAAGACAATTGACAACAAGAAACAACAACAACAACAAAAACAGGTTTCAACGTATTTGGAACTGGGATACATCCCTTGTCCTATTTATGCATGACATCATTTTAACATGTTAAAAGTGGTCAAGAAAAGGACTTTCCAAACTTGACTGTGGTAAACATTTTGCAATATACACATGTATCAGATCACCCTGTGGTAGGTACACCTTAGATGGACACATGTTCTGTGTCAATTATATCTCAGCAAGGCTGGGGGAAAAAGAACTTCCCACACTTCTTTTACAGCACAGATAGAGAAACAAGTAGTTAATTCTCACAGCAACTAACATCCTATCCACAAATCTGAAACATGCATGACTGTCGTGAAACAACAAGCTTCCTGCTCTCCTTAAGGCAGCAGTGTACTCACAGGCTCGGTTCCGGGTTTTGTAAGTGCAGGTGTAGAGGCTGCAGGGCCTTACTGGCATGGTCCTGGGAATCTGGAATCTTCTCCATGGAGGGTTGCATAAAGAGGCTTGGAGAATGACCCTTAGGCTATTCATCACCACAGTCTTTGGCCCCAAGTCTTCTCAGTTTGCAAAGAACTTGCAGGAACCTAATGACCCAGAGGCAGGAGGACAGAAGAGGAAAAGCTGTAAACAGTAGAGACTGAGGATCATGTGGAATCCTCTATAAGACCACAACATTCAGACTATCAGTACACACCGTGGGGATGAGGGAGGCCTAAATGAGAGTCAGTAGTTTATCCACTCTTGTTCCTCAAAGTCTTTGATCACCTCATTGGCAGGGTCTGGATGATTGACTCAGGTGCCCTGCCTTCCCTTGGGGTCAGCAAATATTAGAGGTCCAGAGAAAAGATCCTCTTTAACCACAAGAATGAATAGAATGTTTACAGTCAGTGTCTTAAAATTAAAAAAGATATTCACTCCCTGAAACCCAAATTGTCCAGCATGATATTTGCATATAAGAAGTAACCAAAGAGCTCCCTCCAGGCAGCTAGAATTAAAAAAAAAAATCATTCTGCATCTTGATTGCTTTAAAAACAACCATATCGTGCCAAAATGGTCATGGGTGGTTTTGAAATCTAAGCTTGAATATAATCTGTGACTCTGCCAATTTTAGGTGTAACACTATTTCCCTTGGTTAATGGGGGAAATGCATAAGGTTAATCCTGAACTAATCTACAAGTAAATTCAATTTGAATATTCATTTATGACTGCACTGATGACCTCTCTTCCCCTCACATGTTTACATTGGGGAGTCTCACAACAAGATGCTCTCCAAGGCATTCACTATAGTGTTCTGAAATTATGGTAATGTTAACTTTGAATGCTTTGTCCCCAGTCCCCACCCAATATTGCTTCATCCACTTTTCCTGAAAACTCCTATCCCTGTACCAAGTAAGGAAACAAGCTCAAAAATTAAAAAGAAAAACACTATTTTTCTTGATTATACATTCACTCCACTATAGATTTCAATGTATTCAGTGATTACTTGAGATGCTTTCAGACAACAGTTCAGAACATTTGAGCAACAATGCGTATGGTTTGGCCGCACAACCGAGGGCTTTAGCTCTGCTGACCTCTAACCCTTATGTCCAATTCACACTCTTGTCCTGCACACCAGCCACAAGGACTTGGTTCTGCCAACTCCTGATGCTCCCTCTAGTCTCAGGGTTTATGCAGGTGCTCCTCCTTCCCTGAACTACTCTCACTCTCTCTGGGTCTGCTTAACCCTATTCACCCTCCCATGACCACATCCAACATCACATCCTAGAAGTCTCCTCTAACTGTGGCCTCTCAGTGAGCCCAGGGCCTTCTTCTTGGTCACAGTGCTCATCACAGTTGAATTAAATACCTCATCAGGAATGTAATGTAGGACTCCATCTCCCCAGTATCTAAGCCCCACGGTGCTAGGGACTATCTCTGTGTCAGTCACAGCTGCATCTCTCAGGGACATGGTCTGGCACATGATGGCTACTTGAAATCTGATCCTAATTTCAAGAATTGAGAACAGTGAAGTGACTGCTAGTGTGTTCTCGGTATTAATGGTTCTTCCTTTTCCTACATGTCACCATCACCCCTTTGTAGGTTTATTTATACACTGGAAAGACTTTTAATGTTTGTATTTTAAGAGGTGGATGTCATATCCCTTCCCATAACATCTAAAGTATCCCCGAAGTTCTGCCTGATCTGAAAGAACCTAACCAAATATGAACCTAACCTGGTCTCACAGTGCTGGGAATTCTGTCAGTAATCGTTTTCATTTAAACATATATTTTCATTCTGTTTGCTCCAGGCACTGTGTTGGGTGCTGAAATGAAAGATGAACAAGGTTATAAAAAGAAATCACGTCCTGATACATGCTTCAATGCTGATGAATCTCAAAAACATGGTGCCAAGTGAAAAAAGTCAGACTCAAAAGGTCAACTATGGTATGATTCCACTCATGTGAATACTTAAAAAAGGGAAATCTAGGAGATAGAAAGTAGTTTGGTGGTTGCCAGGGGTTGGGGGAGGGAAATGAGGAGTAATTGATTGACAAGTATAAGGTTTTCTTTTGGGGTGATGTAATTTGTTTTGGATCCAGAAAGAGATGGTGGTTGAACAACACTGTGACTGTACTAAATGTTTCTAAATTATCCACATTAAATAGATTAACTTTATGTTACACGAATAATAAAATAATGCAAATATTATGGGAAGGGAAACACATGCCAATCCAGTTCTCAGCAGGTGTTAGTGCCCCCTCAGATTCTGCCTTTGGCCTACTGAGGCTGGGCAGCAGTTTGTCACTGTCGGGGGAGGGCAGCTGCCAAAAGGCTCAAAAAGAGCAACTGACAGGCCATTAAAGACACATGTCACTTACAAACTTGAATTTCATCGTTCATACTGTCCTTCCAAGAAGAGTGTAAGATATAAAAAGTATCTTCGGATCCCCAGGGATGCAGAGAAAGGAGGCACCCATTCTAATTTCACCCTCCCTTCCCTCTTTTTTTAAATCCTCACCAAAGGATATTTTTCCTTTTTTTTTTTTTATCATCACATAGGGCAGGAGGGAGAGAAGGAAGAAGAGAGAAAACATCAATGTGACAGAGACACATCAATTGGTTGCCTCCCACATGACCCCAGGCTGGCATGGAACAAATCACAACCAAGGAACGTGCCTTTGGCCAGAATCCAACCCAAGACTCTTTGGTCTGTGGATTGATGCTCTAACCCGCTGAGCCAAACTGGCCAGGGCTCCCCTCTCCTCCTGTACTTCACTGCCATGAGCTGGCGGGGAACTAGCTCTTTCACCCTTGCCTCTGCCAGACCTGAGCAAGAAGGCAGAAGGCTCGACCCAAAGGAAAGGTGATGTGTCCAGTGAAGGCAGGAAGCAGTTACTTCCTATTGCCACTCTGAAAGGAACAACGGAGGGCTCCAAGCAGCTATTGGTCCATGTGCGGGACAAGGATCGTATGTGCTGTGCGCTGCTGTCCTCCACACTTTGCCAATGGACGCACTGACCTCAGGGAGCAGAGATGCACATCACCATATGCAAGGGGACTGGTAGGAAGTTCTTCAACCCCACAGAGGCTCCTCACCTGCAGGCCTGACTCCCTGCCTGGGGTCCTTATGGCAGTGACACCCATAGTATGTCTTCATCCACATAAGAAGCTGCGAATTCTCAAATCAAGTGCAAATCACTTTTGTTCATAGTAGTTTCATGCGTGTGTTTGTATATACACATTTTTGGAGGGAGCAGGCATGTCAAAACGTACCTTAATTCTGTTATTCTTTGTACAGACTTCTATATCTGAATTGAAACAATAATGAGGAACTATCTCATCCAAAGCACTGTGCTGGGTAAAGATTAAAAAGTCGTTTTCTCACCATTCCCAGAAGCTTGCAATCTACAAGGAAAAACTATTTAAACAAACAATGTCTGGTGTTTTTAGTTACTTTGTTTTTATTGTGGTAAAACATACATAATATTTACCATTTTCATTAAAATGTTTTTTTCGTTATTGATTTTAGAGAGAGAGGAATGGAGAGGGAGGGAGAGATGGAAATATTGATGAGAGAGAACATCGATTGGCTGCCTCCTGCATGCCCCCCAATGGGGATCACACCCACAACCTGGGCATATGCCATGACTGGGAATCGAACCAGCGACCTCTTGGTGCATGGTCGACACACGACCACTAAACCACACCATCTGGACTACCATTGTCATTTTTAAAGTGGCATTAAATACATTTACAATGGTATGCACCCATCACCAGTATCAATACCCATAACCTTTCATCATTCTCTATATAAACTTTACTCATTAAAAGATAACTCCCCATCCCTTCTGATGCCCCAAACCACAGTAACCTCTTTTCTACTTTCTGTCTCTACGTATTTGCCTATTCTACACACTTTATATAAGTGGAATTATATATTTTTCCTCCGAGTGTGGTTTATTTCACTTAATGTAATTAAACAAATACTTCTTACTCAAAGCCACATGTGATGACAGCCCTGACTTAATTCAATGAGAACAGAAGGCAGAGGCTCTACGTTTTAGAAGGAGGTGACATTTGAAACACGTGTCGTAAGAGACTATTTTAATGGAGGCACAAAGATAGAGAGATGGACAGGGGCTATATCAGCAATGATGAAGACATCCTGGGGGAGGCAGAGGTGCTTGGGAGCCAAGGCCAGAGAGGACAACTGAGGTTGAAGAAGGTAGAACCTTGGGTTTATTCAGTAATCGATCCCAGTGTGAGGGGGAGGTGAGCAAACATGTGAGAAAGGACTCCTTTCTTGCTTACAATCTAGATAGAAAAAAAGAGACTTTGTATGTTCTGGGAACACAATGCCTAGTACAAGATATACTCAACAGAAGAGACCTGCTGGTCTGTCCTTCAAAGAGAATGCTGTGATAAGACAAGGCTAACAGGATGCCTGACCAGGGAGGGCGTTGCACAAATGAGTGAGCATGCTCTTGGCCCGGCACCAGAGGCCACGTGAGGGTTGAGACCTGTCACCATTGTACCCAGAGCCATCAGGAAAGCCCTAAGGCAAGGCTGAGCTGACCTCCAGGGCTGTGCCTTGGGGACTGCTCTGCATTCTGCAACCAAGCTGTCTGTGCACAACGCCAAGGCTGGCACCTTACCACACCTCGGCCAGAGGAAGTGTCTCTTGCCTACTGCCACACTGGCTCTCTAGGACTAGGAGGACACAAGAGCTCCAGAGGGCCTGACGCCAGCCAACCCTACCTTCTAGGTCATCCTCCTCCACAAAGCCCACCCAGTCGTGGGCTGCGCTTAGTGGTCTGGAGGGCTGAACTTCTGTTTGCCTCCTAAGAATACTGCTGATCTCACTGCAGGGGACAATGACTCTGAAGATGATCTTGTGCTTTTGGACAAAAACAAAATCCTGTTTTTTTGCAAGGAAGTCAAATGTATCTGAACTTCCCATAACCGCAAGTCTGCTATAAATATTTGTTAAGGTACTGTCCAAGGAGGTGCCCAGGGGACACAGTGGAAGGTAGGGAAGGATGGGGATTTGAGATTAATTCAGAGAATATAAATTTCCAAGAGACTGAAAGGCTTTCAGATATTATTCCATGTGTTCGAGAGGGAGCACTGATGGTTCCTGATGACTGTCAGCACAATGCAGGATGGATGGGAGTGGAGTCAGGAAAGTTAGTGAGGAGGTGTTTCTTCCACCACCCTTCATTCAATCCCATCAATCTCTCATTCTTTCATTCATCAAGACATCGATCAAAAATACCTAAATGCTAAACACTTTTCTGGGATCCACAGGGTAATAAAACGAAGTCTCCGCCCCTGTGGAACTTACACTCTAGTGGGGGGAAACAGACAGTCAACACCAATTTAATACATAAGTCAGTTGTAGAGAGAATTAAATTAAAATATGTTCAGTGAAAAGTAGAGCAGAATTGGGTGAATTTGGAGTGCCACTTGGAAGGGAGTGTTGTACTTTAAAGAAATTGGTCAGGGGAGGACTTATTGAAACGATGAACTTGAGCAAAGGATTGAAGGAGGTGAAGGAATTCATTATTTGGCTATCAGCAGGAAGCACAGTCCAGGCAGAGGGAACTGCCTATGTAAAGACCCTGAGGTGGGAGTGTGTCTGGCCAACACAAGGGATGATGAGACGAAAAGGACAGGAGCGGAGTGAACCAGGAGGAGGGTAGTAGGAGATGAGGTTGAGAGGTAATGGACACCAGATCCAATAGATGTCTAGGCCCTTGTAAAGGTTCTTTCTCTAACAGGTTTCTCAACCTGTCTATGATTGACCAGATAACACTGGGGTGGGGTTGGTGTGGCTGTCCTATACACTGTAGGGCCTTTAGCAGCTTTCCTGGTCTCTACCCACTAGAAGCCAGTGGCATCTTCCCTCCAACTCTGACAATCAGAAACGTTTCCAGACATTGCAGATGTCCCTTGGAGATGGGAGAATCACCTCTCACTAGGAACTACTATTCTGAGTGAAATGAGAACATGATGAGGTTTTGGAGCAGAGGAAAGACACAATCTGATTTATATTTTCAAGAGATCATTCAGGATGCCCTCTTGGGAACTGACTGGGATAGAAGGCAGGAAAGAAGTAGGGAGATCATTCAGGATGATCCAGGGGCTGAGACTAAGAATGTCACCATGGAGGTGGTGAGAAGGGCTTGGGTGCTGGCTGTAGCTTGGAAATTCAGTTCGTAAGGTGTGCAAGAGAGGAGCCAAGGATGACTGGAAGACTCTTGGTCTAAGTCAACTGGAAGAATGGAGTTGCCATGATCTGAGATGATGCCAATAGCATATGGATTTGGGTGGAAATCCATAGCTCAGAGTTGGGCATGTGCAGTCTGAAATGAAATTCCAATAATTCAAGTGGAGAATATGAAGCGCTGAACTGGACAGTGGCAGTGGAGAGGAACAAGGCACTTTCATTCAATAGATTGCTATTTTGGTGTAAAAAAACCACATAGGATTTGCACTCAACTGTAGGAGAGAAAAGGGAAGAAGCTGAAAAAGTCATTGTGATTTTACAGTTGGTTGATGTTGGCGCCAGAATGAGGATAAATCCCTGATTAGACAAACAGAACCTGGCACAAGGTGCGGGTGGGAAGGCAAAGATGGAGTTCCTCATCTGAATTATATATTGGATTTGAGGTCCAAGGTAGAGCTGAGAGGAAAGGTCTAGGAGAATTGCCAATGCGGCTCTGGCGTTCTAGAGAGTCTATGAGGCCAGACAGCAAAGGAACACCCGCTCCCCAAAGGAGCAACAGGTGTAGAGGGAGACTGAAAAAAATGGAATGATTATGGAGGCCAAGAGATGGAGAAGGAACAGTTCAAGGCCACCAAGGAAGCAATGGAGCATGGACGGTCAGGGGCGAGGAGGGTTCCTGGAAAATCCAAATAAACAGAAATTTTGTTTAGTTAATTCTGGCTGGGCTACAATACCTGTAGGAATACATAAGATTATTTATACTCAAGCCTAAAGCAAATCTCCTCTGTTAGATTAAAAGTTATAGAGGTGGTTATTTAAACTAGCCCAAGATCTCATAAAACCCAAGCTTGAGAAACCGCAAATAATGTTTAGTTTTCAAACATAATACATAAGAATGAATTACTACCATACATTACTAGACTTAACAGGAAAGTTGTCCTAACTTAAGTTTGTTGTTAAAGATGAGAGTGTTAGCATAGAAATGAAAGGTTAAAGTGAGGGGCAACAAGCGTTCATTTGACATTCAATAGAACTAGTCTGGAAGCTGATTCAGGCAGAAACCCAAATAGTGTTCTGATTAGGAGGTGAAGGCAGGGAGGTTTTAAGAGAAAGGAAAGGGGAATAAGTGCAGGAACAAAAGGAATTCTTATGAGTGTTAAGCTAAGGAAGGAATTTCTATAGTTGCAGATAAGCTAACATAGTGGTGCTAATTTTAAATAATGTCTTTCATTTCAGTCATTAGTCATTCCTATTAGCTTTTCAAACAGTTGTTTGAGATTCAATGCCACAGGACCTTTCCAAAGGTTATTTCCCCATTTTTAACAATACAAACGTTTCAGGAGTGAGCCGGACAAGGCCTTTCCTTTGGGATGACAGCTCCGACTCCATTTTAAAGTGGCTATGTTCACATTAATTTTTATAGAACCGTGGGTTGGAAGGGGCCCAGGAGGGCTAAGTTTTCTGTACTGTATTATTTTGCAATCACTATTTATATATGTCTTTGGATTTTACTAACATGTCCCTTATCTGCTGTTTTTCAGACTTCGAAATGTGTGAAAAAGTAAAGATTCTGAAAGCCTTGAAAGAATACTTCATAAATTACGTATTTATTAAATGACAAATAATTTGAACTCTGCTTGATTAAGCCATCTGTACATATGCAAAACAGACAGCCAAAAAGTAACCTACTAAAGGTAATTACTATATTGGAAAAATTCCTTTATTCTTATCAGACTGACCTTGATTTTCTTACCTCCTGATTTAGAAGGGAAGACAGCTTACAATTCTCTGAATTTAAATTAGAGGTTATGTTTCCATGTCAGCTTCCTCCTCTCACCCACTTATTTTCTGAGAGAATGCTTCTAATCTGGGGCTGCCAAAGGTTTCAAAATACATTTCTAGTAACTGCTTCGTGTGCTGCAACGAACTGCCCAAATGTGGCCTATCCTCCTACAATCAGATTTCTAAAATATTCATGTTCACTCATTCACTCATAATTCAGTCAGTCTTGGCTGGGTTCCAACTGTGAGCCTTCACAGCCTCTCCCCTGGCTCCAGGAAGGTGAGCACAGGCACAAAGAATGGTGCCCTTGCTGCTCTTGATCTTTCAGTGAATTTCAATCCTGGCACTGATGTAAAAGTTACCTGAGGAAAGGAGGACAGCCCTACATAGCTGAAAGGTTTCCCATTTCCAACATATCCGAGAACAGTGCCGGTTCTAAGGGATGTACAGGTAGGTTCTGAGGCAGCTTCCCTCACCAGAGAAATCTGGCTACTCCTTTCCACATTCCAGCAAGACTTTAAATAGTAGAATAAAGATGACCAGATTATCAGTAAAGGAAGTAGGGGAAGCAGAAAGCAATGTGGTTTTCAGTAGCTGGGAGAGAACAAGTTCTATCCAAATTAAGGTGTACACATTAACTTCTTGTGCCTCTCAAACTTTCCCAGTTAAAATCTATGGGAGGGGAGGGCATTTACATAAATATTAACCAGTTGCCATTGGCCTCAAGGCAGTAGCATTTAACACTGAATGCCACAAAGACTCAGAGCCATCAACATTTGGCATTCGGAGGTTCTCCAAGTCTGGGGCGCGGCACAAAACAAAAAGGCCAGAAGGAATTGCGGAATGCAGAAGTCTGAGATTTATCCCCAACACACAACTGTGATGCTGACCCCCTGCCTTAGGGTGGGGGCCAGGGTGGCTGTGCCTCAGTCCACAAACCCTGGCATAGTCAGGGGAGAGATGAAATACAATGCTGACCCAAGTCAGTCCCAGTTTACCGGCGCCTCGGCTTGTGGAACCGCAATCTCAGATTTGTAGTACTTACCTCTGTGCCTAGCAATTTCACCGCAGGTTGGACTTTCTTGATTATTCACATGCAACCAGTCCTGACAACTCCCTCCAAAGGAACTGTCCTCACACCCCTCACAAATTCCCTGGGACAGCTGTTTTCCCGTCAAGTACAAATAACCCTAAAGGAAGTGCAGCCATCTGGGTGGTGACACCCACAGAAGAAGAGGGGTGCGGAAGAGAGGCGGGAACGGTGATGCCCTACCAGCCAACCCAGTCCACCCGATCCCCCGCGGGGACCCTGGCAATACACTCAAAAGCTCCAAGTTCTGGCTCCAAGACCCGGCGGGGCGGTGCTGGGGTACGAGGAAGATCCAGCCCTCCCCGAATGGGTCAGCCCCTGCTGTATCCCCTTTCCACTTGGCCACTGGCCCTTACCTGAGCGTTTTCCCAAAAGCACGAACCTTAGTCCCAGGACCCCTGCTCGCAAACTTGGCCATCGTAGCCACACCTCCTAGTCATATTCCACGACCAGGGCCACGCCCCTCGCCTCTAGGCCATGCCCCACTCTACCTCCACGTTCTCACTTGCTACTCTGGCCATGCCACCCCAGACAGTGCCCCTCTCTGCCTTCCTGCCTGGCCAGCCCCGCTAACGCCAGAGCCACGCCCCTCTACTCGGGCCACGCCCCTGAGCTCGACCTGGGCCCGCTCCTCCCCCTTGGTTTCGCCTCCGCTCCCCGGCTCTGCCGCTCCAGCCCCGCCCAGTTCCAGGCCCTCCCTCCCCCCCGGGCGGAACTTGATCGCAGGAATTCGTAGTCGAGTGGGTGGCCTACAAACTTGTCTCTAAAGAAACCCTCCCGGGCCCGGGAACTGAGTGCTGGCGTCATTTTGTCGGGTGAAGTCAGACTGCAAGCTGAAGAGCCTAGTCTAAAAAATGGCTTTCCTCGGGTTTTTCCCGTTTCCAAACATCAATACGACATACTGAGAGCAGGTGGCTCAGGAGGGAAATGTGAACACTGGACAGGTCATGCAGCCATGTTCCTTCCTGCTACTTTTCATGTCCACTTCACCCGAGTTTCTTTGAACCAGTTTTCACATTCTATGAACTCGACTTGTGAACCAGTGTTCTTTCTAGTCCTTCAGGCAGATGAGTGGAGTAAATGAACTCCTGTATTTCCTGATGTCTTCTCCAGATGAAGTTTCCTCAGCATCCAGTGAGCTCCTGCTGTTGTGGGTCTTCTGAGGCATCACACAGACTGAAACTCTGGTTGCAGGTCTGCGGGTGCTCAAAGATTACTCTGCTTGCTTTACTCTCTCCATTAACAACTCTGGACCCACAGGAAAAGTGTGACTAGGTTATGACCAGCTTTTCTACCCCTGTACAGAAATCTCTGATTCAGCCATTCAAATCATATTATTAATTACATGCTCCCCTGACAAGACAAGCCTCAAGGAGCTTACAGTATAAAGTTGTCCCAACATGGGTTTAGATGTGACAATTATGACAAGAACATTAGAAAAGATATGGCAAAGGGTTGATAAGTAAAAAAGGATTTGGCAATCACAGGTCTTGAATTGATTAGTTGGAATGCTTTTGGGTAGCAAACAAGAAGCCACTTTTATAGGATTTAGTACACTTCTTTAAGCAATAAATTCTCAGTAAATCTTCATTAACTATTTGCCCTTTTCACATGTGTAGGAAGATAACATTATAACATTTCCCCCCTTCCTGGCAGTAAGATTTTCTACTTTTATTTCTTCATATGTCAACAATAAAACTTTTATAATAGCATATTTAGTTACTCTTTTTCTTCCCACCCTTCATTGCACTTCTGGTTTAAAGACAGTGGGAATATTCAAAATGTTGCGCTAGAAGGAACACAGAGAAAAGATTAAGTTTCACTAGAACACCCTGACGCTGACAACTCTGACTCATTTATAAAATGTTTCAACCGTCAGTCATTTTTGTCTGAGAAATTAACTCACAGAAATGAATCCAAATACAACCAATATAAATTACTGAGTTGATTATGATACAGTTAGTTCTACCTCATATTCTTCCACAAATTATTTGAGTCAGCTTACAAAATATAGACATTACTAGATAAAAGAAATAATTGAAGGAGCCAAGGAAAGGGGGACTTAATGGAAGGAGCAAAATGCAGCCAATGACCAGATTAACATTTACATATTCTGGCCATCAGATCCAAAAAGAATTGCTTAAGGTGGGCCAGAGATTTTTAAAACTTTTCCAATATAAGTTGACATACAATAATATATTAGTTCAAGGTATACAGCATAGTGATTAGACATTTATATAATTTATGAAGTGATCATCCCAATAAGTCTAGTACCCATGCTATCCTTACTTCCTCTATTTACAATTCTGGGTCCAGAAGGAAAAAAAAATGGAAGAGGTTATAACCAGCTTTCTTTCCTGTCCAGAAATATCTAAATGGACACTTCTGGGGGAAGGGCTCTCTCCATTAGCCATTCAGTCACCAAATTAAGTCAAAACATCTTTATCAAGTACTATATTCCAGTGACAACTAAGACAAATCTCACAGAGCTTATAGCCTGAAGTTGCTCCAACTTGGATTTTGATACAATAAGAAATGACTAGAAGGAAGGTGTGTAAAGGTGGTTGATAGATGGAAAGGACTTGGTAATGTTACAGTTCATTTTTATGTCAGGACCCACAAAATGGAGCCACCCCAGTGACCCAGCCCATGACACAAATCTAAACCTAAGTCATCCTGCACTTACGGGACACACTTTATAAGGAAACCCAACACACACCTATCATAATTGTCCAAGTCAACTCAGCTATTTTACCATACCCTAGAAAATAAGAACTGCTTTGTTCTATAAGGAAATCTCCGACCTCCTAGCCCATCCTGCCCTGTTTCCATGTTGCCTCTTCTAACATTCTATAAAACTCGATCTTGCCCAAAAATCCCTCGGGAAGAGCCCTTCTCTTCTTGTGAGGCACTGCACTACCCTAATACATGGGTTGTATTCCCTTGAATAAAGGACATCAAACTCATTACTACATTGTTTTGTCATTTGACAGTAACAACAGGTCTTCTTGATCTGATCAGTAGGAATATCTTTGGCCAGAAAACATAGGAAGCCACTTGTATAGTATTTACTACAGCCCCTTACACAATAAATTATCAATAAACCGTCATTGAATGTATGCCCCTTTAACTCATGTAGACTGCTACATTTTCCCCTCCACAGATTAGCTACATATAACTAACTCTTCATATGCCAGCAATAAAAAATTTAAGATCACATATTAGTTTCCTTCTCTTCCCTTCCCACCTCCACCCCATTTCTACCTTGAAGACAGTAGGAATATTGACAAATGTTGCTCGAAGGAACACTGAAAAAAGAATAACGTTTCATCAGAACTCTTTCATCACACTCACTCTGACCCTAAGAACTTTGCTTCATTTATATAAAGTGTTTTAAATATCATTCATTTCTTGCCTTAAAAAATAACAGGAAATGGGACCAAATACAGACTGTGCAAGTTACTGTGTTAATTTTTAGAAAGTTGTCAATAGCTTACTTCTTCACAAATGATTTGATGCAACTTATGAAAATATAGGCAATACTAGATGAAAGACATAGTTGAAGGAATCAAGGAAAGGGGAATTTGAAAAAAGAGAGAATAATTCAGCTAATGATAATATAAACAAGTAGGCAAGCCACTGGATAATTGAGCTTTTTCTTGTGAGCACAGAGAAAAATGTCCTTGTTAAGGGGGGGGGGGGGCAGAGATTTGACTGTAAACTTCTGAATGCCCATCAAGAAAGAGAATGACAATCATTTTAAGGCTTTCCTGTGTTCATAAGATATAAAAGCTAGGGTTTTTGTTTGATATATTTTTAGTACAGTTTTTCTTGATTTTTAGTACCAAGAGAAATCCTGATCCTTCATAAAGGTTATGTGAGCTACCTGGGAAATAAGTTTCATAAGGAATTAATTACACAGTTCCCCTCAATGGAAACCATTGCTACAATGACAAAGCACAGTGCTTTAAATCAATGCTATGTACTATCCAAACTCTCCTGTCAGCTGAGTAAAGTACACAAGTCCTGGATGGTCTGGCCGAATCCAGGGTAGCATTTAGATTATTGCTACTCAGATGGTAAGTAGATTTCAACTTGCATTTAAACTCTGATTCATTCATAGAAGCTGCCTGAATAACTGTGCTGGGAAGTTTTGTGGCTGAATCCACACTCTGAAGAAAAAGGTTTTGTGATTAATATTACAGGATGGGTGAGTGGCTGAGAGCAACAACCTATCTGGCATCTCCGATTTGTAGGAATAGGATTCTTGCATGCAGATCTTTTACAGCCCTCCAAAAGTGACATTTCTCATTATAGGATGTTGAGAATTATCCTATGTGGTAGAGAATACAAGTTCATTGTCACTGGCCAAAACTTCAGGGCAGAAACTTTGAGATATTGATTCATTCATATGCTTTGAGGAAGAAGGTAGTTTAAAGTTCTGTTATGAAAATGAGAGCATCTAACCAAAATGATCCAATGCCACCGTCACCTCTTTATAAAGGCTGGCAGAAGAAGTACATATGGGAAAGGCTAAACACTTGTGTGTAAACCCCAACAGGCAGCCTATTAGGCAATTAAAGAACAAAAAGTCCTACTAGGACTTAGTGTGTGAGAGAGTGTGACTGGATGTGAAGGTGGACGACCAAATCCGGGCAGTGCAGAGACGCGGAGCAGAAGACTCCTGTGCTGTGGACTGGAGCAGCCGGCTACTGCAGTAAGTGGCTCTTCAGGGAGCTTCTCCCTGTGCCACCATTTTGGAAGATCCCAGGTCTTCCCTGGGAGGAGGCAGTAGAAGCGGCTAGGGCCCAGCAACCTGAGCTCACCAGTGCACCTAGCACCATCGGAACAGTGGACACCCTGTGTCAACACAGACCAGTGCACAGTAGTGGAGTTGCCAAGGCGCCGGTTGCAGAAGCCGAAAATGGCCGAGAGCCCAGCACCATCCCCCACAGTTGCAGCCCAATTAGAGGATCAGAGTCGAGATATACCCCCAGCAACAGAAGCTGGGGAGCAGACATCCATCCCCAAGCAACAGAAGCACAGACCAGCAGCTGAGACCCATCCCTAAAAACTACAGCAAAGGCTGAGCAGGAGCTGAGTCCCACTGGGCAGCAGCACTCCCCAGCCACCAGCAGCAGGACCTGGGGCTCCACAGAGGCCTATGCGACCCAGCAGCCCACAAGAGTGGTGGGAAGCCGGGGCTTGAGAGGACCCGGTGTGATCCAGCTGACTGTGGGACCTGTGGGGTGCTGGGGCACCAGAGAGGCCTGTACGACCCAGCAGCCCACAAGAGCAGTTGAAAGCCAGAGCCTGAGAGGGACTGCAGTGATCCAGCTGCCCGCCTGCAGGACCTGCAGGGTGCGGGGGCACCAGAGAGGCCTGTGCGACCCAGCATCCCACCAGATAGGCATAGAGCCAGGGCTCCAAAGGGACTATGCAATCCAGTGAGCCATGGGACCTGCAGGGTGCTGAGGCATCAGAGAGGCCGGTGCGACCCAGGTACCCACAAGATAGGTGTAGAGCCAGGTCTCCAAAAGGACTGTGCGATCCAGCTGTCCAC